TTATTATTATTATTATTATTTGTAAGGGGGATTGAACTCAGAACCTTGCACTTATAAGGCAGATGGTGAAACCACTGAGCTAAATCCCCGGCCTGAGTTTATATTTTTAAAATAGTTCAACTGTGTGTAGGAAAGTTATCTTCACTGAAATCATTTTTATTGAATGATTTAGGTGCTAACAAATTCTGAGGTCTATTTTAATATGATGTTTTTCTGATTGGAAAGCAATGTATATTTAAAGCAACACTAGAATATATAATAAAATGGAGGAAATAGACATTATTCATAATTCCATATTGTAGAGCTATCTATTGTATCTATTTTTAACTTTTTATTTTATTTTGGTACTGGGAATCAAACTCAGGACCTCATACTGGCCAAGTTCTTTAACTTTTTAATGAACATATTTTTTAAGAAAATTAATTCAGGATCATGGTACAGTGGGATTACTTTGGGAAATATCAAATATCCATAATGCTTTAGAGTAAGTTCTAAAAATAGTAGAAAATATTTGTATAATAGTTATTTCCTAGTGAATGATTTGGAGGAAATACTGCATGGTTATAATTCACTCATGTATTTCTACTTGCTTCTTTAAAATAGCAGTTATTTTGGGCTTTCTGAGTTCCCTGTGTTGGTGATTTCGTTTCTTTGACTTTAATTCCATTAATGATTTTTATAGGTGAAACCAAAAAGACAGCCATTCTGACCATTTTGGATGATGCCGAGCCGGAAGACGATGAAAGCATCATAGTTAGTCTGGTGCACACCGAGGGTGGAAGCAGGATTTTGCCCAGCTCGGACACTGTTAGAGTGAACATCTTAGCTAACGACAACGTGGCGGGAATTGTTAGCTTTCAGACAGCTTCCAGGTCTGTCATAGGTCATGAAGGTGGGTTCCTTTGCTTCTTGAGTACATTCACTCTTTCCATGAGTGTCATTTCCTGTCTGTTCTTTTAAAGCCTCTGCTTTCTTTTTCTTTTGTTATTTTGTTGAGCTGTTTGCCTTCGTGTGTGCAGAATTGCGTGGGAGAGGGCTGCCTAGTGAGTGACTTCCCTAGATGAGGCAGGCTTGCGGAGTGACTGTGTCAGGCCTGCTACTCCCCATCGGGGTGACCGGGTCAGGGCCGGCATGCTCAGCTTTCTCATGTGTTAAGTGACAAAATATTACTTACTCTATAGGTTTCATTGTGAGTATTAAGTGGGCCAATAAATGTAAATCGCAAGCATATTTCTTGGCAGTAAAGTATGTGTTTATTGGTAGCTATTGATGTTAAACAGTGAAACGTTGGCTCCCTCTTAAAATTAAGTAGTAGATATTAATTACTGAATATTTTAGCCTAGATTTAATATTGTATCTATATGTTTATGAGCAGAGTGCCAAACTGGAACACTATACAATGCCCATCTCTTTCTTTAAAAAATTTATTTTCTTTAACTCTTATTTAATATTTCATGTTGTGTACAGGCTAAGTTTTGTTTGAAACATTGTAGCGGGTCTTTTTTATCTTTGACTAAGCCTGTTTTATTAAAAATGTACTTATAAATTATGTTTCACCACATAGTTTGTATTTGGAATTTAAAAAGTAATTTTACCCTAAAGACTTAAGGAAGGAGAAGAATATAGATTATGTATCTGGATCTCTAACAATGAGAGACCAAAACTGAGAGAAAGAGATTAGGGGACTTGCCAAGGCCAAGCATCCAGTGAGCAGCTGTGCGGGAAACTAAATGCATTTTAGTGGCACCATTGGTCCTCTTGCTGTATACTTCCAATTTACAGGATTCTAAATGTTCCTGTGTAAATGTTTGAGCCATTTTCTGACACTCTATACTTTTGTTAATGGTTTAGAATTGCTGGTTGTCATCACAATAATGAATAAGAGTGACTACCAAATTGCCACAAATCTAATCTAAAGACAAATCATTAACTATCAAAAATTATTTGTAACATAATACAAGTAAAAGTCACTGCAGGAGTAATTAACTTTAATAACAATGACAATAACAGGAACGTTTGTGGAGCATTTTCTTTGTGCCAGTTACTGCACAACCATTATTTAATTAATTTTAGCAGCAGTCGATGCAGTGGTTATAATAGGACACACTAAGGCACCCGACTAGGAAACCAAGCAGTGCTAGAGCTACAAGTCAACCTGTGTTAGAATCAAAGCTTATTCTACAATGGACCTTGTGAGGAGTATCTTTGTTTCATTTGAACAACAAAGGTCTGTATCCGCTACAGAACCTGAAAATGCAGAAACTTTTGGCAAATATTTGAAGTGATTTAAGTTGGAAGACTGACAAATATGAGTAGTCATATCTGTCTGAGAGAAGGAAATTGGTGGGGGAACCTGATCATCTCAGGTTAGAAATGAAGGTTGGATTTACAAAGATAAGGGTTACAAATCAGAAAATACACTCTCTGTGGACAGAGGAAAAAAGCAAGCTACTAATTACAGAACCACATGGAACATGGACTTAAGATGCTGGGAAAGGAAGAAGAACCCAGAGGAGAAAGAGGTGTGAGAAGAGGCGAAGGAAAAAGTGTCTTTTCACACTTACCAGAAGAAAGTTATCTGTGGGTTTCATAGTAAGACAGCCAACAAGTGAGAAGAGATCTGCAAGTGGACTAGAGAAAACAGCTTCCTTAGAGGGACCTTAGGGGCTTGGGGATGGTAAGCAAACATCTAAGGAAGACCTGAAGGCCCCAGTGGCCTGTGGGTTGTGCTTCTCATCAGTTCCTGTATGGGAATGTTGGCTGGTGGTATATGGTGAGATAAGATTAGAAACATTTGGAACAATTTGTCTTTGCCGCGATATCCAAAGGTGTCATCTGTGAATTTGTATGCTCTGTGTGTGTTCTTCTTCTATTTAACTTATTAGTCATCCAGAGTATTGTATTTCATGAAAGTATCAGTCTACTGGATTAAGGAAAATGAAACAAGCCCTTATCCTTCATGGCATAAAGCTTTGAGAAGCAATGTTCCTTGACTGTGACAGCAAGGAAAGGAGAAACATTGGAAAAAATAGATTGAAGAGGAATATTTTGGATTTGTTTTTGTTTTGTTGAAAAAATATAATGAAGAAAAATGAGGTGTAAGAAGGAAATCTATTAAAATGCTGGTGCTATGGAAGGTATAAATAAGATCAGGGGACCAGGAAGGGTTAAATTAGGTTTAAGAAAGAACCTAGTGCTAGATTAGGCATACTCTTTTCGGCATTGTAATGAAATTTTCTTCTTAAATAATTTAAAAGAATATGGATGTCTACCATCAATTTAAAGATATTTTAACTTTAAGGCAAGTGGTATCATGAAAGTGCGTCCTTAGTTTACTGGGTGAGGGTGGTAGTAAAAGATTGAAGGCCTCTGAAGAACCCAGGTCGCTTCTGCAGCGTACCAGAGCATCTCGGGGAAGAGGCAGACACCGGTGCCTGTGTTCTCTGTAAGCTGCATCAGTTTCATCAGAAAACTGTACTGTGTGCTCTTCAGGTTCCAGCAACTAAGTATCTGTAGGATTCAAGGATAAAGGATTTGTAATTAAAACAAGTGGTCTAAATGTGTTATATTTTTTTTTATGAGTTTGGTACAGGAAAGAAAACACTGATTGGCTGTTGCTTGCATGACGCTCCCTACATTTTTTATATTTTTGAAAAAAAGTAAAGGGTAATTTCTATCTTTAAATTTCATTTATCTCTAAACCTTTTCCTAGAGTGTAAACTAATTTTATATATTGTATTTCAAGAATTTAGTATTTTACATAATGTATTTTTTTGTATATTGCCCTGAAAATTGCCTAGAGAAATGTGTATTGAGAGTTTACAAGGTGTTTAATGTAAACTAAAGAAAACTCCTTGGTTATTCTTCAAAGATAACTGCTAACCAAATAGGTTTAAAAAAAGGCATGCTACATGGACTTTGAGCAGAGTTAACATTGCTGTTGGCCTAGTGTTGGAGATTCATTTATGTGATCAGATTTGAAATGTGGATTTTGCTGGACTTTGGGCTCAAAAATCCATTTCTGATTCATGAAGAGAAATTGCCTTAGTGTTAACAGTGTATTGAATTCTGTAAAATCCTCTTTCTATATTTTTTCCTAAAGCACTTGGGAAGATGCCAAGTGGCAAATATTACCTTTTTTCAAATATAATGGACAGAATTTAGAACTACGGAGTAGTGGATTTTACTGCATTTGCAAGCTGTGTATAAACCTGTTCTTTATACATTTGTGTTGGCTCTTTCACGCAGTCACCCTGTTCTGCAGCACCATAATCATCATGTCTTGTTCAGTGGATTTAATTTTTTTTTTCTTAGAGACAGCATGAATCTTTTTACCCAAAGATTTGAGTTAATAAATGTAATGTAATGGGCTAGGGATTTAACTCAGTGGTTCTGCCACCGGCCTTGCAAGTGCAAGGACCCAAGTTTGATCCTGGTACCAAAAAAAAAAAGAAAGAAAGACATGTAATTAAAAAAGAATAGGTACATAGGACTGCTCTCTTAGAAAGTCAATGTTTTCTCACCCATTCACACTGATGGTCTGTGCTTCAAGTTGTTTGTGTTTCTGCACACTTTAGATGTATTTTATTTTTCTTGAAGACAATTTGGATGACACCAGTACTGTATCCCATGAATACTTTTATTGATTAAAATATATTCTGTGTATCTGGGGTTTCTATTATTTTTATATAATTGTAGTTGAGATTTATTTTATGAAGAGTTCTGGTTTGGGAAAAACTGATGAAATAGTGTTATTAAAATGCATTTTTCGTTCATACTGTGTATAGGCATAGGACTTTGGCCTGACGGTATGTGGTAGATTTTCTGTGCTAGGTTTTAAATGTGTCTTCTACTTTGGGTGGGTGGGCCGAGCTGATCTCATATGCAGATGATTTTCCCTTAGTGTGGTTAATGTGTCAGACCCTGGTAGCTAGGGGTGTTCCTCAGGCTTTCATCCTTGGCCAAAAAACAAGACAGCATTGTAGTGCCTTGCAAATTATTTAGTTTTAGATTGCATCCATGCTCCCTAGCACTTTCCTCCTGTCCTTTGCCTCAGTTTTGGAAAACTAAGTTTCCAAGCTTGTTTCTAAGTTTTTTTTTTTTTTTCCTTTGACGGTAGCGTGACTCCTCCCCATGGTTATAGGTAGCTTTCTGGCTTTTCCAGTTGTTTGCCCTGGATAGAATTTTAAATGGATGTGGCATTTGGGAGCCTACTTTACAGAGGAGAAATCAATTCCTCCCACTTGGTGATTGCTTAGACAAAATTCTCACGCTAGTCTCATGGTTGGCATGATCAGTTGGCAGTAGGCCTGCAAGATTTTGTCTTAAGAGAGTCAAATTAAGAAATACTTTCGTTTATGTGTGTGTATTTTGTGTTTCAAGTTGTTTTTCTTACAATGTTTTCCTGCAAGTTATTTCTGTGGTAACCTGTTAAATCTCCAGAAGTGATATTTACTAAGTAGCATTAAACTTTAAGGCTATTGAACATAGTAGATTGGTGGAAAGATTTTTTTCTCCCCTCAGCACTTCATTTTTACTTTCACCTCAGAATGGTGCATTTATTTCTAAATATTTTGTACACCCTTCCAACAATATTTTTAATCATTATGATTATAGGTTCTCCTTCAACATGGATCTTTAATGACCTTCATTTTGTTTTCTTGCCATATGTGTTCTTTGTACTTGTATTACTTGATCAAAATATTGTAATCTTCATTTGAACTATTCTAAGTTTTTTGTGATTTTTTTAAAAATAGAAAACTGATATTAGAAGCCTTTAGGTTTGTGTCACCTGGCAGTACTCTAGTTGACACATTTTAGTAACTCCAAGGACCTTCTGTGCTTTGCAGTAATAAGGACTTAGGTTTTGATATAAATTTGCTATATTTGAGTTCTATATATTGTAAAATAGTATTGAGGATTTAACAGTAGGGCCTATATTTTATTTATATGCATTAAACAAATATAACAATTTAAATGGTATACTGGCAATTATGGCTGTTGGGAGACTTTATTCAGTTACACCTAAACAGTTGAAGCATTTGGTTCCTGTCATTTCCTACTCACTTAAAATAATCCAAGACATAGTCTACTAGTTCATGGGGACTAGGTATTTTTCATATTGAAATACTTGAAAATATATTAAAATATTATGATGCTTTCATCTTCTTGTGCATTCAGCATCCTTCCAAAACAATTCACTGTACCAGAGTTGTGCATTTAAACTTAATATTAGAAATGTATTTTGTGTTTTAGTGTATAATATCAAAATAGTCTCTAATTCATGATATTTTTGTTTGATAAATTGAGATTATAAATATATTTCTAGGTTTATTATCTTCAGAAATAAAAAGCTATAGTAGTTTCAAAAATTGTTAGAAAAAATACTTATATTTTGTTTTATCTCCATTCTCTTTGTTTAAAAAGTATTGAAAGATTTTACTTAGGTACACAAAAATTATTTGGTAACTACATAAAAGTGACATCTTTAGTGAGTATTCATGGCTTTCAACTGTATGGCTATGCTTACAATGAGAGTAAAGGTGTGTTTCTTCCAAAGTGTTTTAAACATTGTTCTGTTTATCTTTTTAGAAGAATTTTAGTGATACTGTTCATTAATCTCTTGCACTTATTATCATATAAACTAGTGAATGGAGCGTATTTTCAGCAAGCTACTGAGTCCCATCATAACTCCTACCAGCTTTCTTCTCACTTTTTGCAATTTCAAAGAAATAGTTCTCATGATTTTTTTTTCTAAAATATTACATGAGCATAAAAGTTAGGAATAGAAAATTTCTAAAATACTCAATAATCTGAGAATGGTAACTGTAACTTGGGTGAAGTTACAGATATTGATGTATAGATTTGACACCTTTCCTCTGCATTTCTTTTTATAAATCGAAATCATTGATGGTATATGTAAGTTACAATCTAAAGAAATGTGATTTTCAGGTATTTGCAAGCATTTTTTGCATGCATTGTGTAAAATCACATTGCATACCAGTGTAAGGAATTTGTGTCCTTTTGAGAAGTGAAGGAATAATTACTTGTGGTCTTACTAGTTCTGATCGTGAGGACTTACTGTTTTCTTTAACTTATGGAACACTCATGTTCTGGTGCATGTTTTGGAGTGTATACAAGTTTGTGTTTCCCATTCTAGCATGTGCTTTTATAAGTTTTCTACCATGAATTTCCAGAAGTTTTCCTAAATGGGAATGTACTTAGAAATGAGATCTCTGTGTTAATCAACAATAAGCATGTTGTAAAGCTTCTAGAAAATTCAAGCCAGAACAGTCTTGTAATGTTCTTGGAAAAGGTGCCATAATACAGTAGTTGCATGCTTAGGATTTGGGTTTTGTTGAGTTCAAATGTGTAGTTCATTTTGTACTAAGCATTTATTCATTTTGTTTTTAGGAGAAATTTTGCAATTCCATGTGATAAGAACACCTCCTGGTCGAGGAAATGTTACTGTTGACTGGAAAATTATTGGGCAAAATGTTGAACTCAGTTTTGCTAACCTTACTGGACAACTCTTCTTTCCTGAGGTAATACCTCAAAGAAAAGCATCACCACAAATTTCTAGGAACAGAAGCATTGTATTTTCAGGAAAAGGGAATAGAAAATCAACACGACTTGTAGTTATCATCATTCTCTTTTCTTCACTCCTACTTGGTAGCAATTTGGATAAGATTTTCATTGATTAGCTCAGCATTCAAATCTTCACAATTAATTCCTCTCTGCTTGCTTTAAAATCTGGTTCCTCATGACCAGTGGTCTTTATTTAAGCCTTTTTGTTTTAAGCCACAGAATTCTTGTTTAAATGAAAAAAAAAAGTTTAGTTGCCCAATTTATAAGGCCAATAAGAGCAGGAGATAATTTGTGTTCAGTAGCAATACAGGTTTGGATTTCTTTCTGTTTGACACAGGGGACATTGAACGCAACAATATTTGTACATCTCCTGGATGACAGCATTCCGGAGGAGGAGGAAGTATACCAGGTCATTCTGGATGACGTCAGCACACAAGGTAGTTCAGAATTCAAGTTTGAGTATTCTTTGGTATTGTCTTTTTAGAGAAACAAAGAGTTGCTATCTCTGTATTTACCAATTAGATACATTTCCTTATTTATTAAGTAGTCAGTTTATTTTTGTTACCAGGAATTGAACTCAGGACCTTGAGCTTGTGAGGTAGGCGTGGCACCACTGAACTAAATCCCCGTCCTACCAATTATATACAGACCAACTTAAAAATACTGCTTTACAAATTGTCTGTCCCATAGAAATGTTAGATCTAAAATCACTAGCAGAATATGGGAATGCTTATCTTTATGAACTAAAAGAAAAGTACTAAAATTTTTGCTAGTTATTTATGGAATTAAAATAGACTTTCAAAGGTAGAAATTTCTGAAAATGATTTTATGCTAACAGATCAATTTGGATTCTAGATAATTATGTTATAGTATACGGACAGTTCAAATTTAATCATTCTGAGATTTCTGGATACTTTCAGTTTCTATAATTCTGATAAGCCATATAGCTAATAAGGACAAATCTATCAAGTGAAAGAAATCATGATTTATTTATTTATTTATTTGTTTGTTTGTTTGTTTATTTTTGGTTTTTTGAGACAGGGTCTCACTACATAGTTGAGACTGACCTGGAACTCACTATGTAGCCCAGGCTGGTCTCGAACTCACAGCAATCCTCCTGCCTCAGCCTCCTGAGTGCTGGGATTATAGGCATGCACCACCACGCCCTGCAAGAAATCATGATTTAATAAAAAGAACTCACAGCTCCGCCTGCCTCAGCCTCCTGAGTGCTGGGATTATAGGCATGCACCACCACGCCCTGCAAGAAATCATGATTTAATAAAATGAAATATAGATTGTCAGCCAAAAGATTTCTGTTAGGGAGGTGAACAAAGTAAACCCTTTTTGTTTCCTTTAATATGCTTCAGAAAGCAGGGTTCCATTTTAAGTATGTAGAACTTAGTGCCAAATCATGGTTAGATTTCCTAATGGGGTCCCTGCTATTTCCAGGGGTTCCACCAGCAGGAATCGCTCTTCTGGACACTCAAGGACATGCCGCTGTCTTGACGATCGAAGCCAGTGATGAACCACATGGAGTTTTAAATTTTGCTCTTTCATCCAGATTTGTTTTACTACAGGAGGCTAACATGACCGTTCAGCTTTTCATCAACCGAGAATTTGGATCTCTAGGTGTGTGTTACTCTATGATAAATTGGGTTTCCAGGCAAAGGGATTTTTAGTATTCTACTTGTGTGGGTGAAAGCCATTATGAAAATAAGCAAAGAAAGGAAAATATTAATATTTACTAATTCTGGGCAGTACTTTATAATATCTTCACTTTTGAAAAATTTAAAAGAGTTATTTATTCTCACAAAAATGCTGTGTAACGGACAACCTTGTATTCTCAGTAGCACATGGCAGTCGACCTGGTGTGGGTCCATTATTAGGCTGGGCTTGTATATATACTTTTTTTTTTTTTGTACCAGGGATTTTTTTCATGGGGCCATGTGCTTGTAAGGCAGGCGGTGGCACCGCTGAGCTAAATCTTCACCCTGTATATTTTTAATTTTCTCTGAAGTAGAGGCCAGAGAGGAAAAAGGAAACACCCAAGGCCCAAGTCTAGGCGTAGAAGTAGCACATCCTCACTCTTACCTTGTACAAACATCCAGAGGAAGCCTCAGAGCTGCCCACACTCACGCTCCAGGCAGGGAAGGAGGCTTCACGCCCTGAGGGACGTCACTGAGCAATGGCGTGCCGGAGGTCATGGGCACAGGAGGAGGGATGCATTTGGGCCAGCAATGAAAGGCCCTGTGGGTGCTACAAGAAAGGCAGGATTCACAGTGAGACATAACTTTCAAAATTTAGGTGATTCTAACACCTTTTTTACATCCAATTCAATTAGGGGCCATCAATGTCACATACACCACTGTGCCTGGAATATTGAGTCTGAAGAATCAAATGGAAGGAAACCTAGCCGAGCCAGAAGTTGATTTCATCCCGGTAGTTGGCTTTCTGATTTTAGAAGAAGAGCAAACGGCAGCAGCCATCAACATTACTATACTTGAGGTAAGACTCAGATGTGTTTCTGTTGTTGGACCTGAAGTCACCACATAGGAAGTAGAAATCAGTGGAATGTTCTATGACATCAGCAGTCACATTTAATAAGAGACTGCTTATTTTAAGGTATAAAATTTCACGAGAGGCAAGATTGTATAACTTAGTTTTCTCTATATTAAAAAAATTACTCTGTTCTATGGATGTGGCTCAGAAGTTGAATACTTGCCTCAAATGTATGAAATCCTGGTTTTGATCCATCCCCGGCACTGTAGAAGACACACGTGTTTGCATATGCGTGTTTATGTATATATGTGTGTGTGTGTGATTTTTCCTTTAATATAAACATTGTATATTTTATAACCATAATCTCTAGAAATTTAGTGAATTCATTTCTGATAGGTTTCTTTAAGTTTGATTGGCTCTACTCTGCTGGTGCCTTTAAATCAGCTTATTTCTTTTTGAGATTTTTTTTTTTCAAACCACACAGGAGTTTCTCTTCTTGATTATGTATATAGGCTGGCCTGCTGTTGTATACTTGATTACAGAAACATCTTGTGATGAACAGAGTTTCCTTAGTGCAGTTGTATGATGGCATTGGCCTAAGAGGTTTCAGAGGAGCCCTTTGATTGCTCTAGATGACTCTGGAGCAACAAATCAGGGAAGGTCGGAATCTTTGTGTGGAGGGCCCGCTAAAGCAGAGATAGTAGGACACTCACTGGAGGGTGAGGGAAAAATGTGGTTACGGCCAAGCCTTAAAAAACCGCTGGGGACCGAAATTGTATTTTAAATGATTTCTCATGTGAGATCTTGTGCTGTTTTGGACTTAGTGTTTCAGCTTCTTAGATACATTTATAGGAGGTTTATAACAATAGTACTATGAAAGGGGCAGGGGATGGAGTGTAGAGCGAAGAGAAAATGAGTATTACATGTGAAAAAAGTTGTCAGTTACTACAGTGTGTATTTTGAGGGGGTTCAGTTTTAAAAGGTTTATTCCCTCAAAAGCTTTCACTTTTAATTATAAAGACCATAAACTATGCACCATCTAAAGTCAGTAACGTATTTTGTTGATTTCCACGGCATTGTAACCTAATGTAGCATCGTGAAAACTCGAAATCCACAAAATAAATGATAATATTATTTCAATAGGTAGCCAGTGACACAGGATTTCAAAAAAACTATAGAAAAGTCATCTGTTAGCGTGACTGAATATAATTATGTGGATCATTCCTTAGTTACTTTAAATTTTAACCAGAAAATAATTAGCACTTTGTTTTACCTAGAGTCTAGTTTTTTGAACCTCGGATTTCAGCTCCACTTTTCTTTCTCCTAGCTCTCTGCAACTTTTCTGCTCCCTGAGTAGCAGTAGATTAAAACACTGTAGGCCTGACGTAAAAGTAAGTCACCCTGGAGACCCGCATCTTAGTCACTGTCCTGGTCTCTGAGACACAATACCTGACACCTGCAACTGAAAGGAGACATTTATCTTGCTTGATGGCTACAGGCCCTGGCTGGCGGGTTCCAGGGCAGGATAGCACACAGAGGAAAGTGGGCGCGTCATGGTGGCCAGGAACCACAGCGTGAAGGGAGGAGACAGGGAGGGGATGTGCTCTTCCAGGTCACAACTCGGGGACACAGCTCTCTGTACTGAACCGCCTCCCGAACAGTAAGTCAGCTCTGTCGCCCCATAAATCAGTCATCTTCCAGAAGCCCCTTGGGGGCCTTTCTGTCTCAGGCATAACAGATGGCAAGGAGGGAGCCATGGCATGGACTGGGGCAGTGGGAGTAAGTGGGGGACAGTCCTTCGATATCACTGATTCTCTAACATGTTTTTCCATATATTACATGAGATAATATGAAGACTAATTTTTCACTTTTTGAGTTTTCACGTGAAACAAATCTTCATTAAATAAAATGAAAAGTGTATATTGGTGTGCGTGTGTGTGTGTGTGTGCTGATCTTTTACATACATGCATGCATGAACACACACACACACACACACACACACACACACAATCATTGAGATTTTGTATAAATACAGGCTGTTCATTCCTGACATGGATTGTGCTAATCCTTATGTTATGGGCACCTGCCTGATAATAGGAATGATACTAATAGGAATGGATTACTGATTAATAATAATAGCTATAGCTTTAAAGGCCAGGCACTGTACATACATTGTTTTTCTTTATTATTACAACCCTACCCCAAAGTATCCATTATTTCCCCTAATAAAAAGATGATAGAATTGAGGCCCTAAAATTTGAGTAAATTTGGCACTAAAATTACAGAATTTGGTACTAGATCTCCTTGACTGCAAAGCCTATATTTTTTCATGGTAAATGCTATTCTTCATTTTAAATGTTGGATAATATAGACAGTTAAAATCTTTTGTTCATGTTATATTTAAAATAATTGTGTATTTGCATAATTGGTTTACTTATTATATGCATCTAGATTTAAACTATTAAATTTAAGTAGTTTCATATTGTTCAGTCTAACAACTTCCTATAACCAAGTATAAGTTTAATGCTCTTATGTTTGTTTTTCCAATTTAAATAATTTTTTATTTATTTGCTTACAATTTTATATTTTCTGTGTACTGTTTATGCAAATGTATGTAGAAGAAAAATTTAAAAACAGTTCACAAAAGTTAATTCCTTTTGAGAACATATTTAAAGGCATGTAATGGGGAAAAATTTTTCAGGATGACATACCAGAGCTGAAAGAGTACTTCCTGGTGAATTTAACTTCTGTCGAACTCATCATGGCTCCTTTAACTTCATTTCCTCCCAGACTAGGTAGGATGGGCTTTTTGTTTGTTTCTTTTATTCAATTCAAATGACATAACTTCATTTTTAAATCAGAAGTGTTAATTTCAGCTCTGTGTGAAGATGGTGGATTTTTACATTTATTTTGCTTTGGAATGTATTATTATAGTTCTGTACATTCAACACTATAAAGATATTAAATATTATGTCATAACTTTTACATTTTACAACTATTTTGTAATGATTCATTTAATCCTCAAAATAGTATTAGTGCTTTGGAAGGCTTTTTCCTTTCACTTTAAAATTTAATTATCTATTTTATTAAATCTCCAAACTGTTTTAACTTAAGCATTTCTCTTGTTTGTTGTGTCTTCTGCTTCTTCTTCATCTTCTTCTTTTTTTTTTTTGTACTGAGGATCGAACTTGGGCCCTTGCACTTGCAAGGCAAGCAGCAGCACCACTGAGCTAGATCCCAGGTCCACCTGCTTCTGTTTTGACTTTTGATCTTTTTCTTTTCATGCTTTTAGAAAACACTCAGTTAATTCATTACAGACTGAAAGGTAAAACTTAAACCTTGGTACAAATTTACATAAATTCCTTTAAAAATAATGTATTCTTTAGAAACAAACTCCTATTTGCAGTTTGGATTGTCTGTGTGTGCAGTTGTCCAATAGGGGGCGGTAGTGAGCAGCACCGAGGTTCGCCGGTCCTGAGGCCCCATCCCATGGGTAGAAGGTGCAGTTGGACACCGGAAATCAACATAATCAGAAGAGAAGCTGGGCAAATGCAGTGGCCTGACGAACAGCATTCCACATTCCCTTCCATCTCTGTGTGACAACTTTGCAAACACTGAAAAGAAATAATCATTTCCCTACATAGTAGTATTTGGCAGGTTTTGGTTCTTTTGTAAAAGAAACTAGAAAGTTCCAAGGACTAGATGGTTTTCATCGAGGATTATTGCAAGATGATCATCGTTCACACTAAGAAACTAATGAAATCCTTCCTGCCTCCCATGCTCACACTGAGTATAGCTAGAGTTGAGCTCCGGTTGGTTTGCATCTTCCTGTTTCATAGATGAGGGAGCAGAGGCTCAGAGCTGCGGAGCAATATGCCCCGAGTCACGAATCACGCCGTGAGGAACGGGTAGAGCGAGGCTGTAACGGCGAGGTCTGCTTTTAGAATCTCTGCTTTTAGCTTCTTGTTCGGCGGGCGCAGACCCTGACTTTCTTTTCTCTGCAGACACTTCTGGCACGTGGTGTCTATCACTGAAAGGTCTGCCGGCCCTGGTCCAGAGAGATTTACACTCTCCCTCCTTCCTTCCCCAGGGTGGCAGAGTTGGGAGCATCCTGCACTAAGATAAAGGGCAAAACGTTTTTGTAAACAAACATTAACATGCACCAGCAACAAGATGAGTTAGTATTTCAGGATTGAGCAGTAGCTACTGTATTAATAACATACTACACTGAATTCGCAGAATGCAGGATAAAAAGGTTCAGGGAAGTTTGCGTCACTTGTCTCTTTATTCTCGCTTTCCCTTTCCTCCTGTCTAGCTTGTGCTCTGTGTCTCACGCCTGTTCTTTCTGCATCACTCCCTGCCTTCCTTTTTCCATTTCTTTTTCCTCTTTTTCTTGCCCTTCTCCTTCCGACTGTGCCCATTTCCCTGCCTTATGAAGTGGTGATATTATGAAGGTGTCAACTTTTTAAAATTAAAATAATAGAAATAAAGCCATGTGCTCCATTGCTTATTAATTCTTATTGGTTGGTTGAATTTTTAAAACTCAGTGGCTCTTATAAGCAAGAGTGTCCTTTTCCAGATACTATAAGCATCTGTGCCTTTAGTTTCTAGAAACATCTTTTGAGTCACATCAACAATTTTTGTACATCAAAAATTATATAATCTCAAAGGGACTAAGTTCTGTATCAAGCAGTGCTTTAAAGGGGAATTTTAAGTAAGATTTGTGTTAATAAATTTATATCCATTTTAAAGTATGTGTCTGTGTTTTTCAGATACAGAAGGCTTGACCGCACAAATTATTATTGATGCCAACGATGGTGCCCGAGGTGTAATCGAGTGGCAGCGCAGCAGGTAAGCCGAAGGCTGTGCGGAGGCCTTTCCTGAGCTTCCATCTCCCAAGGGGAAGTTTGATGCACTCTCTTTGCTCTACGACAGGCTTGAAGTAAGCGAATCCCACGGAAGTGTGACCTTGGCCACCCAGAGGAGCCGAGAGGCTCTGGGACAGGTGTCCTTGTTCGTGTATGCACAGAATTTGGAAGCCCAGCTGGGGCTGGATTACCTCTTCTCCCCAGTGGTAGGTACCGGTGGTGATCACAGGGGACTTTTATTTATTACTTTGTCATTGTTCTTTCTTCTGAATTATCAAGACTTAGGTCTTGCATAAATCAATTAACCTTAATGAGATATTATATAAATTGTTCCGCAGTGAATTGGAAAAACATATTTCCATAGGGTAGAATCATTTGTTTCACTGTTTTAGCAAATAATGTAATTTGAATTTTTAGTACTATTCTAAAAGATTTGTGAACTATTTTATCACAATATTTGATACTAGAGAACACAGTATTTTGTATTAAAGAATTTATATCATAAAATGACCTCAAAGTTTTTCTTATGCTTCTTGAAAATTTTAACTCATTTTTCTTTTAACTTATTGAAACAACTTTAGTATTTTTTAGATTTTACTTTGTCTCTTCTTGACTTTTTTCTTTTTCTCCATAATTTTTAATTTTTAAAATATTGTCCATTTAAATAAAAAGGGTATTGTGCAAAATTTTAAAAAGAATTTCTTATAAAGTAGCTTATTCTTTACATTTACAGCTATTATAAAGCCTCAGAGTATATTTAAGTATAAAACTGTTTCCTTTTACCTTTTTGGCCAGATTCTTCATTTTGCTGATGGAGAAAGGTATAAAAATGTAGACTTTGTGATTCTGGATGATGATATTCCAGAAGGGGATGAAAAATTTCAGCTCATATTAACAAATCCTTCTCCTGGACTGGAGCTGGGGAAAAATACAATAGGTAATTGATGATTTCTTATCTGTAACCCTTTCATCATGCTGGCTTCCGTAGCATGGGGACAAGAGATCAGAATGGAAGATATTGTAATAAGCATTTCAGAATCTCTGTGTCGCAATGAAATGGTGCTTTATCCTGTTTGTGTGTATGTGTGTGTGTGTGTGTGCACGCACACATGTGTTTATGCTAAAAAGCAAAAGTAGTTTGATACTAAAGATAATATTAAAGTATTTCCTCTAATATTACAGCTGTATTTAATCTGCAGTTATCTCCCTTCAGAATGTGAGTTCTGCTCTGGTTTCCTCCTTAGCTGGAGAAGGAGTGATGAAGGTGTTTCTCTCAGGGTCTCCCTATACCACAGTATTCCGCATAGAGTGGCGGGGTTTTGATCTCTGCGACCATTGCAGCCCTAATTCTTCATTTGGAATGGGGTGATGTTGTTACTAAGCCCATCCTATTCCACTGCTTATTAGGTGCTGACTACTTAGAGAAGGTAAAGGAAAATAAAGGAGGAAACCGTGTGAACATACAGAGCGCCAGGTTAGAAGGGCTTTTAAAAAGCCCCTTGAAAGGACTGGGGGAGTAGCTTGTTGGTGGGGTGTGCTCAGGTGTGGGACCCTGCAGGCCTTCAGGCGATGTGTGGGGACTGACTCTCCAGCCTCCTGGTCAGCCAGTGGTCAACATTCTTAGGGATTTTAAGTTAACTAGTCTTTGTATTCCTTCCTAGTTTAATGCCCTTTCTGAGTTTGATTTGGAGTGAGAAATATGAAAGAATTTTGAGTAAACAAAGATTAATTTTTAGCTTTATTACTGTATTTACTCATTTATTGGTGTATTCATAAAATAAATGGATTATTTCTTACTGCAGAAACCTGTTTTCAAAGGTGTGGCTGTTGCTTCATGTTCAGAGCATATGTTTGAGATAAAATGATTTTCTTGTACAACATAGAGTTATAGGTACAGGATTGTGAGAATGTGCTAGTTAAGAATTGTCTATGTCAAATTCAATTCAAATGGGTTTAATCTGAGGGTTCAGAGACATACAGCCTTAGATGAGCTAGGACCAGGACTCAATGCTTCCAGACACCGTTTCTCTCGTCTCCTGGCCCTTTTGTCTCCTTTGGCTTTATCCCAAGGCCAACATCACGGTTACAAGACAGACGGTGTTCAGCATCATTTTTCTGCATTCCACATAACAGAAAAGAGAAGGCATTCAGATTCAGGGATTCCTAAAGTCTTGAGATGATTCTGCTTGGGATTATACAGGTCACTGTCCACCACCATGAGGGAAGTCAGTGGATTCTGTTGAGCTTACTTTAGGCTTGTGATTTTCTATTTTTAAAAAAATTTTAGAAATAATAATTGCTTTGAAAGTAGATAGGTCTTATACAGTACCCTGTGAATGGACCTTGTGATTGTTTCCAGACTTTGATGATGCTTTAGTAAATGCGCTTGTGCCAGAGCCTTTGTAAGCAGGGCAGTCAGGACTCTGGACAAGTGTGGGGTGTGCTGAGTAGGGGACAGGGTCACCGCCTCTGTCCTATCTGCTCCCCGGTCCCCTGGGGCTGCTGCCCCAGTGCTGATCAGCAACTGCTTTTGTCTTTAAACTTTTATACCGATTCCAGTGAGTGAAAAATATGTGGTCATAGTGTACATTCTCATGCATGTTTTCCTCGGAGAGTTTGACTCTGGTTACTTTTTCTTTGTATGATTCTGAGTTTTAAGACCCTTGTGTACTTTCCTGTGGTTTGTATTACTATTACTTTATAGGAAAATTCTTAGTATCTAAATTCAATCTTTCATTGCGTAAACATATCACAGATATTTCTCCTGGACTGGCATTTATCTTTTAAGTTTATTGTGATGCCTTTTATTAAAAAGCATTTTAAAAACTCAAGGTATCAAACATTTTCTAATAATTTGTTAAATCCTATTTATTTCCATCGGAAATATTTTACTACATTAAAATATTAGAATGAAATAAAATAGTTATGAAAAATTACTTTATCATAACTTTGATTTACATTTGTTATTTAACACGCAAGGAATTTGTTCATTAGTAGCATGTGAGACAAGGATCCAACCTTATTTTTGTCTTAAATGATACAAATCAGTGCCCTACTGTCATGGAGAGAATGAAACACCAATACGCACTGGGTTTCAGTGTGTTTTCTTGGTCCGAAGCTGTTGGGAGATGAGGTGCAGCCCGGGCAGCTCTCGGTCCTGCCCATGTCCTGTGACTCAGCTGGACGAAGCTCGGACGTCCCCTTCCTGAGGGGGAGGCTGCTGGGTCCTGCCCGTCAGAATGAGGGCCACTCTTGGGAGGCCGGGCCCAGCATGTGCAGCAGTGCTGGCCTCACGCTCAGGGGTCAGCGCTGGCCTTGGGTGCAGAGAGCGAGCATGGGGCAAGCGGGAACCGCCGTGTGTGCCCGAGAGGACGCGTGTGCGCCCGCGCCCGCCGCGGTCCTGTGAGATGGGAACAATGGTACAATCTACCTCGCTGAGTTACTGCGACAAGTGTATAAACTAAATATATGGATGCAAAAATTAGTAAGTTGTTGCGTTACTAATATTTTTATTAATGATTGTAAAAATAGAAAGCTCTTGATTTTTGGAGATTGCTAAGCCTATGTTTTTGATTCATAATCATTTTTTTCTTGTGCATTTTCTTAGTAGACAAACATTTCATTTCGAAAATAGTGACAGTTCAGCCCTTGCTTTCCATTCTTTGTACCTGTTTCCTGGACTGCTGCCTGAGCGGGGAGGAGAGACTCCTGTGTGTGTTGTTTCGTTTTTGCTCTTTGAGCGTTAAATGTGGTATCGCTAGTGACTCCTGAGAGATGTCATTCTACTAGCTTGATAAACCTGCCTCCTCGTCCAAGATTGCAGGCTATTTTCATTACATGAGGGAATATGGAATTTTAAATGCTTTAAACAATTTTCCTCTAACTTACTTAAAATAATGACCTTAGGTAACGAATAGGCCTCATGCCCAAAGAAACAGACGCTCCCCTCTCCGCATTCAGAGCTTGTTCTCTCCGCTCATCTCTGCTTTGCTCTCACAGCCCTGGTCACCATCCTTGCTAACGACGATGGCCCCGGAGTCCTGTCCTTCAACAGCAGCGAGCACCTCTTCCTGAGGGAGCCAGCGGCCGCCTCCGCGCAGGATAGCGAGGCGGTGCTCTACGTGGTCCGGGCGCCGGCACACGGGCTGTTCGGGACGGTGACCGTGCAGTTCGTCGTGACCGAGGCCAACTCCTCAGCGGAGTCCCAGGACCTGACCCCTTCCCGGGGCTACGTTGTTTTAGAGGAAGGAGTTGGATTCAAGGTGCAGTGTGGGTCTTTGCTGAGAATGGAAGGTTATCTTTCACAGTACAGAAGGCTTCTCTAAAGGTGTACCCTGGGTCCTCAGAGGAAAAGAAAACGTTCCCGGTTCAGGGTTTAGGTAAAGACCTGAGATGACTGCGTGACCAGCGCAGCAGTGCTGCCTAGTCCTGTGAAGTGTGGCTGGAGACGTCGCTCTTCATAGAGTAAGGGATGGAGAAACAACAGCGACTACGCAGAGCTGGTTTAAATTCCAAGCCCATGTAAATGGCGTAATTCCCTTTATATTGTGCCTTAACGTAAACTTTAAAAAAGAAATCCCCAAGTCCCGCTCAGCCACTCCTTTTGGCCACAGTTTAGTTGAACAAAAATGTAACTGCTCATTTTAGATTGTTGGAGAATAGAAATAGTGTATTGAAGAAAAAAATGCTGAGTTGGAGTTGAATTGTGAATGTGATCTTACAGAGGTTTATGGTCTGAATCTATTTATCTATATATTTTACTTTCCTTACCTGTTACTAAACTTTTTTTAAAAACACAGTTTAAACTTAAGATAGTTATACTAGCCTGAGACATTTTCTCACGCTGGCTGTCTAAAATGTAACTACAAAGAAATATACATAGCTCTTTCATCTAAAACACTTTACCTAGTTAAATAATTTTCCTCATTTCCTTTTATGCTCCGCTATTTTTATGTTCTTGGAAATTTGTAAAACCTTTAATTGTTCAAAGGCACACTTAAATCCTGAAATGATGTAAAATTCACGTTTGAAGTTTGAGTTTGTCATTCTTTTTCTGGGTTCACATTTTTTTATTTTTAAATCTTTTAAATTTTAAATTATTTGTATTGATTTTTTCTTGTTACTTTTTCATAGGGTGAAGAAAGCCTTTTCTGTTCATTAGGCAGATTAGATGTTAGGGCAAATTGGATTAAATTTTAACCCACATAACTGCTTTTTTCCACATTTTTATCTTGAAATATAATAATAGAAATCTTAATGTGTATATGCACGACTTGAAAGATACATGCGTATGTGTAACCACTCAGATTGAGATATTTGACTGGTCCCTCACCCAGAAGCGCCCCCTCTCGCCCCTTGCCCCTTCCAGAAGAAATTGCTCTCTAACGTTTATAGTTAGACTCATTTTGCTGGTTCGTGGGCTCTGTATGAATGGAATCATGTGGTATCTACTCTTTTGTGGTTGACTTTCACTCAGAATGATTGTACACGTGAGAGGTGTCTTCCTCTGTTGTTACTGAGTAGTGCTACAGTGGAGAGACCCCACTTTGCCGATCCAGTCTCCTGCTGGTGAAGATCTGCATGGTTTCTGAATGGTTCCTGGTGTCGCTGTCGCTACACTTGAGTGGTGCCTCCTAGCTTAGAATGGGATGAATAAAGTTATAAAGTTGGGGTAGCATAAAAAGTTAGTGAAAATGAAGATGCGATTTATCTTTTAATGAGTGTAATTTTAAAATGCTTAAAATATTTATTTTAGATACTTTGTTGCAGTATATCCTTTTGAAAGTCTGCATACTAGTACCTTGAAACAGTTATAGCTATCACATGGGGATCATGGGGATCATTATTACAGTGATAAAGGTGGTATTTCTCAGCATGTTATTTTCTGGTCAGAATGTTTAATAAAGTCCCTGTGCTTGCTCATGTATGCACGTGCGCTCTCTCTCTCTCTCTACCTCTGTGTGTGTGTGTTGCAAACTGTATTCTACTAACTGTATCTTTTGATTTTGTTTTCAGGCCCTACACATATCTGCCATATTAGACACAGAACCAGAAATGGATGAGCATTTTGTTTGCACCTTGTTTAACCCAACTGGAGGTGCTAGACTGGGGTCGCACATTCAAACCCTGATAACGGTTTTGCAAAACCAGGCCCCTCTGGGGCTATTCAGTATCTCTGCTGTTGAAAATAGGTATAGTTTGTCTGTAAGGAGATTATCACTTTGGGAAACAAGCAGGGAATGTTTTTTGACATAAGAAATGTCTGATTATTTGAGAAAGGCCCTTTTAAAATGACCTCTGGAAGACAGTTTTAGAGAGGCTATAATTTCTCTCTTATAACAGGGAGCATCCAAAGGCAAACAAGTCTGGTATGATGATGTTATTAGGATTTGCATATTCTCAGGCTTTCAAGTAAAGGCCTGTGTTATTTTGTGTTTTTAAAAATAATAAAATCGATAAATATGACATGCACTTAATTGCTCAGACCAAATGAATGGCTGTTCACACATATTAACATGACTGTACTTCTAAAATTTCCTCTGGGAGCTACATATATTTATATTTTATATCTTAAACATACTTTAAGAGATAAATATTTATTAAAATACAAAGAACTTCCTGACTCCATTTTCCCTTGGTCAGAAGTTTCAGATTTAAGTATGAAGAAATTTAGAAAAGGTGGGATTTTTTTTTGGTGGTTGTTATTTTTAGAATGTATAATATGAAGTTACTGATTCTCAATATTTTCTTAGGAATAGAGTATGAGGGTACTGCATTTTGACTTTTTGGAAAAACTCCATAAATGAATGATTTTTTATTCCTAGAATCTAGTCTCCTCAGTATATAAAATTTGTGGATGTTACTTAAGTTGCATAAATTTAGTAACGTATCAAGTATGTGGTGTATATTTTTAAATGTATAAATTATCCTTTTTTCTGCTTTCCACAATCCATTTTTCTCTCTCTTTAGGGCCACCTCTATTAACACAGAAGAAGCCAACAAGACTGTATACTTAAATGTATCGCGTACTAACGATGTTGAATTAGCTGTGAGTGTGCAGTGGGAAACAGTATCTGAAACAGCCTTTGGCATGAGTACGTTTTGTTTCTTACATGAGCAAAATTCCATAACTAAGAAATACTGCATTGTAAGATTTGTATGATTTTCGTGGACTGTGCCTTGCAAATTCATTGAAAGTAGAGAACAGATATCTAATCCTATTATTGCATCCAGGAATATTTATTGAGTGCCTGTCATGTGCTAAGCATGGTACAAAGTTCATGGATCTTACAGTTTAGCAGCTGCCAGAAAATAAATCAGTAAAAGGCAATGTGTTGTTCAAACTACAATAAATGTTTTAAAGGGGGAAGTACAAGTGCTGAGGGCAGGGGGATGCCGAGTGGGGGTTATCATGCAGAGCACCGGGTCGGAGGAACCTGGAGATGAGACTGGTAAGAGGTTGGGATAAGAGACTGAGGTAGGAGAAGACATCATAAGTGAAGAGCTTGAGTGGACACCAACATGGAGATGAGGGAGAGTTTTGAGTTTGCAGAGCTACAGGAAACCAGATCTTCATAAAGAGCTTGAAAAATCTGTATGAATTTATCCGAAGGTTAAGACTGAACTTTTCCACACTATGCCTTTGAGTGGCTTAGGAATGGAGGCGGGTGGTACGGTATAATCAGGTTTGCATTTTGATATTGTTATAGTGCCACTCAAGGAATCGATTGGTATGGAGGAGAGGAGAGGATCCAGGGAGATAACAAAAACGGCAGCAGATGATGGTAGCTCAGACAGGTGATGGGTTGGGTGTGAAGTGAGTGAGGGAGATGGCAAGCTGACTGCTAGGTTTCCAGCTTGGGCTGTTGGTTAGAGGGTCAACCTATTCACAGAGGAAAGGAATTTGAAAAGGGGAACCATGTTGAGTTTTAATCATTTTTGAGAAGACGTTGCTCTAGATTCAAAGGGAGGTCCTCTCTGGAAGATGAATGTGGGAATCTTTACTGTGCATATTGCATTTTTAATCATGGGAAAAGAGAAGCCATCTATCATCTATTGAGAAGAGATGAGGACCTATTTGAGCTTGGAGAAGGCTCAAATTAAAGAGCCAAGTAGCCTAATGACCTCGCAGAGGCATTGGGAAGACTATTGAGAAACCCAGGAGAATCCAGGATTGCAGATATCAGCATAAAGATGTATAAAAATGGAAGAAGAGAGAAACTATGCCATCTGCTGGCAAGAAGTCTAATAAGATGAAGACGCAAAAATATAACCATCCCTGTGAGTCGTATAGAAAGCATTAGTGTCCGTAGCATGAGCCCTTGGTATAGCGGGATGGGTACTGAGTAACACCTTGAGAGGAGTTGAAGGAACCGTGTGACTATTTAAAGAGGTTTGGCTGGGAAGGTGGGATCTAGAGAAGGTAGTGGTGCGGTGTAGGGTTAAGAGGGGTTTTTGTTTGTTTAGTTTGGAGAGATCCAAGCAAGCATGTTTGAATGCTGGTAGAAAAAGCCTAGTAGATAGAGCAAGAATGAATATTTAGAAGGGAGGGGTAATGAATAGTAGTGTGGATGCCTAGAAGGCAAGAAGATTATAGTTTCTAACTCAGTTCTCTCATTGTTCCCTGGGCTCTGATGTGCTTTTTGGAAATTCTTGTGAGAACAGAGGTTCTCAAATGCCAGTGGTTATTTAATCTTCATTCACTATCTAATTGAATTACAGTGGATAAGGATCTGTCCCTACATCAGGGTCATTCAAGACTTACTGAAAAAGCTGTGGAACAGCTGGGGATTTAGCTCAAGGATACTGTGCCTGCCTTGCAAACACAAGGTCCTGAAAAAACGAAAAACCTGTGGATGTAATTCAGAAGGAGGCAAAATGGGAACTGAGGGAAGGAAATCGCTGGTGGATATGCACACACATTGACATTATGCCTTCTTGAAATGGTGCTCTTAAGTATGCCTGCCATTTATCAGGGGCCTGCTTCAGCCTTGATGTTTGTTCTTGTTGCACCTCATCCATGCCATTAGCCGGAATTTGAAAAGAACATACTTCCTTTGGAAAATAGTCATAATAATAGACCGTAGAAACTTGTTATAGTTAGTGCTCTTCATTGCAGAGGGATTTTCTTTCTTTTTGTACCACAAAATTTTAGGATATGTGCAAGTTATAAACAATTTGAATTAAATCTCAAAAAACCATTTGAAGCATGTGCATCTGTACTGGCATTCTTAAAAGCATATAAAATGTAAAACGAGAAATCTCCGAGTGGACATGGTTTCAGAATATTAATAAGTTGTAAAAGTCTAACATTTGACATATTTCTGTAAGGGGGTATTTTTTTGTTTAAAACTTCTCATTTGTATTTTTATCATCTTTGTGAAAGCTGGTAAAAGCATGTTCAACAGATTTCCCTGTAAGTTATTCAGTTAGTATTTATTTACTTTTAAGCATACCTTGGAAAAGTCTTTATGGATACAGAGCAAAAGATGAATACATCTCTCGGGTTTTAATGTTATTTTTAGTTACTGTTTTCAGGTTTTCTAGTAGCTAAGGTTTGGCAGTGGCTATATAATGGTAAGTTGTGATTTATATTTTCAGGAGGAATGGATGTTGTCTTTTCCACAGTTCAAAGTTTTTTGAACGAGTCAGCTTCTGGCTGGTGTTTCTTCACTTTGGAAGATTCAGTACATGGTATAATGTTAAGAAAATCATCATTTACTCTATATCGATGGCAAGGGATTTTTCTTCCACTTGAGGTAAGCATCATTTTTTATAGTACACAAAATAAAATATATTGGTCAATTTTGGATATAGCATGAATTACTATTATTATCCCTCATTTTCTAGGATGTAAATATAGAAAATCCTAAAATGTGTGAGGCCTTTCAAATTGGTCTTTCCCCCTACTTCGTGATCACTCATAAAGAAAGAAATGGAGAAAAGCCTTCTGCTAATAGTGTGTATACATTAACATCTGGATTCAGATTATTCTTGGTAAAAAACTCCTCATTTTTCCCCAATAGATTGCCTTACTTAAAAATTCTGTTTTGTAAGATTAATCAAAATGGAAGATAGTTTATGTTTTATGTTATGTGGCAAAGGACTTTTTTGCAAATTGGCACACATTGTAGCAAAGAGTCTTAATTCTGGGGTATTTTTGTTTTTATTGAAGTGACATGTATGGGTATCTTCAGATCGAATAATTCTCCAAGTCTTGAACTTTAAACATTTTATACTGTTACTGTATGCATTGCCTTTCTTAGTTAAAATCTGCTTTACACTTTTATTCCCACTCTTCCTTGCAGGTTCAAACAATTACTATTTCAGAAAGTTCCCAAGTAAAACATTTTACTTCAGACAATCAAGATTATTTAATTGTTGCAAGTCAAAGAAATGATTCCGAATTAACTCAGGTTTGATTCTTTTAAAATGAAGTTTTTTCCTTTTTAAAAATACTATAATTGAAATCTATCAGATATGGTCTGTAGATTTTATATAAAAGAGAACCCTAATATGATTGCAGAAAATAGTAAAGGAGAATGTAAATATTGATTGGTTACAGTTGATTTTTAAACAACAGAGCTATGAATATTTATGCTTTCTTCAAGAGTCAGAACAAATGTAATAATAAACATGAATATTTAATTAGAATATAATTGATGTGGAAAATTGTGTGTGTGGGGGAATCACACAACTGGCCAGATGGGATCACCACCAATTCGTGATTAGCATTGCCATATGAGCACCCACCATCACCCCAGAAGTCCCATATTTCTCTTGTAAACTCACTGCATCTTCTAATCCTCACAATGCTTGTGGATAGTTTTCATCACTTGGACTTCTGTACACGTTTCATATCTGCTCCTTTTCAGCTGAAGACTTGCTGAAATGAAGCTACCACAGGGGAGATTGCTCTTTGCCCAGCGCCAAATTAAAAATCCCACTTGCAACCTAGTCTTGTGCTCCCTCCTGCTGCGATGGGGGACACGTCCTTCCGTGGATGTCTGCCCTTTTCCGTTTGCCCCTCTGGCCTTGCTAAGGGTCCTGGAGTTTCCCCTGCATCAGCATAAGTGGTTGAGAATTGCACAGTTTAAAATAAATCCCTTCCCTGATCTCACCCTCTTGGCGTTTCTGCTTCTTTTCTCCCCTCCGCAGTTGGTCTTCTGTCTTTCCTTCCTGAGGTTCTCAGTGGCAGCAGGGCGAGCCTGTGTCTGTCATTACCTGACATTGCTTCTCTTCAGCATGTGGCAGGGGCACATCCTCAGTTTTATGGGATCTCTTGGGGTCACACAGATTGTCCTCCTCTCTCTCATACAGCATGTGTCATCCTCTCCTTTCTAACTGGGAAATCTTAGAATTTTCTATAGTTCTCTGAGGAATGCCATTGGTTTTTTGATTGGGATTGCATCGAATTATACGACAGTTTTGGAAGTATGGCTGTTTTGAGTGTCTAGTTTTGCTATCTAGGGACAGAGGATGTCTTTTCATTTTCTGATGTCCTCTTTGTCAGAGTACTACAGTTTTCATTGTAGAGGTCTTTCCTTAGTTAGGTTCATTCCCAAGTATTTAATTTTTCTTGATTCTATTGAGAATGTTATTGTTTTCTTAATTTGTTATTGAGTTCATTATTAGTGTACAGGAACACTATTGACTTTTGTGTATTGATTTTATATCCTGCTATGCTACTGAAATTTGTAATTTTTTTTTTTTTTGAACTGGTGATCACTCAGGACCTTGCCCTTGTGAGGCAGGCAGCACCACTGAGCTAAATCTCCGGCCCCTGAATTTTGTTATTACTTCTAGAAGTCTTTTGCAGAAGTTTTTGGGTTTTCTATGTAGATGGTCCTGTCATCCACGAATAGTGATAATTTGACCAAAGGAGATCACTAAATGAAGAGGCCACTGCCTCCATGGCTGCTACCTTAGTGCTCGTTTCAAAGGTCCTAGGTGTTGACTAAGTCTTTGTGACAGTGACCAGTTGTAAGAGAAACCAGGTAGATTGGGAATTTTCTTTAAATTTTAAATGTATGCACACCCACCTGAAGTCTTGTGTGTGTTGCCTCCAGGAAGATGAAATCATTTGGGTGATTCTCTGTTCATTGCTTGCTTGAGCTTCTGGTAATGACTACCACGTCAGAAAGTTTGGGTCTGGTTATAAATCTTTCATGTTTGATTTAATTCTCTCCTGTTTTTGGCTTTCCCTTTCCTCTGCCCGGATGTATATTTGATAGTGATTTAAAAATTACTTGTTTCTTTCATTACACATGCACACACGTGCACACACACACATACACAACTGAAAAGGAGGAAATGGTGAATTTGGTATTTTCCCCTATACGAGGGTATCCTCCTGACCAAATGAAAGAGAGCAAGCCCATGACATGGGCTGGGTTCTCGCGGGACTGAGGCTGGCAGCCATGCAGTCTGTTTGCCCATTCCCCAGGTCTTCAGGTGGACGGGAGGCAGCTTCACGCCATATCAGAAGCTCTCTGTGCGCCAGGTGCTGGCCGCGGCTGTGTTCCCCCAGGGCGGCTCTGTGTTCCTGGCCCTTTCCCAGGCGGATGCCACCTTTGTGCTCCGATGGTCCGAAGGTGGCTTTGCTACATCTCAAGAGCTGCCTGTCAACGGGACTACACAACTTGAGGCTTTGTCTTCGGGCAATGATGTTTACTTAATTGTTGCCAAAAATATCTCTCTAGGTAAGAAGATACCATGTTTCTAGTGCATTTATAATTATTATAAAAGTCACCTAGCACTCGTGTTTTATACAAAAATAATCTTGTGATAATAACTTTTTAGATAATCCATAGACTGTTTCTTTTTTTTTTGTGGTATTGGGGATTGAACTCAGGACCTTGCACTTGTGAGTCAGGTGTGGTGCCACTGAGCTAAATCCCCAGCCCTGTAGACTATTTCTTGATGAGTGGATATTAACTAGCAGTTATAAATTGATTTTGGAAAAAATTACAACATGTCTGTAATGCTGTGGTGTTCTGAACCACCGTTTTGAAGTTATATTGAGATAAAACTGGAAGTGGTTAGGTAAGGGGGGACATCTGTGTGAAGTATAAACATGCAGCTTTTTACACAGATATACTTGAAATGCCATGGATACGTAGTGTTAATAAATAATCTTGAGCAACTTCTGATAAGACTGTCGCAAAATACTTCCTGAATGTGTGTGCTTTCTTCTGCTTACTGAAACTTTCGTAGATGAAATCGCAGCAATCCTAAGGAATAAAACAGTTCATCTGTCTTATTTTTTAAAAGTGCCATGTGTGCACTTAGTGTAGTGTAAATGCTAAGACTTCTGAAGTGTTTCTTATTAGGTTGTAGTTTGGTGAAATGAACTAGATTTTGAGGAAACTTGTTTAAATTAAATTTAATATTTTATGAGAGTCGTACTGTGTAATTTTGTCATCCTATTTCTGTGGCTTTCATCTGAAGTTGATTTATTCCACTGTTGTAGGCAATCAGAACTCCGTTGAGATTTTCGTCTGGGAGACAGGGCAGCCTTCATTCAGGTTTTTCCAGTCCCTGGATTTTGCCCCTGTGAACAGAATCCATTCCTTCACACCAGCGTCGGGAATAGGTAAGAACTTTTCAACTGCTAACCAACTCAAAAGAAGGCATGGAAAGCCACAGCGATTTTTAGTCTCATTGAGTTTGACAAAGTGTCGCTTTCCCAGAAGGTATAAAATGAAACTTGGCTAAAATCCTCCCAGAAGTCCTGTAAGACAAAAGGATTCATGCTTTTCAAATGTGTGGTGCTTGAGAGTAATAAAATGACTAAAGGACGGAGGAGAATATCAATGAAGAGTAGAGAGTATATTTCTTTTGTTTAGAGAATAATGTGTTATAAATATATATTTTTAAAATACAAAAATCTGTATAAGGACAGAGCAGATACCTAGATTGAGGGATTTTTGAGGACTCAGGAAATGACTGTGAGGGCTTTGCTGTCCTTGCTCTGTCTCCTCAAGCCTCCGTCAGAGGCTGGAATCCCTCTTCCTCGTCTCCGTACTTAATCCACTCTCTGGAGACCTAAGCAGTATTTCTCGTCGCTGAGGTTTCAGATGTGAGTCTGTTCCCCAGGCTGCTAGCGTCTCTGCGGTCAGGGTGCTGTGGGTTATTTCCAGCTCGGCAGGAGTCGCCTGGTGGGCCAGCTGGCGTGGTGACTTGGGCAGGCTGCCTCAGCAGTATGCAGGGGACATGGTCAGTGGTTAGTGGGCCTCCTGTCCGGGTGCCCAGAGGAACCTGGCGTCCAAGGCCGAGGGCCACACAGGTGAATTTGCCTGCATCACGGACCCGCTCAGAGAATGCCGCGTGACACGTCTGCATGAAGGAAGCAGCAGCCAGTGACTCCTCTGACAGGAGATGGAAGCCACTGTTATGACAACAGGGGAGAATTCCTTGCCTGTACAGTCTGACAGTCTGGTCAGAGAAGCAAGACGAATGTTAAGACGCCAACTTGAGGCAGAGAACCAATAGGACCCATCGATCCAGGAGGGTGGAATCGGGGTAGGTGTGGCGGGTCCGGGCTGTCTGGGTGGGTTGGCAGGGAATACTGTGGCAGGGAAAGGCACGAGCACATGGGGAGGCGGCAGAAGGGTCTGTGGCCTTGAGGGCACTGCTAGCAGGTGGCTGTGTGGCGGTAGAGGACTTGGTGGGAGTGTGGGACACCTACTCCTAGTCCCCGGAAGGTCCCTGCCTGGCCTGTGCTTTGGGTCCAGCTCTTTTCAAGCCTTAGGTCTTAGGAACTTTTCACTCTTCATTGATTGAGGACCTCAGAAAACTTTTGCGTGGATTATATCCATTGATATTTATGATATTAGAATAGGGAAACTTTAAAATACGTACATCAATTTATTTTTAAATGATAACATATGCATGATATCAGTAGCACAAGTTAGTTAAGAAAACTCTTATATTTCCTAAAGCAATATAATTTGTCAGAAGAGTAGCATTTAAAAAAATACAAGAAACTCTTCAATGGCTGTTTTAATAGGTGATATCTGGATCATCTCTTTTTTCAGATCAACTCTTTGGCTTACTTTTCCCAGCTGTATTTAAGTGTGACTGTCAAATCTCATATGCACGTAAGGTGTGCAGCGTGATATACATGTCTGATATACGTACAGCTTTGGAAGCGCCTGCCTTGATCAAGGTGTTGACCTTTTCATCACTTTGCACACTTGCCCTTCTCTGTCAGGACACCGACTTACTTCTTATTCTCTTAGCAAACTGCAAGTTACCGTACTACTCCTGGTTGTCACCATGCTGTCTGTGAGACCCCGAACTTACCCGGAGCTGAAGTCTGTGCCTTTGGCTGAAACCCTTCCACCCCTTTCAGGCCCTGGGTGGCCACCATTCTGCTTCCTGTCTGTAGGCCTGCAGCGCTCTAGTCTGCATGCAGGTCGGGCATTTCTGGGATGAAAATCTGAAGTTTGAAATGCTCTAAAAGCTGAAACTATTACTACTTCTTCTTCTCCTTCTCCTTCGTTTTTTTTTTTGTTACGTTACGGGAATCAAACTCAGGACCTTGCCCTTGCCAGGCAGGCATGGCACCACTGAATCCTCGACCCTAGCTGAAATTTCTTGAACATTGACATGGTGGCAGGAATGAAAAATTCTACACTATAAAGCTTTAAAGACAAGATTATTAAAAACATTGTATAAAAAAAATCTACCTTTGGGTTGCATTCATAATACCTATATAAATCACAAATAAATTTTGTGGTTAGGTTTGGGCCCCACCCCCAAAGCATTTCACAGGTATATTTGTATACGCCCAAGTCTGTAAAAACTCTGAAACTTGAAACACTTCTGGTTTTACACGTTTCTGAGAAAGGAGACTCAGCATGAATAAGTGCACCTGAGCGGATGGCATTTGTCTTTCTACGTCTGGGTCTGCTGTCTGCACCTGCTTCTAGCCCATTGCAGTATCATCTGTCAGAACCTCTGGGAGTTTGACTAGAGACCCACAAGGAGTGAGAATGAAGCAGTCAAGCACCATCTTATTATTTTGAAAATAAGTTTTCACCTCACTGACTCTGTACAAGGGTCTCAAGGACTCCTAAGGGCTCCTAGACCACACTCTGAAGTTACTTAGTGATATTTCAAAGAGCAGTGAGATCAAAGCCATCCTTTATGGAGCTTTGGTGTATAAAGCATCATGGGTGACATAACCTGCACAGGTAATAGTGGAAGATGGCTGAGCTGGAGTGAGAAGTTTGCAGTAAAGATTCTTATAGTCAAGAGATTTTGAAAAGGAGGCTCAGCAGTACTCGGTGACTGCAGTGTGGTGAGCCAGCATCATCATACCTTGCACCTGAGAAGAGAAGAGCATGGAAATCAGGATCCAGGGGAAAGGCCTCTGGTGGGAATTGTGATGAGCCAGGTTCTTGGTGCCTTTAGTTTGAGGTGATGTAAAAGCACCTGCAGGTGGTCAGAGGAAATCAGGAAGAGGTCTGGGTTTGGAGACACTCGTGTGCAGTAGTTGAACTCACGAAAGTTAAAGCATTCAAAGTTAAAATGTACTGAGAAGACGGGAGGACTTTGTACAAATGCAAGGGTCTGTTTCAGAGCTTTTCTTTCAGGTCCTAGACAGCTGCTTTCTCTGCTCAACACTGTGGATCTAAGTGCTGTCACCTTGGGTCACCTCAGCCCTGACCAGGAATCACAGGTTATTTGCCTCTAATTTTTAATAAAACTTTAAAAAATCTTATTGCATTTCATTTCCACTTTTCCTACTCTGCCCTCAGCCTGAGTTTGTACTTGTCCCCTCAGGCCCTTGCTGCCACCTGGGCTGTCCACAGCTTTCCCACTTCAGCACCGGCTTCCCTGCTACCCGTCCTGCGCTCTGTGCTGCTCATCGCCTCTGTAAGGAGCTGCTGTACCTCATCCACAGCCCCATGCAGGGCGTTCAGTGGGACACCGTTCTGTGCTGTATAACTTTACCGACTTTCTCTGTCACAGTGTGTGCCTTTCATCATGAATCTGTTTAGTTTTTTTCTCCTTGTCTTTTTGTGCCTTTAAAATTTTGCTGCTCTTACACGTCAAGGTTTCAAGTGGACTGTGTCTACTTGAGTCCCTTATTTTATTCAGAGTAGTTGTCTAATGAATGTTTTTCAGGATGAAGTGGGCTGCCCAGATGGGCCATTAATTAGAGATACAGAATATCATTAAAGATTTTTTAAAAATAGGCATAGGTTCTGAAAGAATTTCTGAAGAGTTTTGCTAGAGGTTTATTAAGGGACCCATTGTGAGGCTTCTTTGTTCCTTTTGTTTCTCTGACTTGAGGTTTTAGAAGTGTGAAAAGACTGTAGGTAATTATTTAGAATAGCTTATTATAGGTCCCCTGAAAGCTGAAATTATGTATCAAATAATGTTCAAGGACTTTCTTATCTTGAATGCATCAGTATTTTATTAAAGCTATTAGATTGGAGCCATGACTATGAGGATCATGTGTTTTATTCTGGTTAATGACCTGACAGAGATTATTGGGTAGTGACTGAATTCTTTAAATAGAAGAGGAAGAGTGAATATAATCAAGACTACAAGGACATATGAACTTATCTTCCCGTCTCCTCTCTCTCTTATTAGTTAACAGATGTTTTTATACCCCAGTTACGGCTATACAGGTAGCTTTGGGGTAAAGGTTAAACCAAAAAAATCACAGGTCCCTGTTCTGGAGAAGTCTCACACACACAAGCACACGCACCAAAAGAAGATTCTCGCTGTCAACACATAACCACCATAGAGGAATGAATTGGAGAGGACTTGACCTGATTTGAGGGGTTACTCAGAAAGCTTCTAAGGAAGAACCCTTGAGTTGACAAATCCAAGTTGGGCAGGAGTTGGAGGCAAGGACTAGCATGAGATGAGGTGCAGCCAAAGGGTGGAGCGGCCTGTGCCCAGAGGTCAGGCGCGGGGAAGCGATGTCCTGCAGGCACACAGCCACCACCGAGTCAGGGGAGACTCATCCGTGCGGTGCACGGGGACTTCATTGCTTCTGGTCTTTACTCAGAGTGCTGGGGTGACTTACGAGAAGATGAGGAGATGGAAAATGTGGGGGACAGGTGGTGAGGCTTGGGAGAGAGCGACTACTTTTGTAAGAAAAACACCCTGGGAGGAGGATTTTGTGAAAACGCTGGAGGCTCAGGTCCTGGTCAGGCTGGAGATGTGGAGGGGGTCGGAGTGGCGGTGGCACAGTGGAAAACCGCACGGGCGGATTCAGAGGAGGTCGCAGGAGAGCCCAGGGGGCTGGCAGAGGCCAGAGTGGGGTGGGTGGGAGACGCTCACACAGAGCTCTGACTGTGACTGTGCAGATGGTCACTTGCAGGAGGACGAGCCTTTGGGGGCAGAGATAAGGAACCTGGTTGGGATGTGGTAAACTGTGGCGCCTTCGAGTAAACATTCCTAGGTGGAGCTCAGAAGAGCACACTTCATCACAGGCATGTGTCGAGGGTCGTTTTCCCACAGTGGAGATGGAATGATCTGGAAAGAGACTGGATAGGTGAGAGAAGGGGGCCTCAACACGAACCTTGTTGAATCCACTGTTGTAAGAGAATTTGAAGGAGTATATTTGGGGAAGGAGTAAAAAGTCTGCAACTCTGTGGCTGACACTTGCTTACACACCCCTCATCCTGTCCCAGCCCTTCACTTTAATCTTACGTACACCTCTGTGTGCTTCATGCTGTGGGGAGACATAGCTCTCTGCTGATGTCCCAGACTGTCACCCTTCCCGAACCTCAGCCTTGGAAATCAGCCAGGTGAAAACACCACTCTCTGCACCCCTGGGTATTCTTCGTCAGTGTTCAGGGCACCTGGGGACAAGACGCTCACGCCCGTGTGCTCTGTGTGCACTGCACTGTGTGCGCCGGCCGCTGCCTCCCAGCTCCCAGATGCTCCCACAGCGCCCAGTGGAGGGCGCGTTTTGTCCCAAGCGTTCTGCAGGACCCCCTGAGGATACTGCTCCCCACACAGCTCTCCCCCACTGGCCAGCTGTGCTTCCTCTTGCTGGTCCAGCCTCACATTCCCACATCTGTACACATTCCGACTGTTCAGTCCCAAAACATCTCTTTACCTACACTCTTTAAACTGTCATCAGATGCCTTCCTTTGACACAATCCTGTTTTTTATAGTTTTGCTAAATGGAGGATCCTGGGATTAGTGGTAGTTACAATTTGGTTCTTCAGTGTGGAGGTTTGGGATTTTTTTCCTTGTAAGTTCTGTGGCTTTTATAGAGTACCCATGTTTTCTGCATGCATGTACCGATGGCCCCTGTTACTGTGGTTCAGCCTAGCATCTTTCAGTTGTTGACTTTATGATGGTGTGAAAGTGAGGTACGTCAGTGAGAAGCACCCTGGAGCGGTTACTGTGGCCTCCTCCAGGCCAGTGTGATGCAGGGTGATGCTGCACCACAGTGCCGGGCGGCAGCAAGAACACAGCTCCTCGGCCGCTCCCTCCCCGCAGTGGGCCCCTCTGGCTCTGGGTGTGCACGGGGCTCAGTACCTGACAGGAATGCAACGGCGTGGTGCCAGGGGGAGGAAGGGGACAGGTCCATCTCCGAAGGTCCGGCCCCGGCCCCGGTGGTGCTCAGAGGGGTTGGTTCGCCGTGTTGTTCGAGCTCGTGCGCCTGCTAAACTCCAGGGATGACAAGACCCTTCCGGCTGTGCTCTTTTCTGAATGTGTCTTGCTTCACAGAGCCGTCTCCGTTTAAGGGTCTACGTGTGTCAGTACCACCTGTCTTGACATTCTTTACTGTTTACTGGACCGTACTTAAATTAATTGCTACAAATGAGTGACCTAAAAGTGCTGTGAATGTTTAAATGTATTATTTGTATCTTGTGTACTTTGTTGTATCGTTTTCCTGCAGTTTTTATTAGTCCATGTTTGTACCCTCTTCCCCCCAAAATAAAAGCTTATTGGAAAAATAATCAGCCTTGAAAGCTAGAGATCAAAGATGCCAGGCTGAGCCGGCGTCTCCTCGCTCACCTGCCGTCACACTTCTCTTGCTCAGTGGCTACTCTAAGGCGGGTGAGGCAAGGGTGGGCTGATTGGGGCTGAGATTTTTCATCTCTGGTTTTCAGGCCTGACTGTGTTCCTGGTAGGCCTCAATTTCAGGAAACAGCACAGAAAGATTCCGCTCATGATGGGGCGTTAGTATGTGTGCATAAGGCATCTTGATTCAGTTTCTTTCCCTTCCCCTTGCACCCCCTTTCTTCATCGCTTTGTCTTCTTCCCATTTGCAAAAGATCTATCTCCTTTTTTCCTATTATCTATATATTTTTTCTTTCTAACTCGTTTATGCTATGGGTTTCTCGTACAAGAGCAACCATGTGTTATTTAAGCTTATGTATCTGATTTATTTTACTTAACACTGTGATCCCAAAATGGAAACATTTTCCTACAAGTGACTCACATTTATCCTTCTTTATAGCAAAGTAATATTCCATTGTCTATGAATGCTACGTTTTCTTTATCCATTCGTCTGTTGATGAATATTTTTTTTTATAAGATGTATTACCATCAATCCCCCTCCTTTCAAACACGTATTCCATCGTGCTTGCCACTTTCTGAAGGACTGGAAGTCCTCTTTCATGAGTGTCTTCAGTTGTCCTGTGGTGGCTGCCTCAATATTCTGAATGGATTGGGAACATTTACATGGTCAGTAGTTGTTGATATGTAAGATTAAGGATATGAAGCGTAACCTTTAGAAGAGACTCATGCTTTCTGGTTGTGTGTACTATTTTAATGCCTACAATCAGCCTTACTGGAGATCTTTATTTCCATAGTGTCTTTTTTTTTACCTGACAGGAATTTGTGCACCTTTCCCACCTGCCATCCCAGTTTTAAGTCTGACGATTTTTATACACAACATTTAAGCCCTCCTCAGTCCCAGACTCTGTAGATACAAATTTGTGCCATTGTTTTTAACTGATAAAAGCATGATTTTCTGATAACATTTCGAAAAATATTGGCAGGCCAGGCATGGTGGCACACTCCTGTGATATCAGCACTCTGGAAAGCTGAGGCAGGAGGATAAAGAGATCAAGTTCAGCCTGGCAACTTAGTGAGACCCTGTTTCAAAATAAAAAAATGAAAAGTGGCTGGGAATGGAGCTGAATGTGAAAGCCTTGGGTTCAGATCTCCCAGTACCACAAGAAAAGAAAAGAAGAATTCTATCTATACTTAACCTTGAAAAATTAAATGTAAATCAATAGCAACAAATATTCAATGTGGGGAAATTATTAAATATATCTTAAAGATTAACTTTATGGTTATTATTTATGCATTAAAATTATAACTTGAATACAGTGCAGCAGCATATGAAAGTATGAAATTATAAATACAGAAGATTATTGACAATTGTTTACTTACAGTCCTTACAACTCTCAATTTTAAATTCATATGGATGGTGGCTGGAGATAAAAACAAAAAGTGAAACGGTGATGAGATTATGGATATTTTTTCCTTTTAAAACACTACTTTTAAATAAACATTGAGATAAATACAAAAGAGTCTAAATCCACCTGGGTTTTACCAGCCTATGGTTTCCTTTTTCTTAAAAAGTGTAGGCATATTGTCAGACTGGATTGATGATTCCATAACACTCAAAAATTATTCTTTATATTCAGTTCAGAAATGAAATTATATTTACTTCAGAAATCAAAATGGAGCTGGGTGTGGCATATTCCCGTAGGCCCGGCACTCTGAAAGCCGAGGCAGGGGGATCTCAACAATCTAACTCTTCTTGGGCAATTTAGGGACTTAATGAGACCCTGTCTCGAAAGAAAAAAAGTTCAAATGGAACGTTGAACATTTGAAAGGTTTTGCTTGGGAACCATGGGTGAGCACGCGAGATTACCTCTCTCTAGCTGCGTTTTCCTTCTCTTCTCAGCCCACGTATTTCTGGCTGGCCCAGAGGCGTCCGCTCTTTACAGCTGGGATTCGGGGCGGAACCGGTTCTGTCTCCTGCTGGAAGCCCCTTGTGCTCACGCCGTGGCGTCCGCCACAGTGAGGTCTCTCAACTCGAGCAAGAGCGTGGTGTGGGTGGCCGGCGCGCCCCACGCTCGCGTGCTGGAGCTGGCCCGCGTCTCCAGCCAGTCCGACTTCGTCCCCAGGTAGGCCGGGCCTTGGGCGCCTGCTGCGCGCTGGTCCCCACCCTCCACCGCATCGCACTAAGTCTCGGTTACCGCGACGCACACAACAGAAGAGCTTTCATCAGCCAGCAATGCGGTTGTTACCTGTTTCTCACATCTGTTCTACCAAGTTCTTCCGTGTTCTGTGCTCATTTTGGATTAAATGTTTATTTATGAAATATTGTAATTTTTCGAAATAATATCACTCCGAGTAATGAATTTCATGAGGGCTCTGCTGTGTCTTTGCCTTGAATTCGCTGTTGCTGCCTTACTTTGTATGTACTTGTTACACCAGTTCAGGGGAACTGATATTTGAGCCTGGAGACCGAGAGGCTCTAATCGCAGTGGACATCCTGGACGATGCGGTTCCCGAAGAGGAGGAGTCCTTCAGGGTTCAGCTTAAAAACCCCACACGCGGGGCAGAGATTGGGATTCACGACTCCGTGACAATAACGATTCTGTCTAATGACGATGCCCACGGAGTGATCGCGTTTGCCCAGGTAAGAGCCCCGAAGGCTCCACTCTTCCGGGAGAAGCTTATTCTGGTGTGGACGGATTTGCTCTGGATCAGCGCTCGCTAGGGGCCGCGCAGGGCTTTGCGTGTTTTCAGCCTTTCTCACCACTTTTCTCCCTTTCCCAGGACTCCGCGTGCTAAGAGGACGCCAGCCGTGTACCCTGGCTCTGTAGGCAGCCTGTCTTAATCTTCTGCTCTTTTTACAGGATTGAACTGGGTGTGTTAACAGTTGGTCTTAGGGCAGCCTTACCAGGGCGCAGCGGTGGAACAGATTGTAAACGCACCACGAACGGTTGTGTCACACACAGATCTGTTCTGGGGTGGGCACAGAGGGGCTTTCGCCCTGTGCGCGTCATCCATGTCTGGATGCCCTGGTCCTCAGGAAGGAGAACTGCAGAGCTCCCCAGTGCCCTCCTGGGCCCAGACCCAGACCGTGAGCCCCAGGACAAGCATTCCTCCATTCTGTCCGTGAAGTGTGTTCTGATTCCCAGCTCTCCCGATTCTGCGTGCTTTGTGTTCTACAAACTTTTTATGCACTGTGTGCTACTCTTTGAAAGTATATGTTTTCTCAGTATAAGTCAGGTATGTTCAGTGGGCAAAATATGAAAAATACAGAAAGAGGAAGATAAAAATAAAAATAATCCTATAAGCATTAACACTTTTTATTGTCTTTACTATTTTACTTATCTTAGCATGAGTATTTCAGAATCACAAGCATTCTTGGATTATTGTGTTTTTTTTTTAACTGTTAGCTTTTGCCCCTAACATGTTATTTATACAGTGAAGTCTGCAAATGCATACTAACATGAAATAAAAGCTGGGGATTTAGCTCAGTGGTTATGCCACCTGCCTCAGAAATGTAAGGTCCCAAGTTCAATCCCCACTACTAAAAAACAAAAAAAGAAAAGATTGCTTCGGTGCTTCTAGGTAACCTCTCGTGACTTTCTGTGTGTCTTTGCAGAATTCATTATATAAACAGGTGGAAGAAATGGAGAAAGACAGCCTAATCACCTTGAATGTCGAGCGCTTAAAGGGAACATACGGTCGTGTGACGGTAGCGTGGGAAGCCGACGGAAGTGTTGGTGGTGTATTTCCTACCTCAGGAGTGGTATGTAATTTCATAGCCAGGGAGACACTCAGTTATAGTCACTGTTGCTGCACAGGGCCAAGTCCTGCCTCCTTGTCTTAGATGATCTTGTCAACTCGGGTCCTACTTAGCACCAGAGAGAGGGATGCACTTTAAAGTTAGTCTTAGGGTTGGTGTTTTTTTCTGTAAAACCAAAATTATCTGTAAAAAAAGAAAGTCATCCTTTTTTTCGGTTCACTACATCACTTGGCCAAATTGTCAGTGTATTACACTGTTGGAAAAATAAAACCAACCAAACTGGGGGTGGGAAACTTGAGTCCAGATTTTGGTAAAATAGAGACAGTAAATAAGGAACAAATGTGTGTAAAATGCCCATCCTTTGTGAAGGGTGATCAGGGTTGTGGGACAGCGTAGATTGGACTTCCTGTGAATGGACTGAGATGAGTCAGAAGGGTGGAAGGCTTGCGAGTCCCATCTATAAGGAAGGGAGGAAAGCGATTCCCGAGCAATCGCAGTTGTGGGTGGGCCTATGGGCGGTTCTGCAGGCAGGCTGGTCCTTTGGTGCTCTGAGTTTGGGCTGTTTGAGCTGGGTGTTGGAGCCTGATTTTTGCAGTCTTCCCTTCATGCTGCCTTCTGGGTAGGGCGTGGCTCTGGGGGAGCCAAGTGCTTCAGCCTTGGGCTGTCCGAGGGAGGAACCTCGTTCCCACAGTGGAGGGCAGGTCCAGCAGCTCCCTTCATGCACCCTGGAGGACAGGACTGCAGGGGCTCAGAATGGAATCAGCACAGCCAGAGGGGTGGATGACTCACAGGAGAGGCTGAGGGAGCCCGGCTCAATCAGCACATCTTGCCTATGTGCTTCTCTGAGAACTATTTTAAAGGGACCCTTATAAAGCTATCTCAATAAAGGACGTCAGAGTCCAGCAGTTCCAGGTTCCTGTACCATTTGAAAGTGATTGGAGCTTCCCGGTATTCAGAATTTCTGTTACATTTTATATTTACCTCCTGCCAGCTCACAAAACTTTAAGTTGTATCTCTTAGGTTCTGTATGTTCTAAATTGCATTTCTCCAGTTATTGTTTCTTTTATAAATGTTAAAATTTCTAAGTCAAATGTATAACATTATCTTATATGTAGAGTATTTTTAAAATAGTTACTTTATTCCGAAGTCAGGGCATTTTTTTTTCAGCAAGGGTAGACAGATAGTAAATACTTTAGACCTCTTTCATGTCTGTCCTCTTTCATGACTCCTTGTCTTTGTGGCACAGTTGCTCTGGACATTGTAAAGCCAGCAGGCAGTACAGGCAGGGGCAGACAGTGTGCAGTCAAGAATCTCGGCTGGGTTCCGGCCAAACTTCCCTTATGAGAAGTGGAGTTGGCCAACAGGGAGCAGTTTTGTAACCCCCGATTTTATTAATAAAGCTCTTGGGTTTTTAGCCATCAGAGCTTCCTTGGGTCAGCAGAGGTGGGCATAGCCCTGACATGCTAGTCTGACGAATTGTAGTTTGTTGTCACACTGCTGGAGAATGGGTAAGCTGTGGGGCATCATGGGAAGTGATAACCAAGAAGCAGGCAGGTCTCTGGGAGCAAGGACTTCAGCGGGCTTTCAGCAAATCTGGATTTCACTTTTTAAGCAATGGAGACACCAGAGGAGGAGAGAGATGGTCTGATTTGCATCTCTCCTTATCTCTCTCTCTGCTATTTTGGCTGATTCATTGTCAAATGATACATCTGTGTGGAGTAGTAGTTCTGGCAAAAGCTTAGTAGAGAAAAAGTGTTTAAACTAGTGTGCCACCTCCTTTTGTTTCTATAGAGCTTTACATGTATTGAGCACTTTCTGAAAGACTTTATGCTCTGTGACATAATGAAATAAATATAGGCTACAGGATATGAGGTTTGGGCTACAGGTTCTATTAGTTTAGGATTCAGAAAGGGTTCACTTTGTTCTTTTTCTTAACAATCTTATACTTTTAACATGAAAGTCATTTGATTTATTTGTATGATCATGTGTTTCTTACCTATCTTTGGTTATTTAAGTTGTGACTATATTCAAAGAATATAAAACTTTTTGATATTCTTACTGCTCAGTGATAATTACAAACTGAATAATCTTCCTCTATAAAATTTTAGATTTCATTTGCCGAAGGCGAGGCACTGTCTACAATCACTCTGACTGTTCTTGCTGACAACACGCCAGAGTTATCAGAGGTCGTGACCGTGACCCTCACCCGCATTACCACGGAGGGTGTGGAGGACACGTCCAGAGGTGCCACTGTCGATCTGCAAAGAAACAAGTCCGTGATCGCCACTCTGCCCAGCGACTCCCCCTATGGGCTGGTGGGCTGGCACTCGGGCTCTCTCCTCACTAGGGTGGCAGAACCTGCAGGTGAATCCCGGGACCTGTTTCTAGGCTTTTAGGAAGACGTTTCATTGCATGATGTCATTCTCTCGCACTTATCAAGGATGCAGACCTTTTCACTATAGTAGCTTGTAGTCCTTTTTGTTTATTTTTATTAAATTTCACGATCATATAATTGCTTAGCAATAAGGCTATTAAAATGTGTAATTTTTAAATATATACTGACATAATGGAAATGTTAAAACTGTAACCACAGCTTTGAAGAATTCATGGCTGGTTTTTATTTGCTTCATCTTTTTCATGGTTTCTTTATACATTTTCCTTCCTCACACATCTCTCTATACATTTTCAATAATTACTGTACTCAGATAACGATACACTTTTTTTTCTTTTCATTGAGTTTATTGGTACAATCTAGGTCTATAATACAGTTACAGTCATTACTGGGATCCTGTACCTTCACATGACAGGTCTTGGTTCTCATTTTTTCCCCTTGTCCCTGTCCTCCCTTCACCCCCTCTTCCCCTCCCCATTTACAAACTCGTTATTTCAATTTTTTCATTTTCTCATATTTTTTATTTTCCCTTATTTCCTTTCCCCTACCCTTCCCACTTTCCCTACACATTTAGCCCTTTTCTTCCTATTTCACACTCTTAATTATCCCATTAGAGTCTTGTGTACTATTACAGTTTTTCACAACAGAGAAACTATTCGGTATTTACACATATGTGACTTATTTATTTCACTTAAGAGTATATCCTCAACATATATCCATTTTCCTATGAATGACTGTAATTTCCCATTCTTTATGGCTGAGTAGTATTCCATTTTATAGAAAAACCACATCTTTATCCAATTTCCAACATATGGGCAGAAGGGCTGTTTCCAAGTTTTAGCTATTACAAACTGTGCCGCTATAAACATTGGTGCGTATATATATCTCTGTGGTATGATTCTTTTAAATCTTTTGGAAAGATACCCAGCAGAGCTATGGCTGGGTTAAATGGAACCTCTAGTCCCAGCTCTTTGAGGTATCTCCATATTGATTTCCATAGTGGTTGCACCAGTCTGCACTCCCACCAACAGTGGAGAAGGTTTCCTTTCTCCCCACAACACCTCCAACATTTGTTATTGTGTGATTTCTTGATAGCAGCCATTCTTTGTGGGGTGAGGTGGAATCTCAGTGTTGTTTTCATCTGCGTCTCTTGAATGACCAGTGATATGGAACATTTTTTCATATATTTATTTGCTGCTTTTACTTCTTTGTCTGAGAAATGTCTGTTCATTTCAGATGCCCATTTTGAATTGGGTCTTTATATTTGGAGGGGTCTGATTTTTTTTTTAGTTCTTTATATATTCTGGGTAGTAGACCTTTGACTGAGGAACAGCTGGTAAATTTTTTTCCCACATTGTAGGTTAACTCTTAGCTCTGTTGGTGTTTTCTCTTGCAGTGCAGAAGCTTTTTAAAAAGATGAGATCCCAGTTGATTCTTTCTGCTAGTTCCCGTGCTACTGAGGATTTGTTCATAAAGTCTTTTCCTATGCCATTGTCTTCAAGAGTTCTGCCTAATTTATCTTCCAGCAAGTTTAGTGTTTCTGTTTTAATATTTAGATCTTTAAGCCACTTTGATTTTATTTTAGAGCATGTTGAACGATAAGGGTCTAGTTTTAATCTCTGGCAGACTGAGATCCAGTTTTTCCAACAGCATTTATTAAAAGGCTATCTTTCCTCCAGTGGGGATGGTCAGCTCCATTGTCAAAGATGAGGTAGCTAAGTACATCTGGAGTTACTTTTGTGTCTTTCAGTCTGTTCCACTGATCCTCAGGCCTGTTTCTTTGCCAGTACCATGCTGTTTTTATCACAGTGGCTTTGTAGTATAGTTTCAGATTGGGAATTGTTATACCCGCTGCCATGTGTCTGTTGCCTAGGATGGCTTTTGCTATTCTAGGTCTCTTCTTATTCCAAATGAATTTTTGGATTCTTCTTTCTAGTTCTGTGAAATATAGTGTTGTAATTTCAAATGGTATTGCATTGAATCTGTATAGCAGTTTTAGTAGTATGGCCATTTTCACTATGTTGATTCTTCCTACCCAGGAGCAGGGGACATCTTTCCATTTTCTTATATCCTCTTCGATCTCTTTTTTTCAGAGTGCTGTAGTTTTCAGTGTAGAGGTCTTTTGCTTTTTTTTGTTCGATTGATTTTTTTGGGTGCTATTGTGAAAGGAATTGTTCCCCTAATTTCTTGCTCAGTGAGTCTGTTGTTTGTGTACAAGAAGGCTATAGATTTTTGGGTGTTCACCTTGTATCCAGCTACTCTGCTAAAAGTGTCAATTAAGTCAAGAAGTGTTTTGGTGGAGTTTTTTGGGTCTTCAATGTAGAGTATCATATCATCAGCAAATAATGACAGTTTAACTTCTTCCTTTCCTGTCTTTATTGCTTTAATTTCTTTCTCTTGTCTAATTGCTATGGCTAACATTTCCAGAACTATATTGAAGAGGAGTGGTGATAGTGGGCATCCTTGTCTTGTTCCTGATTTTAACGTTTATGTTTTCAGTTTTTGGCCATTTAATATGATGTTGGCTGTTGGTTTTTCATAGATAGCCTTTATTAAGTTGAGATATAGGCCATCTATTCCAATTTTTTGCAGGGTTTTTATCATGAATGGGTGTTGAATTTTGTCAAATGCTTTTTCTGCATCTGTCAAGAGGATCATGTGGTTTTTGTCCTTGACTTTGTTAATATAGTGTATTACATTTATTGATTTACGCATGTTGAACCATCCTTGCATCCCTGGAGTAAATCTGACTTGGTCAGCATGTATGATCTTCTTGATGATCCTCTGTATTCTGTTTGCTAGTATCTTATTGAGGATTTTTGCATCTATATTCATTAAGGAGATTGGCCTGTGGTTATCTTTTTTAGTTATATCTTTCCCTGGTTTGGAAATCAAAGTGATACTTGCTTCCAGGAATGAATTTGGAAGTATTGCTTCCCTTTCAATTTCATTGAACAGTCTGAAGAGTAATGGCAGTAGTTCTTCTCTAAATGTCTTATAAAATTCAGTAGTGAATCCATCAGGACCTGGGCTTTTCTTTGTTGGTAAGTTTTTAATTACATTTTCAATTTCACTGATTGTAACTGGGGTGTTTAAAATGTTTTTATCTTCTTTGTTCAACTTTGGTAATTCATAAGTATCTAGAAATCTGTCCATTTCTTCTGTGTTTTCCATTTTATTAGAGTACAGTTTCTCATAGTAGGTATTAATGATCTCTGGATTTCTGTGGGATCTGTTGTGACTTCGTCTTTTTCATTCCTGCTTACATGGATCTGAGCCTTTTCTTTCCTTTTTTTTTTATAAGGTTTGCTAAGGGTTTATCGATTTTATTTATTCTTTCAAAATACCAACTCTTCGATTCATTTATTTTTTGTATCATTTTCTTAGTTTCCATTGCATTGATTTCTGCTTCAGTCTTTATAATTTCCTCTCTTGTTCGAGCTTTGGGTTTTTCTTTTTCTTGTTTTTCTAGGAGTCTAAGATTCATCATTAGGTTGTTTATTTGAGCTTGCTCTGTTTTCCTAATGTGGGCATTCAGTGCTATATGACTTTTCCACGTAGAACTGCTTTCATTGTGTCCCATAGATTTCTGTATGTTGTATTTGCATTTTTGTTTATTTGTAAAAACTGTCTGATTTCTTCTTTAATTTCCTCTGTGATCGATTGATTGTTCAGGAGAGTGTTGTTCAATTTCCATGTGTTTGTGAAGTTCCCATGGTTTCTTATGCCATTGATCTCCAGCTTAATTGCTCTGTGATCTGATAATATACAGGGAATAACTTTGATTCTTTTGCATTTATTCAAACCTGTTCTTTGAGTTAGTATGTGGTCTATCTTGGAGAATGACCCATGTGCAGCTGTAAAGAGTGTATATTCTGATTTTGTGGGGTAGAACACTCTGTAGACGTCTAATAAGTCCATGCGTTCAAAAGCTTGGTTCAGTTCTAGTATTTCATTGTTTTTTTTTTTTTTGCCTAGATGATCTGTCTATTTGTGATAGAGGGGTATTTAGATCCCCCACTACAATTGTATTAGTGCTTATTTGGTTTTTCATGTTATTTAATATTTGTTTTATATAGTTGGAGGCATTTATATTTGGTGCAAATGTTTATGATTGTCATTTTTTCCTCTTGAATTGTTCCCTTTACTAGGATTTAGCAGCTTTCTTTGGCTCTTTTAATCAGTTTTGGTTTGAAATTTACTTTGTCTGTGAATAAGATTGGTACCCCTGTTTTTGCTGGGCTCCTGTTGCATGGAGAATTGTTTTCCACCCTTTCACTTTCAGTCTATGGGCTTCTTTTTGCACTAGGTGTGTTTCTTGTATACAACATATTATTGGATTTTGCTTCTTAATCCGTTCTGCCTATCTATTTCTCTTGATTGGTGAATTGAGGCCATTGACATTGATAGTTATAACTGATATGACTTATTATTGTCCTGTTATTGTCCTTTTGTTGACTCTTTTTAATTTTTTGCCCTCTCCTTTTAGTTTCTTGCCTTGGTGATTTGATTTGCTCTGTTGAGCCTCATGGTATGATCTTCATTGTCTTTTTCTAGGATATTGTTTGAAATTCCTTGTAGTGCGGTTTAGTATTCATGAAGTTTCTCAAGTGTTCTTTGTCATAGTAGTATCTTATTTCTCCATCCATTTTGAAAGAGAGTTTTGCAGGACACATCCGTCTTGGTTGGAGGTTGTTTTCTTTTAGGATTTGAAATACCTCACTCCAGGCTCTCCTTGACCTGAGGGTTTGTGTTGAAAAGTCTGCTGTGATTCTGATGGGCTTTCCTTTGCATGTGATTTGTTTCTTTTCTGTTACTGCTTGTAGTATTTTGTTCTTCTGTTAGGTTTCTGGGATCTCTATTATTATATGTCTAGGTGTAGATTTTTTTGTTTTTTTTGATTGTGGCTAGTTGGGGTCCTATATGCCTCAGTTATCTGAATGTGAAATTCTTCCCCTGTTTTTGGGAAGTTTTCTGTCATTAATTCTGTGAACAGCTTTTTAAAGTCATTTGCATTTTCTCCTGCTACTTCATGGATCCCTGTTAGTCTTATGTTATTCTTCTTTGCATCGTCTAGGAGTTGTTGGATCGATTTCTCACGCTCCCTTACTGTTTTTAAGAGACCTCTCTTTTCATGGTCACTGTCTGCTATCCTATCTTCTATATCTGAGATTCTGTCTTCACAGTCTTTTATTCTGTTGCGAACACTTTCAATAGTGTTTTTAATCTCCTGGATATCTGTTTGAATCTGTTTAATGGATTCCATTTCTTTCCTATGTTGGGTGTTCATTGTTTCCATTTCTTTCTTATGCTGGGCCTTCATGGTTTCTGTTATGTTCCTGAGCTCATCTCTTTTTTTGTCAGTTTCTGTTCTAGAATCTCAAATCATGACTTTCATTTTGCTCACCATCTCTATGGTTATCTGGGAAATTATTTCTGTTTTGAATTTTTCTAGAGCCGATCGATCTGTTTTGTTACTTCCTGTGTTGTGAGTTCTTAGTGTCCTGGAGGTTCACTATCAGACTTTTCATCCTCCTTTGCCCTACTGTTTGCCATTGGTGGACTGGAAGTTTGTCTTTGTGGCTTGCTTAGGTGTTTTCTCATCTTTATTTTTGCTGTTGGGTTGTCCTTGATTTAATTTCTGGGTTATTAAATCTTCTTGATATCACTGTGAGTCCCAGCCTTTGATTCTCTAATGACTCATAGACATTCTCATTTTCATAATAGAGCAAACAGCTTGTCAAATCAATCCCTGTCCTTTATCCCAATCGATACATTCAGGAACACAATAGAATCAGTCACCATCCTTTATAGCCAGCGATGCCTCTGCAGAGTGCATCCAAGGACTGGCACAATCAGAGGATCTGAGAGTGGGGGAGAGGGGTGCTCAGCAGCGCCCACGCAGCTACCCTCCTGGTGCTGGATCAGGAGCAGTGGCACCCGCAGGGAAAGGTGCGTCTATGCAGACCCATAGACCAGGCCCCGGCCAGAGGAGGGAGATCTGAAGTCCAAGCCAGCCGCTTTACCAAAACTCACCCTCCAAATAATTTTCATTTAAAGAGCTGATAGAAAAAAATGGCCTGGAGATTTGCTTTAAATACCCTAAATATAGAAGAGAAGCAGTAGACTTATGTACAATAAAATGATCTGTTAATTTTTTTCATTCATGAAACATTTCTGAAACACCCAGTATGTGTTTTGGAAATGACATGATTTTTTTGTTTTTTGTTTTTCTTTGGTGCTGGGGATTGAACTCGGGTCCTTGTGCTTGCAAGGCAGGCAGTGGCACCACTGAGCTAAATTCTCAGCCCTGAAGACACAATATTAAATTATCAGAAACTGATAGACCAGTAGAGAATGTCAACAGGCATATTTTAAAATTTCATTTTATTCAAAAATGTAAGAGAGCTGGGGATTTAGCTCAGTAACCACTGCCTGCCTCACAAACACGAGGTCCTGAGTTCAATCCCCAGTACCAAAAAAAAAAAAAAACCTAAAATTTAGTTGATGTGAAACACTTTGAACCTTGTCATAGGCATCTCAGTATAAGAACAACATCACTCTTTCTAATGACTGGTCATTAAATGGTGACTGTGGATTCAATTACTCACCTTCAGTGGGATCAGCTTTGCTTGTGTAATTATCACCTCTTCCACCCTCATGTATGCACTGCCTTGAGACTTTTGCAGTTTTAGTTTCAGTGTGTAATGTACGTAACCTAGGAGGCTGCAGAGAATCAGAAGTAAAGGGTTTAAATGAGATCTAAGGCTGGCAGCAGATGGTGAGTTCCAGCCCAATTTTGGGGGCAGTGCAGGCAAAGCAAAGAATGTTCCTTGGTAGCACATATTATCTTTATTTACCCTTGTTCCTTAACTGTCTAAAAGCCTAGTGCAGAACATCCTACCATGAGGGCTTGGACAGAATTGACAGCAAACAAAAACATGTATTTACCTGGGACATGTTTATCTCATAGAGAACATCACTGTTCTTCTGTTACAAATTGTTCGAGATAAAGGACTATTTGGAGACATTGCCATTCACTTGACAGCTAAACCTAATTTCTTACTGCACATCAATAATCAAGCTACTGAGAATGAAGATTATGTATTACAAGAAACAATAATAATAATGAAAGAAAACATAAAAGAAACTCATGCCAAAGTTGCCATTTTGCCAGTAAGTATAGATTGCAATAAATATGTTGTAAAATGAAGAAAAATGCTCTTAAATGTAAAATTGTGATGCTTGTATAGGTAAAAGTCTGTTTTAAAAAGACGTTGTTAAACATAAAGCTATAATTTCCCATCCAAATAAGTATTTAATAACGAGTAAGTATCTTACATGGCTGGCAGAAGTGACAAGGGTATTCTTCATTTTAATTTTTCAATAATTTGAATGAACTTTGAAACATTTACTTTATTTGATTATATATCTGATTAGCTCCACTATTACGTAGACCAATCTGTTGCTTTAAACGAATTGCTGAATGAATGAAAGGCCTAAATCCATCTGGTTATTTTTATTGTTTTGACAGGGGAATGTTTCATTTCATGACACAATTGCTCGAATCAAGATTAATAATCAGATGGTTTCATTTTAGTTTTCTGTGCATTCTGTTTTCTGTGCTACCGTACTTAACTTTCCCATCACTTTGGAGACAATACCTGACATCCACAACATAAAGGAGACGTCTGGTTTGGCTCTCAGTTCAGGGGATTCAGCCCATGGTCAACTGGCTGCAGGGCAAAAAGTATCTGGTGGAAGGGTGTGGCAGAGCAGAGCTGCAGGGAGGAAGCAGAACAGGGAAATGGTGAATTCCCAGAGGACCAGTTACTGTCTTCAAGGCCACTCCTTTAAGACCAATCCAGACCCCCAGAAGTGGGCTTCTCTAACCCCTGGGCATGTCTTAAACCAGTCAAGTCCACACGATAATCCTAACCTCCAACATATCTATGCCAGTGTGTATGTCTGTCTCTATGCGCATAATTAGAAATCAGAAGGAAGACAAACTATGTGAGTATATATACCTATAAGGAGGCTCAAAAACTGAAAGTGGCATAATGGCATTTGTGTTATTTATGTGCTCAAACATTGTGTTTACATGTAATAGTTTATATTAAATAACTGTGTGTTACCTATTATAAATATATTACTAAATAAGTAACAGTATATAATAATATTAGTGGTATTATTAGTGGTATTGATGCTATTACATAATAGTGTCTTTTGGAGAGGACAGTCTAAGACAAAGGGAATAAAGTAGAAAGGAGATTTCCTTTCTTTTTAAATATAATTTCTTTTTTATTTAAAAATTATTATTACCTGCTCAAGCATAAAGTTAATTTTTTAATTAATTAAAATATAAAGCTATATCTAGATTTACAAGTTCAGAGCTTTTGCGTTTAAAGCATGTAGAATTTACCAGCTTCTCTTAAATTTCTTTTGGAATATTATATGTAAAATTTTCAATAGGATATGGTCACAATTGAATGATAGATTTTTAAAAATTATTTTATGTGCTATTGAGAATGAAGGTTTCATTGAAACATCACCGTTAATCTTAAATACCCCATAGACCTGAAGTTTCAGTGAGAACATATTAAAATACGACAAGCAGTCTTTTTTGATATGTGACCCAGTTGCCAGTTCCTGTAGATGTAGTCAGTTCCTTACTGGAAAATGTCAAATTTCCGATGCAAATTAAGTAAGTTTGGAGAACTAAGAGTCCGCCTCTGTCTCCACCCAGGATGATGCTCCTGAGCTGGAAGAAGGCTTTGTGGTCTCCATCACAGAGGTGAGCCTTGTCAGCTCTGGCTTCTCTGCGGAGCCGCCCCGTGTGCGGAGACCTGGACTGGAAATGGCTGAGGTGGTGATCGAAGAAAATGATGATCCCAGGGGTGTCTTTACGTTTCAGGTCTCCAGGGTAAGATGAGCTCTCATGTGTTTATCGCCATAGAGAAGCCTGTCCCTGCTGACTTTCTATATTTTCTGCAAAATAACTGGTTTTGCAGGTGGATATTTATAAATATATAAGTAACCAAAATTATCTCATTAGCTAATTCTTGGTTTCCTTTGAACTAGTGTAAGATTAAGCAAGTTTGTTTCCATTAAATTGCAATCTTACACGTACCGCTAGGAATGTGTACTTTGAAGAGAAAGTCTGAGAGCTAACTGGGAACAGAGGGCGGAGAGAGCGCGACGGGGGGCCACCCTGGGCCTCGCCTTTGGGTGTCATTGCAGGACGCTGGTGGCGCTGTGGCCGCCCACGAGCTGCCGCCGCCCTTGAACGTCCTCCTGGTTCCTGTGGTGCGGCTGGCCGGAAGCTTTGGCGTGGCGAGCGTTCACTGGACGGCTGTGCCGGGCAGCGCTGGCTCCGAGGACTTCGCACCGCCGCAGGGGACGCTGTACTTCGCAGATGGCCAAGTACGCACGCCTTGAATGCAGTTTCTTTTTGCTCATACTTCAGACATGTTCTAGGCAAGCATGGTTGAGCGTGCAGCAGTGATGGCACTCTTCTAAATGTTTCTGTGTTCAGTCAAACAGAAATATTAACTCACAGGTCATCTATTGGTGGCATAGGAAGAGAAGGTTAAGAGATAAGAATCTCACCCGTGTCTGAGTTTCCCCACCTGATTCCAGTTAAAATAGAATTTATAAAACAGTAACTGACTTAGAGGTGCCTAACAATGTGGAAAAAACTGCCTGATGAGCTAAACTGTCTCTGTGTTCATTAGTTTCTTTCATTTACTAATGTTCATAGCTACACATTTTTTACTTTAGGATTTTTAGTACTACCATGCACATTTATGAATTAATACCCAAAACTTAGTTTATAATTCTAAAAAGGCTTAAATGGTACAAAAACAAACAAAAAAAACACCAAAACCCAGAACCATTAAACTTCAAAAAAATTTGGAAAAAATTATCCTAGATTTAAGTCTAATGATCTTAAAATAACAAAACATTCCTCAACTGTTGTAAGTTTTATGAATTGGGCATTTTGTGATATAAGACTTTTTAAAATAAAATTTTAATCAGTAAGTGGAAAAAGCATAGGAATAAAGAGCCATGAAAGTGTTAGTAACGTCAGACAGCAGAGCCAGCCTTGCTTTTCTGGGACGCATCGTCTTACTCCCTGCGCATATGGATCTAGATTTTCCTTCATTTTCCTACCCAGAAAGATCTCTTATTGTAAATGTTTTTGAAATCATGATTTTTTTTTTGCCAGATTAAGAACTCTGACCCATTTCCTATAAAAGGAGGGAAAGGAGAATAAATGAGATAAAAGCAGAAACAAATTGATTTTTCACCAAGGCAACCTTCCAATTATGGTTTTATCATCAGCATTTATTCTGAGCATGGTGTTAAAGATTCATTATTTGCCAGAACCCTCAGAACCATCGTAATTCCTAAAGCTCACGTAGCACAGGGAAGATATTCTGTATTCTCCAGCTCAGGTTTGAGGTGCAGATGTTTTCCTGAGCTTCTGTTTCAGCATTTGGCTTTATTCAGGTTTCTTCTGAGTGTGGCATCTAGATTTCCTGCTTTTCTCTGCTGTTAAGGGTTTTAGGTGGACTTACATAGAAAAACCATTTTCTGGTAAATATGTGTGTTAAAGTACTAGAATTTACCTGTGGGAAACAGAAAAAATACTTTTTTTCATGCTGCATTTTTATTCTTATAACAATAACTTAGCTTGGGGATAGTCTTTTGAAGTTTATAAAAACTTTACATTATCTCACTGATTCACCCATGGTAGATAGATTGCAGATACATTTATTAAAATTTCACAGTGTAAGCACAAGTGTACAAAGCAAGATGCCAGTTCACATAATACCTTGATGTCATTGCTAGTCTTTCTTTATTGTTTTATTTTTTTCCATTAAGTTTATTAGTACAGTTAAGGTAGACAGTACAGTTACATTCATCATTGGGATCTTGTACCTTTACGTGATGTGTCTTGGTTCTTATTTCTTCCGCATTCCCCTGCCCTCCCTTCATCCTCTTCACCCTTCCCTATGTACAAAGACTTTGTTTCCATTTTTTTTCCTTTCAGAAAAAATACTTTTAATGTGGACATATAGCTGAGTCTTTGTGTTTTTTTGTGTGTTTGTGGTTTTTTTTTTTTTTTTTTTGGTACTGGGGCTCAAACTCAGGGACACTTTTACCCCTGAGCTACATCCTCATTCTGTTTTGTTTGTTTTAAAATAGGGTCCCACTAAGTTGCCAGGTGGTACTTGAACTTAGGACCCTCCCGTTTCAGCTTTCATGAGTGTAGCAGGGATACTTTTATGACTACTAGCAAAGTCACAAGCTGGACCTTTTTTTATTTTATGAGAGGGGGTCTCATTAAAGTGCCTACCCTGTTCTGGCCCCTGAGTGACAGTCTCTGGAGTAGCTGGGATTGTAGGTGCACGCCACCGTGCCTGGATGGACCAAGCATTATTTATAAGTTTATAAAAAAAACTTTTAGTATAAACTCAGAGGTGTGAACTAACTCCTCATCATAAACAACTGGTAACAGCAAATTTGAGGTTATTTTCTTGCCTTTCTTTTTCCATATGTTAAAAAAAAAACTATTTGAAGCTGATGGGATTTACTTTAATTGCAGAAGACAATGATAACTTCCACTTTATATCATGTAATATTAATACTCAGCACACACAGGTTTCATGTTTGCATAATGGTGGTTAGAATTTGTGTGGCATTTAATTTTTTTCAAGAATGAGAATCCACTGTTTTATCTATCTATAAATGTACAATATTTTATTACATAGATAATTTTCATTTTGAAAATAAAAGACTAAAGTTCTGACTTTGAAATACTGCAGGTATATATGATTTTTAAAGTATTGTGAATATAAAAGGTAAAACCACATTTCCTTCTTTTGTACCATGTTTCCAAATTTCAACTAAAAAATTTAAATATATAAGAGGAAAAACTTGTATTAATTATTTCCATTTTCTTTCCCTCCTTCCTTACACCTCTCGCTTCCTCTTTTTTCTTCTCTCTCTTTCTCGTTTCCTTGCTCCCTTTCTTTCACAGGTCACCGCAGTGATAGAAATCACCATAATCGATGATGCTGATCATGAGCTCATGGAGATGTTCAGCGTCTCCTTGACCAGTGTGTCTGGAGGCGGCACACTTGGTGACGATGTTGCCTTAACTGTTGTTATTCCACAAAATGATTCTCCATTTGGAGTGTTCGGATTTGAAAAACAAACTGTAAGTTAAATATATCAGTTGAGCATTCCGCCGCAGGCCAGTTTTTAATGTCATTTTCAGTAGAAAGTGGTCTTCTTGTTTTGAAATTCCCCGTTACCAACTTCACTTGAGTCTCTCTTCAAGTGTCTCCTGAATTGGCTGTGATGTAGAGGCCAGTCCTCCAGTGTGCACACACTGCCTTGCAGCAGGAGAGCTCTTACTCTACACAGGCAGTCACAGAGGGAAACGGACTCGGGTCTGCTGGCTACAGTAGACGAAGACGTGCTGTCCCCACACCTCCCTTTCTACGACCCTGCCGCCAGTCTCCCTCCTGTTCCGAGTGCAGGGTTCTGTCATGGGGGTCCTGCTCTTACATCCCAGTGTGGCGTTAGCTAGTGAAGGATTTGTATTACCTGCTGTCTTCATTTATTTTGAACAAAACCCCACAGTCGCCCCAGCTCATGTTTCCTCCCGTTTACTTCTCATCGGCTGTTTTCTTCAAAGACTCAAAGAAGGGAACCCAGTTGTTACTGGTTCAACCTCAAGGGAGGAGAAGGAGTTTAACCAATCATGAGAATTTAATATTTGTGTAGCAGGCTTGGTGACCAGTACTTAATTATCATCACATTTAAATATAAAGCACTATAAACTGTCATAATTATTATTTCATGATGACCATGTCATAATTAATGTGATTTTACCTATTCAATACAGTTCCCAGGTGAGACATTCATAAAAATCCTTAGGTAATTCCTTTATATTCAGCAACTTTTCTGGTCCTATACATCAGTGTCCCTTTACATAATCATTTATAGGTGATCAACAATCACAATAAATCATTTTTAAGGATAAACCAATTGCTCTAATGCTCTTTGTCTTTTATTGTGGACCCAAGGCTCAGTCTATAAGTTGCCTATTAGAAAGAGCTTCCCAGGGGCTTAGAGTTTAAATATAGCCTAATAATTGCCTGGCCACTGAGAAAAGTAGCTTTGGGTGTCTCCTGAGCAACACAGCAAGTCTTGGATATGTAAAAAATCATAAAGAGGAGAATGAAAGTTTCTAGAATATCTGCATCTCAAGGGAGATATCAGTAATGGTTTATTGTATCTCCAACCATGTCATATCTCTTTGCATATATGCAATATTTGTGTATATATTTTAATGCACATAAACATGTAAATCATTTTTTGAAAATCTTGAACTTCTAGGCTTAGATAAAAAAATAGGATTTAATGTTCAAGTTTTCATTTAGTAAACTCTTATAATACTGTTTCTGATTTTAAATGTATCAAACTTTTGGATTCAAGAATTGGATAATATGTTTATAAGCTTCACTTCCTATACAGAAATGAAGAATCATGTTGCTATTCATGAATTATTTTTGTTTAATAATTTTGTCTCATCCACTGTTGCAAACTTTGGTTCTCTAAACTTAGGCATGGTTAGAAATACTACCTAATTGTATTGGTCTCCAAGTCCCAATTTGTTTAGATTACCTACTCTGTGGGTTTCATTCCCCATAAATATTATGAGGAATCAGTGGGCTAATGTGTGTAAAGCACTCATACCCGGGCTTTGCGCTCAATGAGTGTCAGTTGCTGTCTTCATTGTTGGTAGAGTTAGTAACTTGCTGCTCAGCCCTGTGGTTGCTTTCCTCGTCACCTGTATTTCTTGGTAGCCTGAGGTGATCTTTTGATACATATGTAAGAAGTGCAGCATTGAGCACACAAAGATCACTCCGTTTGCATCGGTTGGTGACACAGATAGGTTGAAACCTGAAAAGCACTGGGAAACGGTTGTTAGTATAAAGCTGTCCACATTGGCAAGCCGCTCATGAGGGCAGTGCAGCACGTATGTGAGAACTGACGCACGACAGAAGTGCCAGCAGTATCAGGTAGCTCCCAATCTCCATTCTTGGTGCTAGTGCAAAACCCTCATGAGAAAAACAAAACAAGGTTGCATTACACACTTATTAAGTTTCTGTCTTGTAAGTGGAAAACATGTGTTGTATTTTGAGTTTACATAAAAGTTGGATATTACAGGTTCACAAGGTCAGCATATGTAATTCATTTGAACTGACTCTCTTAACAAGAACTTGTATAAAACAGTAGCGCTGGTAAATTAAAATCAGAACTTCTCTTTCATATCAGATTTTAAAATTCCTTTTAAGGTTTGACTCGCTAAAGTTGGAAAACACCAGATAATTCAGGGGACAGTTCAGGTCTGTGGGGAGCCTGATCGCCATGACCAGGAACCCCCAAATCTGGGTTCCTCATTTCTTCCTTAGGCAGGAGTCTCACCCTAGTGGTCCTGGTGTGCAGCCAGATATGGGACACCTCTTCACCACCTGGCTTTAGCCTCGTTTAGGTCCCAAGCATCATCACCAGCCACCTGGCAGATGGGCAAAGGAAAACGTGGAGGATTGTGGGCACTTTGACAGCCGGGTGCCAGTGGCATGTGCCACTCCTGCACGCAGTCTCTTGCCAGGATTCAGCCACATGCTGTTTCGAGCTGAGAGAGAGGACAGGAAATGGCTAGTAGTCGTGTGTCTGGGAAGAATGGGAGTGGAGTGACCTGGAACACGCCTGCCGTACGATGATAACATACCATGAAGAGCAGCCTAAATGCAAACCCTGCATCTTAGAAGTAAGATTTTGTTTCTCCTGTTATCATCATTATTACTATTGCCGTACTGGATCTTCTTTCTTCAGGTAATGGTTGATGAGTCCCTTGGGTCTGATGACCCCGATTCCCGTGTGACATTGACGGTGGTCCGGTCCCCGGGAGGAGAAGGAGCTGTCCAGCTTCAGTGGGCAGTGGAGGATAAAGCCAGGCATGATCTCAGCCCTCTGAATGGGATACTTCACTTCGCTGAGGTACAGTCAGCCCCGGGACTCCTGTCATTTTCCTTTAATTCGCCCATGCTTTTCTTCAGCATAGTGCTACTGATGAGTTTATATAACAGTGTTCAGTATATTTTTGTCCCTGAAATTGTTTACTCCACTCTTGACAAAAGAGGAGTTGAGCTCTTTTTGTGGTCTGTTGACCTTTCTTCCAAGCACTAATCACCAAACAGCACAGGAAGAAATAGTCCTGGTTTTGTTTTGCTGCCCACCATTCTTGAGACATCGATGACTGTGCTGGCATTGAGACTCGAGTCAAATATCACAGACGTATCACCCACTTGTTTCTCAAATTCTAATAAATGATGACTTGAAATTGCATGCCCCAGCCATAATTCTGAAAATTTATTACCTGGTATGAAACAGTTGAAATTTAGAAATTAGTCTAAAAAATTCTATGAAGATGACATGAGCAATAATTTTCTGTTTACCTCATTTGAACAGTTAGATCTACTTCCCAGCTTATTAGGAAGATTTTCTGTTTTGAGCATAGAATATATACCAAAATAGCAAGCATTCTGATCTTTCCCCCAAATGAGTAAGGCTATCCTCTTTCAGAGTCTTACCTCAAGAAGGGTGTACTTGTTTCTGGATGGCACCCTGTGTTCAGTTGCTTGGTCACCAACCACGTACATTTCATGAACATCTGCATAGCGCTTCCATTGTTTTTGCACATCCAGGTCTAAAGTGTCCAAGTGTCCAAGTGTCCATGGGCTCTTCTTTGGTTTGGATGATATCTCAGCCTTTTCTGGTCCTGCTCTTGGATACAGGTGGCTCTCTGATCCCACAGATCATTCTCCTTGCAACTTGGTGCTCACATCTGGCAGTTGAGATACTGGTCTACAAGAGCTGTTATATTTAGGACGTGTCCCTTATTGTACCAAGATTTAAGGTACAGTGGTTCCTTGGACTACTTCAAAGTGAAATAGAGCTCTGGGTTCATGGTTCCCCCATTTACAGGGAAATTCTCACCATGGTTCTGTTCAGTCCTCTCTTATCAATGAGGTGAAGTTATTTTGTCTTATTTCTACCTGACAAATGGTCCAGGGTGTGAAATCCATGTCTTCCTGGTGAGGCTGTGAGATGGGTGTCAGGAGGCTCTTAGATGCTTCTCCTTGTACTGGCACCTACATAAGTGCATGAAGGAGCACTGGACAGGATGAAGGCAAGTGCAGTGCAGTCCTCACCTCTGCTACTGTACGCTGCAGCTCGTTCTGAAGACAGACTGGCTCTTCAAGTTGACCTGAGATGTGGGAATGTTGTCCTGAACAGTTACTGGATAGGGACCATGTGAGAAAGAGGATCCAGCCCTGCAGGAGGAGGAGGCTTTCTAGAAATGAGGCGTTTTCTAAGGAGCCTGACCTACGGCAGCTCGTCCTGGAAACACGCCCAGCTCACGGATTAGTCCTTGCCAGAAGGGGGTGGAGGTGGCCCTCAGAGCATCGCCACAGAGACCGAGAGTCCCTCCCACTCTCCTTGGCCTTCTTTCTCTACCCTTCCTGCTTCTTGCCCACTGCACCCACCAAGGATGGTCCCAGGGTAATCACTGTTATTCCTTCCCCCTCTGTCTTCCCCCTCACTCAGGATTTCCTTAGAAATGCTGTTTTCAGTGTAGGATGGCGGAGTAAAATGGTCCTTGCAGAAAGGAAATATGCAGAGAAACACCATTCTTGCTCAGAGCTGTAACTGTGGCACCTATCATTTTTACCTCTACCTTTTACTCTGCATTTTGATAAAACAACTTCAGTTTGTCCTCCACACCACTGATTAAATTTTCTGCAGTGTAGATTCTTCTATTTATTGCTTCTTGTAAATATTGGATTTTGCGATTGCATCTTTCTTCGATATTGTGAATCTTAACTAGTATTATTTTCATCTCTTTTCTCAAATGATTTCTCTTCATAGTTACTTATTCCTACTTTATAATATTTACATCCTAAAGTTTTATGGCAGTGTCCAGAGTGTGTACTCCCTGCCCGAGGCCTTGTTAGATGTAATCAGGGAAGTCTATTTTCCTAGGGTCAGCATAGGCCCTGGGCCTGGCATTCAGAGAAGTCAGGAAATGTTCTGACCCAGTCTGCGTTCTCCTTACTGTGCAGGTTCACGGTGTGCAGTGCATCCGTGTCCTTTCATCTGCCCCAGCTTGTCACCTCCCCACAGGAATGTGCCGTCTCGGTTTCAGAAGCACTTTACAGCTTGAGTTTCTTTTTCTTTTGCTAATGTTTTGGTCCTGTATGGTGTCTGTATGTGCTCTTGATGAAGTCACCTCTCCCCCACCAAGCCTGCTGCTGGGGCAACCTGGAAATCTTTTCTCCATCTTTATGGTTTAATCGGTTACAGCAATATATGTGACATTGTTATAAGCCTCAAATAACACAGATGGAGGAAAATAAGGAAAAATCCCCTGAATCCTCTTGGATCTTACATTGCAGCCTCCCAGAGGTAATCACTAATGACAGTTTCTCATGTATCCTTCCAAAAATTTTCTGAGCATATTCAAGCCTATGTATCTTATTCTTACACAAGTGGAATTTTAGTCTGCTGTCTGTTCTGTAACTTGCTCTTTTTGACTTCACAGTTTATCATAAACATTTATTTTTACATACTAACCAAAATCTACTGCATTAAAAATGGGTTATGTATTCTTCATTATGTTTATTCTTCTCTTAACACCGTTATTCATAAGCACCATGTTTCACATGGTTTTTATGACTCTGGCGTTTCTTAGCTATCTCTCTGCAATTCACATTTCTTGCGCTGTATTTGGCCTCTCTGGTTGCCCCTTTCTGGAGGGTTTGTCTGCCATCACAGACTTCTTCTGTCACCTCAGGTTGTGTCATCTGCATCTCCTTTACTCTCTTTCCAGGCTGGGTTCTCTTGTGCTCCTGGAAGTTCCCACTGAAAAACTGTAAGAGTTGTAGGCTCAGAACTAGCTAGACCTTAATCTGAATTTTATCTTCACTCTGCCACTTAATGCCATGTAGCTTTGGGATGATTGACTAATTTCTCTCATGTTAGGTTTCCTACGTGCAGAGTGGGGAGGGTAGTAATGCTTAACCTAATCAAAGGCTGTAAAGATTGTATGAAATTATGTTTGTGAAGAGGCTGGCCAACTTCCTGCCCTTGGTTAGTGGTTTATAAAGTGATTACAAAATAGTTCTGAAATAGTCAGAAAGCCCAGTTAAGTAGCTCAGTGCTACCTCAACTTAATAGAGCAAAACTCTACTTCTTTCCTACCTTGTGTGAATGAAGTTAGAAGCTTTAAAGTTCAGTTAGGAAACAATTTGTGTTCTCATTTTCCTGAGAAGGCCTGGAGTGCCATTTTTCTGAGCAGCTATTCTGCAGTATAGTAATAAATGCTCTGAATTTTAAAAGCAAAAAAAAAAAAAAGATTCTGTGATCAAATCAACCTGGGAACATCTTGATTCAACTAAGATGGCTTTTTGTGCAGGATATTTTATAAGCCTTATTTAAGTGCAGTTTGAATCCCTACTAGAAATTTTCTGAGTTTATTTCCCTGTGAAGCTTCCCGTTGCCTTTTATCTGAGAGGGTTTCATGCTGTCCTTTATAACCAGAGCCCAAAAGCGTTGCTTGGGAATTTCTCCCTGTTACCACGGTTCCCCCTGACTTCTGGGTGTCTGTATCTCAGAGAAGTGGGGACCCCAGCACATGAAAAGCTGGCTTCCATAGGTAGTAGTCAATGGGGAGCACTAGAAATGTGTAGAATACAATTGAGTTGTGTGAGTCGGGTGTGGTCAATTCCTACTGTTCCTGAGGCTGCGCTTGAGCGTTTACCCACGCCCTGAAATCCATTCATCTCCCCAGCCTCCGGTCTTGGCGACTCATTCTTTCATACTTAGGTGTGGACATACAGTGGCGAAAATGTCATTCTCCAAATTTGCTCATTCTCAGCTGAGGGGGAACCAGCAATACCTTTTCTTGTTTTGACTGAGTAAACAAGTGTCGTTTTCCGAATGCATTGTCATGTTTGTGTGTGTGTGTGTGTGTGTGTGTGTGCGCGCTTTTTGTTGGTGATCTCACTGTTTAAAATGGCCCCCAAGTGTAGAGCTGAAATCTCATGTTCTGAAGCAGAAGGGAGCTGTGATGTGATGCTATTATATGTTTAATAATCTTCATTCAGTATAAGTCACAGTGCTTACTTAACATGAAAAGTGTGTTAAAATGTTTTGTCCATAGGCCTATGTTTGTGAGTGATTAGAGTGCCCAGGTATTGACTGTGAGGTTACAAGTAAATTTTAGTGAGTATGCAGATTCAGAAGTACAGAATTCAAGAATAATCAGAATCAACTATATAAGAGCAATAGCACTTCAGGTAAATAATTGTACATACAACGAAGTCCATACAAGAATGAATGTTCATGGCAATATTACTTATAATATTAGATGACCAGTGTTAGACATGTCTTGCAAGTAGTGTGAATGCACAGAGGGGAATCCCTGCAGCTGTCAAAGGGATAAGTTGTATCTACCTGCATTGACATGGCCAGCTCTCCAATAGTGAAGGAAAAATGCAGAAGCAGATGCATTTAAGAGAGAATAACAGGATGGGGGAGGGTTTTTTGTTTTTGGGGTGTGTGTGTGTGTGTGTGTGTGGTACTGGGGATCAAACTGAGGACCTTGAGCTTGCAAAGCAGGCGGCGGAACCACTGAGCTAAATTCCTGGCCCAGGAGGGGGGAGTTTGACAAATGGGATTGAAACAGATGAATGCAGATGTGCTGGTGCAGGTCTGTAATCCCAGCTATTCTGGAGGCTGAGGCAGGAGGATCATGTGGCCCTGGACATACAGACTATCGAGGGAAAATTAGTAAGACTTCATCTCAGAAATAAAACAAACATACAAAAAGAAATGGCCAGATAAGGGTGACAAGAAGAATAAATAAAAATAAAAGGCTGTGTGTTGTCCAGCAAAGACAGAGCTGCAGGCAGGAGTGGGATCCACACAAACCATGCTACTGAAATCCAGGGAGAGAAAACATGCACAAGACCAACAGTCAGTAACATTTTGTGCCTGGAATGCTCGTGTGCACCTGTAGTCCTAGCTACTTGGGAGGGTGGAACAAAAGGATTACTTGAGTCCATAAATTCGAGACCAGCCTGGGCAACATAGTGAGACCCTGTCTCTAGACAAATAAATACAATTTTTATGATTTTGCCGTAGTGGGGGAAAAGTAAAAACTAACGACAAAAAACAGTATCTTAAAGGTGAAATAAAAGACGAAATGTATACACACAATACCAATCTCCTAGATAGAAGCACTAAGTTTTCTAATGAAATAGGCCCCTGACTACTGCCCTCCGTACTGTGTTAGCGAGGAAGGTACTGTTGCTAACTGGACAGTGATAAAACCTGCCATGAGGCGGACGTGCAGTGGTGACAGCAGAGGCAGTCTCAAGGCTGTCACCTGCCCAAGACTAGGGTTGGCCAAGCTGTTTCCTCATTTGAGTAGAGCCAGGTGCCTCTGATGCATGATTTGTTTGTTTGCTTATATTTATGATGTGACCACTTAGCTCTCTAGGATTCGACCTTCAATGGTTGAAATTTTTGGAGATGTGTTAATCTTTTCTCCATTTTTCTCATTAAAAGCCCCATTGGAATTTAAGAATATTGAGACTTGCCAGGTGTAGTGGTGCACACCTGTAATCCTAGCACTTGGGAGGCTGAGGCAGGAGGATCGCTATGAGTTCGAGACCAGCCTGAGCTACATAGTGAGTTCCAGTCAGTCTCAACTACGTAGTGAGACCCTGTCTCAAAAAAAAAAAAGAATATTGAGACTAATCAGACCTAGTTTTTTGAATAGTAATTCTTCCTTGGCATAAGTCAAACTTCTAGGTGACAAAAAGGGCACACGTAAAGTGTTTATGGACACAAACACTATTCCACAGTCAGATTTGACACTAGACCCTGGGGGGATTGCTTGTCTCTCTTGATTGCTACAGATGGAGTCCCAGAAGACCATCGTCCTGAACACACTCCCAGACGCCACGTGGGATGAGGACAGACACTTCACCATTCAGCTGACGGCAGCTGATGAGGTAGAAATATCTCCAGTAAAAGGTATGAGAAAGTCACGTTTTTGCAAATTAAAAACTTGACCCTCAAAAAATGTAACTGAATAATCAGTAGTTGCAATGATAGGCAACATTAGCTTTTATAATTCCTAAAATCTTTGCTATAACATAAGGATATAATTTTCTACCCCTGCTACAGATAAAGGATTTTAAAATCAAATTTATAATACCCAACATTGGTGGGATCATAGGTTGAACATTCCATGCCACCTGGTGCTGATATTTTTAAAATAAAGACATTCCTTGTGGTACTGTTCATATAATAAACATAGAAACTTCTGAAATAGTCCCACAGCAGAAGATTGGTTAAAATGTGGCAGAAAACTGCAGCCATTCAAAATGGTATAACAGAAAAAGCCAATAATTACATTAATGTTAAGTACACTTGATTTCATGAGTGACTGTTAATAAAGTAGTCTTCACAACAATATAGTAAGTGTAATCTCATTTCTTATCAGGTGCGTGTCTTACATGAGTTTGGAATTATTTATTTGAAATGTCAATAGTGTTTTTGTTTACCTATTTTTGTAAGCTATTTTTAATGATCACATACTACTTTTGTAATAAAATATTTTAAAACTTAATACATTGTTACGTGTGATATGATAGCCCAACTAAACCTGTGAACACTAATTGCTCAGATATTTTCGTATTTCAGAGACAGACATCATAATTCCCATTGCCTGTGGTCTGCAGGCTGATATGATTTTTGGACCAATAGAGAAAGGATAAATGGTTCTAAAATGGTTTTTTTGTGCTATAAACAGGACTGACAGTTTTAAAAAATGGCCTAGAAATTCTGGTTATAAATCCTTGATAGTGTTACCTGCCTTTCTTTCTTTGCCATCACAGTTCTATCCTGTGCAGTGGTCTATGACTAAAATTAAATTGTGTGGACAAGAACATTACCAAGATTGTAGAGTATCACCTTACGTATGAGAGGTAGTTTTTCTTCCTGCCTGTTGATCTAGAGTCCCTTCCAGCAAGCCTACTGTGTCAGTCAGCTTTCTGTCTCTGACAGAACACCTGAGACAGTCTATCTGTGAGGAGGAGAGGTTTATTTTGGCTCATGGTAGCAGTCTCTGGTAGGTAGGCCATGGCTCTCGGGACTGACAAGGCAGCACAGAAAGCTGCTTACATCATGGTGGCTGGGGAGTAGAGCAGAGGAGAGGGACAGGGTCCCAGTGTCTCCTCCGAGGCACAGCGCACCCCAGTGGCCTTCATGCTTCCACTGCCACCTCCCGGTGGTGCCATGGGCTGGAGACCAAACCTGCACACGTGAATCTCTGAGGGACGGTGGAGATCTAACCCTCAGCTGCCAAGGAGGCGCCACATTCTTCCATCATTCTTTAGTGACCCCGCCATGTGCGTCATGTTACGGTGACAATTGATGTTATGTAGGCTAATTAGACACGGAAATGACTCGTGAAGGGTTAAAGTAAAACCTGTGTCAAAATAAAAATTCTCATTGTATTTGTTGAACTGACATCGTTGTGTATGGCAAACTCTCCTTGATTTCCTTAATCCATTGCCCAAGAACATGAGAGTATGATAACACAGCTGTTTCTCGTGATCCCTCCTGTATGCTTCTGGAAGAACTTTCTTCAAGTTGCTGATATATTCGAATATGGATACTCAAATCCTTTGATATAGCTTTTATTTCTGTTTTAGTAGGAATATTTGACACAGTTTTAGAAATGCTTTTGGCCAGATGGTAGTAAAATTAAAACTAAAACATTGCCCCACTAATCCTGGTTTTTGCCACGTAGCCAGGCGACTTATCCACATAGCCGAGTGCAGTGACAGAAAATGCTTGCTGTAGAAGGGAGCTCCTATGAGTGATACAGGAGCTCTTGCTTACCCTGGGACTGAGAGCAGACTCATTTTCCTATTTCCTGCCCTTTCCATAAAAGCTGGATTGTGGGCAAATTTTCAGCGTCTTCAAGGTGTTTCACTGCCCTCATTGGTAGAATGAGGATATTGGTGCCTACCTTACATGATTCTCTTGAGCTCTACGTCTCTGTGTCTGTGTCTGCATCTGTGTGTTTGTATCAGCACTGTGGATCATCCTCCTGTAGGGAGAGCGTCGATAATCATCCGAGGAGAGAAGGCAGCAGCAGGGGAAGTTGGGATCGCTCCGTCCTCCAGGCACGTGCTCATCGGGGAGCCCTCAGCCACGTACGACGGCACTGCCTTCATCAGGTATGGGCTTCAGCGCTGTCCTTTGCCTTGGTAGGGGTCACGAAGTTTTGTTCCGATGATCAGCTGTGTTATGTCATTCACAGTAAACACATGGTGTTCACACACGATCGTTGTATGTGTTGGTAGCACCATGTGGACAGTAAAACTTGAGGCAGAAGTTGAGCACAGGTGAGTTGGATCATGGAGAGGCTGTGGGCAATTTGCTGATCCACACTCAAGGAGTACGTGGACCTGGGTTCTGATCTGAGCTGGCAGCCAGTTCTGTTCCACATTAGTGTGCAACGTGGGAGGGACTTCTTCTCTATGCTGTGTGTCTGGACCACAAAATCATTCCTGAGGAAACCGTCAAGATCAGTTTGATTCTGCAGGGCTCCACAATCCAGCCTTTCATATAACTAAATTAGTACCATTGTAGGGAAGTTTTTTCTCCACTGTTCACTCATGAAATATGAGGAGAACAGCCATCAGTGAAGTAGCTGGATTTGACTTTGTGATTTTATAAAATTATTATTTATTTAATGGGAATACTTTAGCCGGGCGTGGTAGTGCACTCCTATAATCCCAGCATTCAGGAGGCTGAGGCAGGAGGATCACTGTGAGTTCAAGACCAGCCCAGGCTACATAGTGAGTTCTAGTCAGTCTCAACTACATAGTGAAACCCTGTGTCAAACAAACAAAAAAATTAAAAAATTTTAAAAAATAAAGGGAATACTTTATCCTTTCTGTTGCATGCACATGTATGAAGTATTTACTGCTCTTTGGACAACTTCATTAAACAGGCCATGTATAGTGGTTCATGCTTGTTACATCAGCATTCTGAAAGGCTGAGGCAAGACGGTCACAAGTTTGAGCCTAGCCTGGGCAACTTAGCAACTTAGAGAGCACTTGTCCTCAAAGGACGGGAGGGAGGGAAGGAGGGAGAGAGTAACAGAGGCTCTGTGTTCATTCCCCAGTACAGCAAAATAACATAAAGTCACAAAAAAACCTTTGCTAAGTTACTAATATTAAATTTCTTGTATATCAATAAAAATGTATAAATAATTCTCCTTATTCATTTAAACCTGTTTTTGGTGTTCAGCTTTTCCAGTACTCCTGTCAAGATACATTTACTAGCTCAGTACCTTGGGTGCTACTATCTTGGAATACTAAGGTTTTCTTTTATTATTTAGTTGATGGATGAGTTTATTTAAAGCATAATGTTCGTGAAACAAAATTGCTTATGGTTGGAAGACACAGAAAATGTGTATTTCGGAAAAGTGCCACAATAAAGCCCTACTCAGTGGATACTTGCATGTCTTTATAGCCTCGTCCGCGGCCCTGCCCTCTCAGGGGAGGTGGCAGTGTGGTGGAGAATCTTCCCTGCCTCTGTGGAGGAGTTTGTCGAGACTTCAGGGAAGTTGACCATGCAGGATGGACAGTCGCTGGCCACTGTGATCATACAGGTGCAGCGTTTCTGGCTTCTGTGACACCCTGGCTCTTGTATGTCCATGTGTGTGGTTGGGGTGACTTACGGAGAGGAGATTAACATCACAGAGCCTGTTGCTTTCATTCACGCAACAGATCCTTTCCTTTGCATCTTCTGGATTCTACTGATGATGGCTCTGTCTTTCTGTAGGCTCTGAACGACAGCATCCCTGAGGAGAAGCGTTTCTACGAGTTCCAGCTCACAGGCGTCAGTGAGGGCGCAGGGCTGAGCCCCTCCAGCCACACAGCCAATATCACCATGGTGGCCAGCGACGCCCCCTATGGCCGTTTTGCCTTTTCCCAGGAGCAGCTCCAGGTGTCAGAGGAAGTGCAGAGGGTATGGTGGGAAGTACTTCAAATCTTACTGTCGGTTTTGCTTTTCCCATTGTGCAGATGCATTTAAAATGCATATCCCCGTTAGTTTCTCAGCTGTTCTCATCCCAGCATGCAGACGCTGAGGCAGGAGGATCACTGTGAGTGCAAGGCCAGTCTGAGGTACATAGTGAGACTCTGTCTCAAAACACAAAACAAAACAAAAATGTAAATATAAAATAAACTTTTTAGAAGATTCGCTTGCTTCCATCATCGCTATTTAAACACACAGTTTATTTAATTTATACACAGCTGTTTCATTTCCACGCAATCTTTGTAAACACGGTGTCTGACTTGGGTAACGCCGTCTGCCTTTTACACAGGTAAACATCACAGTCGCCCGGGTGGGCGGCTGCTTCGGCCTGGTGAGGCTGTGGTTCGAGACGGTGGGCGGCACGGCGAACGCAGGCGAGGATTTTCTCCCTGTTTCCGGGCAGCTCCTCTTCAAGGCCGGAGAGACGGCACGAGGTCTGCAGGTTGAGATCCTTGACGATGCCCATCCTGAAGGCCCTGAGGAGTTTACTGTAGCAATCATGAAGGTGGAGATCCAGGGAAGGTAAAAAGGAAACAGGGACAGGGAAGAGGGGAAGAGCAACCGCTGCACGCGCAGATTCCACTCGGCGTGGAACCCTCCTTCCTCTGCACTCGTGCGACGTGACAGCGGGCACAGAAGGGAAATTAGGAGTGATGGACCCTTTTTGCAGTTTTCTATTTATAATATTCTCCCAGATGGAAAGTGTGTGGTTACATTCTGTGCATTCACTCAGGGCAGCCAGAGAATTGCGCGTGGCATCGGGGCCAGCGCTTCGGTGACTAAGTAGTTTAACTGCCCTTCGGTTGGAGGTCAGTGGGCCTGGGGAATTGGCCACCCCCGGTTCCGTGCCTGTGGAAGGCCCAGCTCGGGGCTCCTCACTGGTGTCTCTCAAGGCTCTGCTGGCCCTTCTGTAGAGAAACGAGGCGAATGCTTGCGGACTGTAGTTTCAAAGTGAGGAAAATTTAACTCAAAGATAATTGGTCAGTAACGTGCACGATGTTTTCAGTGAAGATCAAAAGTGAGCACAGTGTCATCGGGCATGGTGGCACGCCCAGCCACTCGGGGGCAGAGCAGGACATCTCAACTTTGAGGACAGTTTAGTGGGACCCTGTCTTCAACATGGGGTGGTGGTGGGGAAGTGTGTGAGGACCTGGGTTCAGTCCTAGTATTGAAAAAGGAAGGAAAGACGAAAGGAGGGGAGGGAGGGAGTTAAATTAACCGTAGGAACCCCCGCGAGTCTCCTTCGTTCCGGCCTGTGGGGCACACTGGACTGAGGGGTGCCAGCCCCTGGCGCACTTACACCATGTTAGCTGAGTGTGCAGGTTGGGTGGCTGCGAGGTCACAGGACCTGAGGAGAGGGGACCTTCCCCCGAGTGACTCTGCATTCCTAGGAACCTGAAAGGAATGTTTCATACACCTGGTGATAGTTTCGAATGTTATACAGATGTTATGCTGTAAATTTATTTATAACTGAAGTGTTCCCTCAAGTGGCAGAGGTACAGTATATAGCAGGATCCCAGCTGAGAAGGAAATATTTTGGGTTCACATATACTTCAGATGTTAAATTTCCCAGATTAATTTCTGTACCTGGCAATGGGATTGAATTCTGCTCATATGAAATATGTTAGAATTCTGAGCGGACACTCACTGTATTAATTAAATTCATAGAATTTGGTATAAGTAGAGCATTAAGTGTGAGATTGTATTTGTGTTATTAACTTGAAATTTTTTGCCTTCCTGGATACACTTTTAAAAAAGCATTTTCTAGTGAAATTTAATTCTGGGAAACACATTTTTCCTTCCCAATACTTATTAGTTTCTCTTTGCTTTAAAAAAAGTAAGAAGTATACTCCAACGTGTTTCCTTTTTTGGGTACTTCTGAGAAGACTTATGACGCTGGTGTTCACTCAGAGTAACCAGTTAACCTACTGTGCAGCCCACCACAGAATACTGGTGACTTCTCTTACCATTTGATGTATTAGTCCTCCCCGTTCTAATTTTGGCTTATATATAATCTTATTCACCAGCTTTCAACCTGTCAGTACAAGGTGGAGTATGAATACCAGGCAAATAGAATTGGGGAATTGAAAGACTGAAATGTCTTAGTATCATTTTTTAGTTTCAAGAATTAAAGCAGTGTACACCCTTTAGAAGTTAAAACTTGTTTGATGGAAATAATGCCAATGTAAAAAAACTTGTTTTTGCTGAAATGTCATCATACAAGTAAACTATGCTATGCTATAGAATAGAGGCATTGATGATAATTAGGTTGAAATAGTTTTTTGAATTTTGGTGACTTATCTTGAAATTTGATTAGGGGAAGGACACTTTTTACATTTTTAAAGTAACCCTGTTGTCCTAACACTGTAAGACTAAAGTTTAGCTGGTTTATTATCTTTAAGTGTACTGGGCCCAGTGCTTTAGAATCAGCCACCAGTAATTGGAAGCAGCACAAAAATTTTTTTAAAAACATCTCTGGAAAAAAAAAACAAACTAAGGAATAGTAATAGTGATAGTAGCTAAAAGAATCCTTTAGTTTACGCTAAGCAATTATGTTGTCGTGTCATTTTATTTTGTTGTATTTTAAATTTTTTATTTCTTATGACTTTACAAGAGGGTATGATTTTACCATCCAAGAAAATGGACTTCAGATAGATCAACCTCCCGAAATAGGAAACATCTCCACTATTCGAATCATAATAATGAAAAATGATAACGCAGAGGGCATCATTGAATTTGACCCTAAGTATACAACCTTCCAAGGTAGGTTGGGTTAGCCTGCCAGACGCTTACTGTCCTATTCTGATTGAGCAGTAGCTGCGTATGACTCTCATCTTGAATTCCTATATGTACATTGTCCTGGTTTGGGGTGTGTGTGTGTGTGTGTGTGTGTGTGTACATACCTTTGTATATTTTCTGAATATATTTTTTCATTGAACCTTTAGGTAGTCTTGAATTTTTCTGTGTATGGTAAAGCCAAATAGGAATGAGTTTTTAAAAAATAGGAATGATTGAATCTAGAAAATTATATTTTGCTTTAAGATTATTAAAATATTTATGTTTCAAACATTTTCCTGAAACTTTGTCTATGTAATATTTACTTTCCTATATGATCACAAATTGGTGAATATTCACTTTTTGTTGAACAATCCCCTTTGAAATGAACATTTATTTCACTGGCCTGCAGATGCAGCTAATGTGTGGCTCTCTGGCCTTATTGTCTTGCAGCAGCTGCAGTTACAGCTGGCCTAGCATCTACAGTTCTCTCCTAGTGAAGCAAACCCCAAATGCATGACTCTCTTCCTCACTAGGGAGAAACGAATGGCTCCCTTTCTTGGAAACTGGTCTGTTCAAAGGCAGAATATAACTTTTTTTTTTTGGTACCAGGGATCAAACTCAGGACCTTGTGCTTGCCAGGCAGGTGGCAGCACTGCTGGGCTAAATCCCTGGTTCATAACTTTTTAAATATGTTCTTATTCATGCAATTAATTCATTGGCTTCATTGCCTCCATTAAAGTTCTTCATCGCCTAGCTATTTCTAAAGTTTAGTAAAAATCACTTTAGGAACAGATTCACAATGACTTCATGTGTCTGTCATGGAAGATATTACTATTTTGTGAATTCACCCTCTAATAGTAAAAGTCATGTTTAATTTTTGCATTAAGAAGTACATACGAATTTGGCTTGTCCCTCTGTCCGTTGATTTCTGGTTGATTCTGATTGCTGGGGGGATTTGGGGTCGTGTACGTGTAAGTTCAGTTTTACTTAGCCATGGATATATGAGCACTGGTAAGTCATATTTCAGTACACAGAGGTTGGCATGGTGCCGTAAGAAATAAAGGTTCTTTTTAAGGAATTTTAAAATTGGATACATTTCATATTCACAAGTAGATTTTATAGGACTTCACAATAGTATAATTGTTTTTATATGTAAACTTTTGCAATGTTTGTATAACATAAATAACACAAAGTTCATTTATTTATAATGTATTTCCACTAAATGTGCAGGAGAATCCAGAATGGCTTCTTTTTCCAAATTTTAAAAGTGTTTTTCCTGTTCATCTAGCATCTTCCTATAAAGCAAGTTATATATCTGTAGGTAGCGCACAGAAAAAGGATGGCTGTAATGATTAAATCAGTGTTTAAATTCTTTTACTAATCACTATCTTTTACCATCTAACAAACTATATTCTTCCTTAAGAGCTGTGAAATTTACACTGGTAACTTCTTTGTGGTACTGGAGCTTGAACCCAGGACCTTCACACTGAGCTACGTCCCCAGCCCTCCTCCACCCGCTTAATTTTTAGACAAGTTCTTACTGAGTCACTGAGCTGCCCAGCTGGGCCCAAACTTGGAATCTTCCTGCCTCAGCCTCCAGTTCTGGCATTGTGGACATATACATCTGTACATCCAGCTGCACTAATCACTACTAAAATGACAACTTGTGGAGAAATTGAATGTTCACGTTGTGCCTTTAATCAGGCTGAGTCATAAAACTGAGTTGCAATCCCTGTCGCAGTGGAGGAAGACGTGGGCACGGTGGCGATTCCAGTGGTGAGGCTACGCGGGACCTACGGTCGTGTAGCAGCTGACTTCGTGGCTCGGAGCCCATCTGCTGTCCCTGGAGGCGTGGATCACATACTGCACAGCGCCTCGGTCACCTTCCAGCATAGGCAGAACCTCAGCTTCATACACGTCTTGGTCGAGGGTGGCAAAGGGAGGTCGGTACTGCGGGAGCGGGGCGGGAAGGCCAGGCCTGGGCACGGGTGCCCGCTAGAGACCGGAGATGACCCGGTCCAGTCAACCCGCCGGGGCGCAGCCTGGGGAGGACAGGGAAGGGCAGGGCAGGACAGGGCGTGGTAAGGCAGCCCGGCCTGGGGCCAATCGCGCTTTAGCCGGGCTGTCCGTGCAAGGGACGTCCGGCCTCACCCCACTCCTGCTCTGCTCCGCAGCGGCTCCCAGGGCCCCCTGGAGGTCCTCCTCACCCGGGCCACAGGCGGCGCGCTCCTGGGGCACCACCTCCTGAGCAGGATCGTGGTGGCTCCCAGCCGCTCTCCCTCTGGCGTGGTGCGGTTCCTTAATGAGAGCAGCATCTCCCTTGCCAGCCCGGACTCCACGACGCTGCTCCCCTTGGTGCTGGAGCGCAGCGGAGGGCTCCTGGGCGAGGTCCAGGTACAGTTCTGCTTCCTGTGGTTTCCTGAATCCATTTCGGTGGACTGTGGCACGATGTTCTGTTTGTTTATTCCCCAGGCACGCTAAGTTATCTGTTCACAAGCAGCAAACGGGCTGTTCATTGTCTCGCAAGTGCAAAGTACCTGACTGACAAGTCTGGGAAGCACATAAAAGTGCTCGGGCCACACAGCTGCCCTCGCGAACTCTCGAGAGCAGGTGGAGAGCAAATGGTTCTTGTGAAGTCAGTCAGCCCAGCAAGGATTCATCCAGTGATTTGTAGGGAATGAGCAGTACCGTGAACTGTGCGTCACTCTGTTCTCACATAAGCCTTTTCGGTTTTGTTTTGCTTTTTGTTTTTTGAGACAGGGTCTCACTAGGTAGACAGGCTGGTCTCGAACTCACAGTGATCCTCCTGCCTCAGCCTCCCGAGGGCTGCGATTACAGGTTTACGCTACCAAGCCTCAGTCAGGCTGATTGCACATCATAATAAAGGGTCGAACAGTCGACTCATGAGTACATTGATAGTAATAAAGACCTGTTTATAAAACTGGGGGACGAGATCACGTGTCCCCTGCTCGCTACCTCTTTCTTTTTTCTTTGGTGGTTCTGCGGATGGAACCCAGGCCTGGAGCACCCCCACTCAGTGGCGCCCTTGCCCCTTCTGCCCACCCGATCGAAGGGCAGGGGTGCTCTGGGCGTGCGGAGAGGCGGTGCGGTGCAGGAGAAGGCGTTTGTGCTGCGCGGTTGGAGGCCACAGGCGTCTGGCTGAGGGATGGCGCCCGCGGGCCGCACCTCCTGGAGCAAGAGAGCGCTTAGGGTGGCTGGGGTACCGAAGCCCCGTGGGTGCTCAGCACCCAGTAGCCCAAAGCAGGCTGGAGAGTCGAGCTCAGGCTCGAGGCCACTGGGGGGATTTGCGCTCTTGGAGGAGCTCAGCGGATCGCGTGGGGCGCAGACCGGGCTGGGCAAAGAGGCTGAGCTCAGGGAGTCGGAGTTTTCAAAGGGGCAGCGGATGGACTCCTTGAGGTTTTCTGGAGCCCGAATTGCCCAGGAGGGCCAGGGGCCGTGCTTCGCGTGAATCCGAGACCGCGCTGGCTGCTGATGCAAGACCACGGCCTCCGCAGCCAAGACGTGCGGAGTTCCCCGTTGTAAACATGAGAGCTGCTCCTTAGAACGGCGCAGTTTTCTTCATTTCAGTGTATTTAGAGAAAAATGCGCCCTTAGCTGAATGACCACTAGTTTCATTGTCTGGGTCCAGTACGTTTTGATTGGCAGAATCTGAGCGACGGGACAGTGCTATCTATACTCAAAAAGTGTTACAGATTGCTCTTTATATATGATTCTCTAATATATATTTTGAGAAATATATTTTTGCTGTCACGTGGTGATTAAAAATGACAAAATATTAATATTTTTCTTTTCCGTGTTTTACCCATTAAAACTGATACTCTCTAGGTACATAGTTTATATTTTTAAAAAACCATTATTTTAAACAGAAATGAGTGGGCGTTACAAGAATTCACTGCACACTCCCTAGAATAGCATCTTACACAGTACATTTTCACATATATGTCTCTTGCAAGAAGCCATTGCTTAGAACTGATCATCTTCATTAAAAGACAAAACCTCCAACGCCCTGCAGGTAGCTTGGGACATCGTGGGCCCCAGCTCCGAGGACGCCCTGTCACCAGAGGACGGGCTCATCCGCCCGGTGAGCGGAGCCTTGGCTTTCGCAGAAGGCGAGGGCGGCCTGAGGACTGTCCTTCTGACCATAGACCCTCACAGAGCCACTGGAGTCGAAGGCACTTTCATAATTAGACTGAAACTTGCGAAAGGAGAAGCTAAATTAGACACCAGAGCTAACGCCGTTACATTAGTGGTAAGTTTGACTTCATTTTTCCAACAAAATTTTGGGTTTGATGCATTTATCAGAAAATACTTCATTCCATTATTTGAAACTCCACATGCTAATATTGAATTCAGTATTGTAAAATCAGAGTAAGTCCCCTGGGTCAAACCTCGCGATTTTTATGTTCATAACATTCACTCACTGCTGGTAATATATTTTTAAAAGTTTAATAGAGTAACATTTATTTTCCAGTCTTTGAGAAAATTTGGTGTTTGAGGAATATTTGAACATTTTAGGGATGAGAAAATTTTGCTAGATGAGGTTAAATATTAGCCATCCTTGTCATAGTGTATAAAAATTATTGACCAGTTGTAACTCAGTCTGTATGAACAACAAGTGGTGCATTTTCATATAGCTCAGTGCCTGGGTGTTGCAGCAGAGCCCGATTTACATGTATTTGATAGGAGTTACTTCTGCCGCAGGAGGTGTTGGGTATTGAGATGACCAAAAACGATATAGAGAGATGGCACATTTTTGCCAGTTTTTTTTTTTTTAAGTTTGAAAAACAGTCTTGTTTGGGATCTGTATCAGTCAGTTATTTTCAGAGAAGGAGAACCAGTAGGATGCACATGCAAGGAGAGAGCAAGCATTGAAAAAGTTATTTCAGGAGACGTGGGAAGCAGCCTGTCCACAACCGGTGGGGCAGGCCGTCAGGCTGGAGGCTCAGGGAACAGCTGGACTAGGGGGGATGTGGGCTGGGGCCTCCAGGGGCTGGAAGTCCGTGGAGGCTGAATCCCTTCTTCCACGGGAAGATGGGTTTGCTCCTGATCCTTTGGCTGACCAGGACAGGCCCACCCGCAGTCCTGAGCATAACCTCCTCTGCTTAGAAGCGGCTGGTCGTAAGTGTTCCTCGGGTCCCAGCCATAGCAGTGTCCGGGCCAGTGTGTGACCAAAAGTGGGCACTGTCATGTTGCCTGTTTGATGCAAAAAATTAACCATCACAGGGGCTTTTTACCTCTACTTTGTGCCATGGCTGGTTAGCTAAAATTTACTGGTTAAATACAGGAAATATAAGCCAGTTAAAGTAAATTCAAGCAGCAAAGTACTGTCTTTTTTGGGTTCTACAAGTTGTAGTTTTCTGAATAGTTATTTCCATTAGCTCTGGAGAATAAGATCTTGTTAATTTTGGACAACAGGGTAAATATTCAAATGTCATTTCCGTTTTTCCCTCTGCTTATTTGTACCCTAACACAGGGATGCTGCGGTTATCCAGTGTATGATTTGCTGTGCTCTTTGTTAATGTTCCTCAGATACGAAAGCTTGGTGGTCCGAATGGAGTTATTTCTTTTGTCCCTGAGTCCACCTCTGGGAAGATCTACTCAGAGCCACTGGCCGAGGAAGGGCCTCTGGTCATCACTTTCTTTGTCAAGAGAATCAAGGGAACCTTTGGAGAAATTACGGTATTTTTTAAATTTGATTTTTCTCAGTTCCAGTTTTTCTAACAAATGTGGCTGGGAGAGAGAAGTGCATGTTTCAACTTTCTTTACTTACTCTTGGTGTATGTTATTAATCGAGAGTGATGAGGTTTTGGTAAATTCATGCATGCATTTAACATATCTATATTTTGTTCTACCCCGTTACCTCCTCTTTCTGTCTCTTGTTTGGATCCCCTTCCTCATCTCTAAAAGTGTACCTCCTTTCCTGCCATCTTTCCTTTAACTAATAATGAATTAATTTGGTTTCTTATGTAAAAGAAAATGTGGTATTTAACGTTCTGAGGCTGGCTTATTTCACTTATCACGATGGTCTCTAATTCCATCCATCTTCCCGCACACGGCATGGCTTTGTTGTTCTTTGTGGCTGAATGTTTCATTGTGTGTTATACATTTTCTAACTAAAGGTTTTGTCACACTGACATCACTTGAGTTTCCAGAGAAACCGGGGCTTCATCTAAGCACCTTTGCTCTCTGCACTTCTCGAAACCCTAGTTAACAGTCCCTTTAATTTAAATTTGATTACAGTTACTTGAGAAGACCTTCCTTACACCGAGTCATGGAGGAGTAACTTTTGTATTTTATTGTTTGCCATAATAAGAAATCTCTGCAAATTGAGTCTTTCAGTGATTTTTTAATTGCTTATTCTCCATGGCTTTATTTCCCAGGAGAATTTTCCCATTTAGTGACTATATTTAAGGGATTGCATTTGTGTGAATCTAGATATAGACCGATATGCTATTGGACAGTCTCATGGTATTTGGTTAACAGATCAGAATCATTCATTTGCTGGAAAAGTGTATTTTGTGTAATTTCTTATATACTTGTTTTAGATATTAACAGGTGATTCTTCCATTGAAACTTTATAGCTTGGAGGACAACAATGCTTGGAAAATAATGATCAATTCTTGCTGCTTTATAGATATTCTCCCAGTTCTAATGTGACTCACCAAATTATCTATTTACTTTTTCACTTATAATATTGGGTATGGTTCACCGATGGATGTTGTTTTGGAGCTGGTATCTTAATTAACTTGCTTATATCTACCTCTTTAATAAAATCATGTGACTGTTTTAGAATCAGGTGAATGAGGAGATTTCATGATCTGTTTGTGTATGTGGTGCTGGGGATGGAACCCAGGACCTCACACACTGGGCTCCTGCTCCACCACTGAGCTGTGTGTGTCTGAGATACTGGACTCTTGTCCTAAAGGCCGCACATGGCACCTGCAGGGTTATTAACATATCCTGGGCGGGCTTGGCTTTGAGCGTAATGATGAACAATTAAAATTTCTTTCTGTACATTATAGAGGAAAATATTTCAAGGTTTAGGACTCAGTGCACCAAATTATAGAGTTCTGCTGGATTTTTTTTCCTTTGTAGGTTTACTGGGAATTACGTAGTGAGTTTGATACCACTGGGGACTTTCTTTCCACAAATGGCTCTTTCACTGTCGCTGACGGAGAGAGCGATGCGAGCTTTGATGTTCACCTGCTGCCCGACGATACCCCCGAGGTGGAGGAAGCCTACGCCGTCCAGCTGCTCTCCGTAGAGGGTGGAGCGGAGCTGGACCTGGACAGCAGCACTGCGTGGTTCTCCGTGTCGGCCAACGACGACCCGCATGGAGTGTTTGCCCTGTACCCCGAGCACCAGTCCGTACTCACTGGACCGGACCTTGCTCGGTCCCTCCAAGTCAATGTGAGCCGGCTGGCTGGGGCCTTTGGAGATGTGGCCGTTACCTTTCGGATATTGTCTGAGCATACAGAGCAGCCAGTTGCAACTGAAAATGCAGAGAGGCAGCTGGTGGTCGAAGACGGGGTGACGTACAAAGTGGCCACGGTGCCGATGAGGAGTCAGGTGTGTGGCGTTCGCACGCGGTTCCCCACTTATTCTGACAGAGCCTCTCTGCCTCCACTTCGCTTGTCTTGTGATCAGTTCGCAGTCTTACTCAGATATTTAAACAAACCACGTCAAAAACCTTAGGACACACGTAGCACGTGGAAGTTTTTGGATAGTACAACTGCAGATCACAAACGAGTAAAGTGTAAGGGACACAGTGCGAACTTGTACTGTCCGGATGACAACAGGAGCTCCTTTCATACGTAGGAAGTGGGCAGAGCATTGCGAGGGACAGAGGCTCCTCCGGGGTGAGAGGGCACACAGGAAGGGTGGGACCTGCTTCCTCCCTTGCCGTCCGGAGCCCGGAGGTTGGCTGTGATTGTCTGAGATGGTGATGCACGTGGGCAGCACCCTGATGGGCCTGTCTGTGCCCAGATGCCATCACAAGAGATGGGAAATACAGATGGTGTGGATGAGGCACCCCGGGCCAAGGGCTTAAGGGCACCCCGGAGAACAGGGTGCACGCCTGAAAGCATTCCAGTTCCTTGCAAATTCATCTCGTAGTTAAATCAGCTTTTCCTCAAGTCTGCTATGGCTTGAGTTCAGCTTTAATGCGGGGTGGGCTGTAGCACCTCCTCCGGGAGTGCTGGGTGGGCGAAGCAGGGAGCTCGGTGGGAAGGTGTGAGGGACTGGGCACTGGAAGACAAGACCTGGCCTCTTATTCTTTAGAATAGAAACTAGCCAGGAAACCAGTGACTGCACGGGTAGGGGCACGCTCTTTCCCAGGAGGGCGGGACGCACATGGCGGGAGTTCCACGCCATGAGGTGACTTGTCAGCACTTGGACACAAATTCACACGCAGTGAGTGCTGTTTTGAGTTAATGAAACGCTGCTTGCTCTTGTGTCACTCAGTAGATGGATCTCCTGTGGTAGATGCGTTATACAGTAGAGGGTACACTGTGTGTTTGCGTGCATTCAGGGCTGGAGATTCAGTCAGTGGTAGAGCACTTGCCTGGCATTGCGAGGCCTTGGGTCTGGTCCCCGGAACCACCATAAAAAGAAGGAAGAGGAAGAGGAGAAGAGGGATGGTTCTTCCATTCAACAGAAGTGTGGAAGTTTTAATCATCTTCCCTGAAATGGGATAATCTGGGTGCTGACATTACCAATAATAGTATTTCTACAGGAAAATGTGTTATACATTTTTAAGAAATACTTTCAGTGTAGCACCATTTTGTAAATTCAAGATTTTCCCTATTTTGTTAAATTCTATAATTTTGATCGTTGGTCATTTAAGAGGTAGTGATAGTAATTTTTATTTTTATATATCCAAAATACCCAAGTAATCAAGACACCTAAGTCATCCTCCATCTTGAGTAATTGTCATGAGAGTTATTAGTTGTCACTCAGTGAAGAGAACCTGTGGGCTTTGCTGGTGTTTAGGAGCTGTCACTGTTCTGCAGTGTGCGTTTTCCATTTCCTCCCACGGTTCCGGTGTGGATACTACCCATTTTCTATTATTCTTGAGTCCACTGTAGCATACAGGCAAAATCTGCGAGTTTTGTTTTCATACTCTACGCCTAGCTCTGCTTGCCCCACCCGCTCCATTGATTGTCTTGCTTTAAGACAGAAGGGTGAGCGCACAGGTGAAACTGCTACCAAGGAGCAGTACTGACGATTGCAGAATTTGAGAGACTGAAGAGAGACGGGAGAAACAGGATTTATTTAGGTGCACACCAGCCCAGGGGATTAGCATCCAAAGGCTGAGCCCCGAACAAAGAAGACGCCCTAGTTTTGTTTATGTGGCCGAAGAGGTCGGTCTTCCTAGTGGCGTGAAGCTGGTGGGTGGGCGTGTGAGTTTCCAGAAGCAGGGAACAACAGTCCATCAAGTAGTGACAGTTTTGCAACTTAGCAGATCTTGGTGGAAAAAGCGGAATTTTATAGAAGAGAGAGGTCATAAAACCTTACTTACAGGAACCAAGTTAACAACAGCTGCAGAGAGAAGGGAAGTCTGCTACGGAACTGCTTAAGGCTGAGGAGACTTGTTTTCCTTTTTAAGTTCTGTTTCACTGGCCACAGCTCAGGAAATATGTCACTATTTGAGCCTGATTATTTCTTACTCCTAAAAAAAACACCATTGGCTTTTGTTTATAGGTCTTTCTGCCCCTGGGCTCCAATTTCACCGTGCAGCTGGTGACTGTGATGCTTGTTAGTGGACATTTCCACGGCAGGCCAACAATTCTGCAGGAAGCCGGGTCAGCTGTCTTTCCCGTCCCTGAGAACGCTGCCAATTCTCAGGTACTGGGCCTTAGGTGCAGTGCTCTCCGTGCACCACGAGAGGGCAGCTTTCTCAGGAAGGACCAAATGCTGAATTTCTGAAGATTGTTTCCTTAAATGATCTTAGTCCTATGAATATTAAAGTAGACATAAGAGTAAAATAACCTTCCATTTTTGGACATTATTTTTCTTTTTAGAGTTTTAGAAAGTTTTTTTCTTGTAAAATTTGAGTTAGATATATGAATTTTAAAATAGCAGTTACAGAAGGTCATAAGTTCTGGTCTACCTTGGATATCAAATATTAGTATTGATGTTTTTATGCTCGATAATTAAAATTAGACAACGCCCTAATGGATGTCCCAGGCTTTTTCATTTTCTGGTTGGTTTTTAACAGCCAGGCTTTGGTTTACTGTGTCCAGTTTGTTAGTTGCTCTAGGACATGGTTGCCCAGGAGTACTTGCATCCCCTGAGCTCGCTGCATGAGAAATCATTTTGCAGTCACCTCATAATCAGAGGAGAGCAGAGAGCAGCCTTAGGTGTCTACTGTCCTTCAGGCTAATTCTGTTCATATACAAAAGAGGGGGCCGTTGACCATGGCTACAGCGACATGCGTACCTTTCTGCAGCGGTTATGACATATAATTCCATCCTGTTCCTCCTGAGGGGAGCCCAAGTGGCTTGGGTATGCCTGGCCTAAGATGCCGCCATGGAGCCTGCACGGGTGAGGGGTAGGGATGCGGGCGGGTGTGCTCCGGGCCTCTGTCTGGCATCTTCTCCCTGGGCAGAGCAGGCCTCTACCCACAGCTCTCTACATGTGTGGCAAGCATGGCCTCCCCCGCAGCTTCAGACAGATGGAGATCTAGTGGCACATTAAGGTGAAGCTGTCACTGTTTCCCCTCTGGAGCTCCAGAAGCTGCTCTGTGATGCCCCCACCTTACATGCTGTTCTGCATCCCAGTTCAGAAAGGCAAGAATGAGTCTCAGCAGATCAGTGTCGGTCAGCTGCCATCACAAATGTAAGGCTCTTCCGGCCAGAAGAGGTCAAGGGAGCTGTCCACCGTGTGAAACCAGGAAGGTGGCTTATTTAACCCACTGACCAGAATTTATCTCACCTATAAAGCACACATCCTGTCAAGACTGCCTTTAAAACAAGATCTTATTTGGTGTTCATGAAAATATGGACATTGAAAAAGTTTTTTAAGCTCCTGATTTTCACTAAAATATATCAGATTGAATCAAAGGACTGAAAAATCTTAATAAAATCTGGTTTGTAATGCTTATTTTAGAAATGAAGAAATATGTTGTTATATCTTAGAAACAAGTTAAATTTCAGTTCAAGGAAAATCAAGTCCTGCAAAGACCCATGAACAATTCATGTTAAAATACCATTTTAAATCTTTTGCGTTCGTGTAACCATGAATGCATTTTCTTTTTTGCGTATTGTTCATTCAAAGGATTACTTTCAATAAAAAGAAAGGGAAAGAGAAAGAGTAATCAATCTATAAAGCATAATCAGAATTAAAAAACAGTAACTTTTCAAATCTGAGATGTCATTTTTTAAGCATTTCTTTAATTGAAATATAAGGCAAGAATATATTGTAACAGCAACCCACTCTTCAGAAACCAGGCAACGTTGGAGAGGATAGAATCCTCTAAGCATGTGTTTCCTCAGGTTGGATTTGAATCCACTGCTGTGTGGCTCTCGGACGTGGCTGCTGGCTGGAGCCAGTTGACCATCTGCAGGAAGGGCACCTACGGTTCACTCACAGTGACCTGGACCACTGGCTACGCCCCGGGGTGGGAAGTCCCTGAGTCCGTGCTCACTGGTAACATGACCCCTTCGCTGGGTGAGTGGAGCTTTCCTAAGCCGGCCTGTAGGTCACACCACGCAGGCTGGCAGGCCCTGTCTGGTCTCCCTTTCTTGGCCGCGACCTGCTGGTTTCTAGTACGGTGCTTCCGGTGGAGGTGATGAGGGCTGCGGGCTGCTGGGTACAGAGGAAGAGCGAGGCTTTCCTTCGGGCAGATTAAAAACTGATCATTAAGTCCTCAGTCAGTACATGAGAAGTGCGTTAAAAGCAATTCTAAAAACCTCATTTGGCCAGTACGATGATAAGAAGATGTAGCCAAGTCCATTTACCTGTTTACTGCGTACTTCTGCTGGCAGAGCCGCTGTCACTTTGTGGATTGTCGCGCTGTGAGTCCTCTGGAGTTAGCTGCGCAGGTCCCCAGGGGTCTCCCCCATCACACGTGCTCACTGCGGGTCCTGGTGGCCCTGCTCAGGACCCTGGGTGGCTCAGAGCCCTGTGCTTCCGGCTTTCCCTCCCTGTGCCTTGCTGGTCCCCGGGAAAACACCATCCCCAGCAGTCAGGGACCCGGTGAATCCAGCAGGAGGACAAGCCCGTCTCAGTGAGACAGAAGTTTTAATGTCCCTGGGTCTCAGTGAGCCAGGAAACTGCATGAAACAGGAAGTCCAGGAAAAGACCTGAGTGCGGGCTCAGGAAGGCGGCAGCGATCACACTGTGGGAATGGGACAAATCAACATGCTGTGGACACCCATAGCCCCTGAAAGCGTATTCCTTTAGGCAAGTGCTCTGAATTCAAGACACCTTGTCGTTATTTTTCACATCTTTTTCTGCAGGGTTACCTGCTTGTCACCCCACTACCTTTTCTATTGCTCTGGATGATATACACGGCTTCCTATAACTTAGGGCTTTTTAAAAACTTTTTCTGTATTAGAAACTACTTATGATTTATATGTGGAAACGTTGTCCTGTATACACGTGCGTGTGGTACCATGCTTCATCTGAAATCAGTCCTGAGACATTTTAATGGCTCATTGGTTGAGATAAAATAACAAGAGAGTTCCCAAACAGTAGATCCTCTCTCTCTTCGAATAGGTTTGGTTAACTTTTAAGATTTTATATGAATTTTTAAACATAATGGAAAAACACACTAAACACCATAATGTTGCTGACTAGACTTAACAGTTGTTACATCCCACCGTTATTTGTGCATTTTCCCGGAAGTTAGCAAAAATAAACTACAAACATTATGATATTTCACGCCAGAGTGTTTCAGTATCTGTAAGATTACGATGAAGCCAGAATTCAACTAAAGCCATTCTCCTTTTCCCACTGGACTTTTTGCTAGTTGAGCCAGGAAAGAAAAGGAAATAAACAGGAACAGTAGGCAGGGACCCGGGCAAGACTTATGTGGCCCCGGGGCTTTCTGAAAATGTTTTCTGTATTTTGTTGGGTGTAATCAAATTTTAGAAAAACAATTAGTTAACCACACGTTTGAGTCATATTTCTGTTTAAGAACCAAGACGTGATGCTCTCCTCTCTCCTCGCACTTCTCCCCAGGGAGCCTTTCCTTTGCCCACGGGGAAGGGAGGAAGCGCGTGTCACTGCGGACCTTTCCCAGCCCCGGCCGGATTGAGGCCTTCGCCATCCACCTGTCGGGAGTGCACAGCAGCGCCCCTGGCGGCGCTCGGCTTCGGTAAGGTGGTGGGGACCCTGCCTGTCACAGCAGAGGTGTGGATCACCGTCCCCCAGGCGGAGGAGGAACCACATTAGTGTAGCGCACCCTGGGCCACAGGCGGGGAGGTGGGGAGGGGGCTTCTCACCTCTGCTGGCCGCGCGGCCTGAGCACCCCTGTAGTTAAGTACCACTGCTGGTGAACTCTCCTGTCGGTAAAGGGAGCTGTCTTTTGGGAAGCAGCGGAGACAGTTTTCCCAGCGATGAGGAGTAAGAATAAAGCATCGTGTGGTTGGGCAGTATGACTTACTGAAACCAGTGACCGCTTTGCATTTAGTTAAATTTTATTTAATTTTGCTGTTTGTCAGGAAGGACTCTGGGTCCTAGCCTACTGCAGGTCTGTGTCCCCGCCAGAAGCAGTTAGCTTTTCTCATACAACCAGAACTGCAGAGAGCAAGCTGAGCCACACTATGGATTCAGTCCTGGCAGTGCCTCTTGTCCCTGACCTTGGGAAACTTACCTGGTCTTACTGGGCTTCATGTTACTTATTTTTAAAAATGGGAAAATACATGGGCAAAACTCGTGTGTATTCAAGTACCTCTGTGTGTACATTTACGAGTGCAGGTGGCCCATTGGTGGAATCAAACATGGCTTTAGATTAGACATTACACATGAGCCATTTAAAAAGCAATTGTCCAGAGAGCACACATCAAGGTCAGAAATTCAGAGGCCGTCAACACCATTTTATAGTGCTTACCCCAAAGAAGGCATTGTTTGAAGTCGTTTATATATAAACTACCACACAAATACACAAACACACACACGCTCTCCTCTTGCCAGCAGCAGCTGTCTGCAGTGGATACCATCACCGACTCCGTTTGCTTGATGAGGAAAGTGATTTCTAGATCACACAGTGAGCCTGACACCGCATATCTAAGTGTCAGGGCCGTGATGTGCAGCCGGGCTGGCTGGCCACTGTCCGCCTGTGTGCTCAGTGACATCTGCTTGGCAGTAGTGATGGGACCTGCCTCGTCCTCCTTCATTTTGTACCTACATTCTTTTGATATTTAAAAAATTATTAACAAAGAAAATGTCTGTGGTCCGAATTAAGCCGATGGGCCACCAACTGCAACTTCAGATATAATTATTGATTCACCACAAAAATCTGTGGGATTGCATTTTTTCAACGATGAGTGTTTACTCCAATATATATATAGCGTTAGGGTTACATATGAGAGAACAGTCCATTACTGACCCTGGGAGAAGTAAGAGCGTGCTCCATCGGTAAACAGCTCCAGGTGGTGGCTAAGAGCTCATCCAAGCACCGTTTGTGCTGATCCCAGAGCGCTGACGCCTCCCATCCCTGGGGCAGCTGGTCTAGCTCACTAGGGACAGGGACCGCAGCTCTTCCTGGTGCAAGACCTCCTGCGTTCCTGTCTCCACTGTAGCTTCCACATGGACCTTTATTATGCTCTTAGTCATCCATAAGTAGGGCTTGGTGAACCCGGAAGGTCATGTCATTTCTAAGATGCTTCCCTCATGAGCAGACTCTGAAATATATAAAACAAGGATCTTTTAATCAGTGCTCATGGTTTGATTTTTTTTCAGACCTGGTTTCACGGTTGCTGAAATTGAACCGATGGGAATCTTCCAGTTCTCCCCTAGTTCAAGGAATATCACGGTGTCAGAGGATGTGCGTCGGATCAGACTGCGGCTGCAGAGGCTGTATGGGTTCCACGGGGATCTTATTAAGGTCTCCTATGAGATGGCAGAGGGAAGCGCCCAGCCGGTGGAGGACTTTGAGCCGATTCAGAGTGGGGAAGTGTTCTTTCACAAATTCCAAGCCGAGGTTGACTTTGAGATAACCATTACTAATGATCGGATTCCTGAGAGGGAAGAGGTTTTTTACATTAATCTCACTTCTGTAGAAGCGAGGGGACTGGAAAAGTTGGATGTCAGTTGGAGACCCCGCCTGAACCTCAATCTCAGTGTGGCAATGATCACAATACTGAATGATGATCACCAGGCAGCCATGGAGGTTTCTGTCCTTACGACAGCTGTGGCTGTGGCAGTTGACACCACGCTCATCCCTGTAGACATGGACTCCACCATGCATCCCAGCACGGGCAGGAAAACTGCCATTCCACAGGCAACCGAGACCGTTGCCACTGTCACTGAGGCAGCTGGTATACCTGCCACCCTCCGCGGGCCATCCACCGTGCCTGAGAAGCTCGATGTGGCCAGTGTTTCCCACCATGGAATATTTAGTCTCGGGCCTGCCGTTGTTTATGTGGAGGAGGAAGCAAAGAACGGCACCCTCAGTGCTGCAGAAATTCTCATCCGAAGAACAGGCGGATTTGCTGGAAATGTCAGTGTGACCGTGAGAACCTTTGGAGAAAGATGTGCTCAGAAGGAACCAAATGCACTGCCCTTTCTGGGCACCTATGGGATCGCCAACCTAAGCTGGGCAGCGGAAGGGGAAGACTTCGAGGAGCAAATGCTGACCCTTCCATTTCTCGATGGGGAAGGAGAACGCAGAGTGTCTGTTCCGATTGTGGATGACGAGGAGCCCGAGGGGCAGGAGCTCTTCTGTGTGTTTCTTACAGACCCTCAAGGGGGAGCACAGATCGTGAAGGGAGAGGACGATGCTGGCTTCACAGCTTTTGCCGTGGTTATTATTACAGGTATCACTGAATGAGGGAGGCAGAGGATGTACTTTTGCAGTACAGAATTTATAATACGACCAAGCCACTTTGAGTGTAGGAGGATGAATTACTTGAGTCACTCATAGGCATTCATTAAAACATTTTTGGGCCAGGGATTGAGCTCAGTGGCACCACGCCTGCCTCGCAAGCACAAGGTCCTGAGTTCAATCCCTGGTACCTAAAAACAAAATGTTTTGTCTGCAAAGCCTGGTAAGTGTAGCTGCTTTTAGGCGACCATCTCCTGGAGTGCATACGTCCCCTAGATCAGAGCCCACTCGTTATACAATCTGTAAATTATATTTTTCACAATATAGGGAAACTGTTTAAATCCATCTTCTTCCACTAGAAAATACTTCAATGTTGAAACATGATTGCCTATCTCAAGCCAAACTTGCCAGTTTCAGTAATCCATCCAGAGTCAAAGAGCTCGTTAAGAAATTCTTTGTGTTTATTGTGAAATAGACAAAAACTAGTTTTTGCTCTACTTTTGACCTAATGTAGTTGATACAGCTGTTGTGCTATTAGGTATGAATAGCTTAAATTTTAATTATTTTTAAGAGTTTTGCCTGTGTCCTATGTAATCTTTCAGTGATAATTTTCAATCTACCTCTGAAATCAGACTGTATTTCTTCAAGTGTAATATATCAGCTTGTCAAATGTCTTAATTAGAGTAGGAACAAGCTCATATCATGATTTTTAAAACTTTTTATTATAAACTGACAATTTGTACATACTTATAGGACACGAAATGATGCTCGGATTTGTGGATCTAGCTGGTTAGCATATTCCTCATCTCAAACAACATTTTTTTGTGGTGAGAACATTTGAAACTTACTCTATTCTCAGCAATCTTCAAATGTACAATGCTGTTAATAACCACTCACCATGCTGTGAAACATACTTGTACAATTCGATTCTTTCTAGATTTTATTATATCTTATCCATTTATTTATGATTTGGTCGTAAATTTACGGTTGTTAACTCACTTTCATATCCAATATCTCCCATTTGTTACCTACAAATTTATACCACTTAGTATCATTTTTCTATTCCTGCAATTTATTTAGAGTGCTATGACCAGAATTCAGTCTGCACATTACTTTCTGATTCACATTGGCTTGACGGCATCTACATGTTCCTATTACAGGTAGTTGGCAGCCAGCACCCTGCTCCCGGTTCTGTCAGGCAGATATTTTGTCAAAGTTACTTGAATGTGAGCGGGGCTAGCAGTGAACACGCTTAGCAGTTAGTGGCCGTGGTTCACACCAGCGCAGGCTTCCTGGAGGCTCCTTGCTCTCAACCCCTCCCTGTCCCTTACTGGACAGCAGGGAGGCCTTGCGGTTCTGATGAGGAGGCGGCCGGCACCCACTGGAATGGAAGCACCTCCAAGTTCATTAGGCGTGGCTGCCGGTGCTGCCCCACACTTTGCAAAACCAGGCCGTGGGAACTGGACGGTTTGGAAGCGGGAGCGTCTGTGGTCCGAGAGAGCAGGTGTGCACTGTGACTGTTTCAGCATCGCGAGGCTGCTGGGCCTGTTCCAGCCTGGACATTCTTCCTCAGTGTGCTGGAGCTGTAGCCGTGAGTGTTGCTCAGGGGAGCTTCTGACTTCAGAGATGCTCAGTTCTGTCTCGTTCTGGGCCACAACATGGCCTTGTGGTGAGCGCACTCACAGGAAGGAAGCTCTTGATTGATTTTCACTTGCTCAACGACTGCTTTCCAAGTGCTTAGCAGGTGTTGGGCACTCTTCTTGGTGCTGCGGACACAGCAGTAAGGAAGAGGGCTGTCGCGATCGCAGCGCTCACCCTGGGGTGGGGGCACACAGGCCTCCCACGGGAGCGTTGCAGTGTGAAGCGCTGTGGCCGGGAACCGGGCTGGCATCAGACGGGCACGCGTGTGTGCAGCAGGTGGGGTCAGCGTGACGCCTCCGTCCTCCTGGCCGCTCCTCACAGCCATCTGCCTTGATGTTGCATGTGTTCCGTCAGTACAGATCTTTGCTCACGTGCAAGTGTTTCGCTCTGTGCTCTCTGGGGTGGCAGCATTGCCGGGCATGGATGTCTCAGGATCTTCCTGTGTGACCACCCCTGACTTGCTTTGCAGGGAGCGACCTGCACAATGGCATGGTGGGATTCAGCGAGGGCTCCCAGAGTGGGATGGAGCTGGGGCCAGGCGCCCAGGAGAGGAGACTGAGCCTTGTGGTCATGAGGCAGCCAGACAGGTTTGTGCGCGGGTGTGGCACCCTGGCTCTCTGTGCGGTACTGAGTGGAGGTTCGGTACTGAATGGAGGTTCGTGCACGCATTGAGGGGCGGGCTGGGGCTGCTGTGCTAGGCCCCACAGGTGCGCCGGTCCCAGACCATAACCAGTGCTGCCTGGAATGCTTTGCACTTCAGAGAGCACTGTGCAGATGCCAGATTATTCAGGTCCTCGCATCGTAGTGTTATTGTGCTTCTCTTTAGCAGCACGTTTGCAGTACATGATTACAGTCACCGTGAGGAGTTGGTACAGGGACACAACACATCTAATTATTTGTTTCTCTTTCTTGTTTTTCACCCCTTAGCCCATCCTCCCTGCTTCCTCTTGGTCCCCTTCCCCTTTGCAGAGATTCTAGCTTCATCGTTTGTTTTCCCTTCAGTTCCTCTTTTTCTGTACCCTTTCCTGCCGCTCCCGTCTCCCTCCCTCCATCTCGTTTCACCAACCATTTGCAAAAGATCACCCCACTTCCTGTTTCTATCTTTTATTTTGCACTTTATTTATATTTTGGGTTCTTTGAGTAAGGGGCACACATGAGATTTAAGCTTGTGACCTATTTCACTTAATACTGAGGTCTCTGTTACCTGGCGATGCCTCAGGTTTATCCTTCTTTATGGTATGGCACAGTGGTGCTCCATTGTGTGTAAACACCACATTTTCTTTATCCATTTATCTGCTGATGGACATACAGACCATTTCTGAGATTTAATTATCATAAATATTGCTGCTGTAAACCTGGGTATGCATCACTGTGGTTGGATGTCTTTAACATACTATTTTCTGATGACTTCAAATACATAACCACCTGAGGGAGACCTGGGCGCCAAAACTTTACTTACAGATTCACTATATAGACCCATGTTTGAATGCTCATCATGAACATGTACTTAGTACACACACACACACACACACACACACACACACACACACACACATGTGCTTGCACATATTTTCTTCTTTGGGCCTAAATATTCTGTGAAAAAGTGAATCATTATTTCCACTTTATTTTTACAATGACAATCATACATTAGCAGTAATGCTCTTCCTTTAGAAAAAAATGGTGTTAAAAGACAAATGAGAAACATCTACTTGAAGTAAGGGCTCCTCTCTTGTTTTTCTTTTCACACTTCTGGTGTTTGAGGGCAGAGAAATATCGTTTGTTTTCGCATTCTTGACCTCAAGTGTTTCCACAAATGCCTATTCACTGCCGAAGAGAGTGCAGTCAGAGAACACTGTGGACCTGAGCCTTAGTTTTCATGTCTGTTATGAGCAGAGCTGGGGTCATCTTCAGCTTGTCAGTGGCAGGGCCAGTGCTGCTGTGGACGAGGAGGCAGAGCTCAGCACAGTGACTGCCCACCCTGCCTGACGGTGGGTGTCACACTCCGTCACTGGGTCCACATGCGTTCGCTTTTTCCCAGGGCCTTTGAAGATGTCCAGGTCCGTTGGCGAGTCTCACTGAACAAGTCAGCTGTCATTCTCCAGAAAGAAGGTGTAGACCTGAGGGATGAACTTCTGTATGTCTCAGGGACCACAACGTGTGCGGCAGGCCAGATACAATGCGTCATCAGCCTGGAGCTCAAACCAGAGAAGGTAAGAAAGTCCAAGGAGAGATGTGTGAGGTCCTAACTGTGACCCTTTAGAATGGTTTATATGGTTTTCTAGCCATGATGTCTCAATCTGTGTTCTACACCACAGACTTTAGACTTAGGAGGTGTTACGTTAGGATCTTTGTAAATGAGCTCATCCCTTTTTTCTTGTTTCTGATTGTTTCAAGATTTCTGCTGTCCCAGCTACTCATCATGTCCACGATCCCTTGAGTTTTCAGCCAAAGTAGTGTCTCGAGTTTCTCTGAATGTTTAGCAGTTTGCTTTTCTCATATCCATAGATATGAAAGATCTTTCATTTTCTTTTTATACATATTTAGGGAGTTCAATTTCAGTTCACCAGGGAGTCTCAGAGACTGATCTTGGAGAGTGTCTTGGTTACTTTTCTCATTGCTGAGACAAAATACCTGACACCCAAAGTTAAAGAAGGAAAGGTTCCTATAGTTCACAGTTTGTAGGATTTTAGTTCATAGTTGGCTGGCTCCAAGGCAGGGCAGCCTGGAAGAGGGAGAGCACAGAGGAGAAATGGCTCATGGCAGGCAGAAGGCAGAGGGCAGCAAGCTATAAGTGACAAGCCTCTTTCTGTTCCTTATATCTTATTCAGGATACCCACCCTTAGGACAGGTAGTACTCACACCCTTAATCCTAGGTTTGCATCCTTGATCCCAATATCACACACCCTAAATCTAGCCACCTCCAAAAAGCCCCACCTGTGACTACCTAAGACTTTAGAAGAACACCTGGACACAAGCCATAACAGAGTCTTTGGATAAATTTCTGTTGGTTGCCATTACATGTGCTAAGGGACAGGCTTATTCAGTAATAGCCATTTTTTAATGATTGTTTTGTGATTCTTTAATGCCTAAGGAGCATTTTTTCTTTGTTACTTATTTATTAAATTCAAATGAGAAACATTTACTTGAAGTAAGGGTCCTTGGACACAGTACCCAAAGCCCACCACTTAACAGAAGAGAGGTTCAATTTGATTCACAGTTTAGGTGAGCCAGTCCATGGCCAGCTGGTTCCAAACAGCCATTGTGGTAGAAGGGCATGGCTGAGGGAAGCCCCTCACTTCATGGCATCCAGGAAACAGAGAAGGGAGGTGCCAGAGGGTGGTGCACCTTCCAAAGGCATGCCACCAATGAGCCAGAGCTGCCAGCCTTGCCCCGCTTTCTAACAGCTCATGGGGCGATGAACCCACCCTTGGCTCAGTCCACTGATTCAGAGCCCCCATGACGCATTTGTCTTCCAGCAGCCCAACCTCTGAACACGTGAAACTTTCAGGGTACCTTCTGGATTTAGACCATAAGATTGCAGTAGTATGTTTTCTTTTTAATTTATGCATTTCAGGTTAATTTTTAATGCCATGTATTTCTCCCCACAATTATTTGTTCTTTCAGTTCTACAGTGCCAGCTTTACAATGTCATTTCCCTATCACTCTTGAGCACGGAGCTATTAGAGCTACTGGACAAATATGCCTGCTGTGTTTAAATCTTGGCCTGTGGAGTAGGGCAACCTGGACACTTTGTCTCCTAAGAAGTGAGGCTGCAAGTCCGTGCGATTCCTGCCCCTTTTATTTATTTATTTATTTATTGGTACCAGGGATTGAACTCGGGTCCTTGCACTTGCAAGGCAGGTGGCAGAACCACTGAGCTTAGTCCCCGGCCCTTGCCCCCTTTATCAGAATCGTCACACCTTACATGTGAGCACCAGCACCCTTTACCTGCTGGCTCTGCTTTATTTGTGCCTCACAGATACTTTATCTACTTATGGTATAATTCTTGCTTATTCTAGACTTAATTGACTTACTTTTAGTTCTTTTTATTTATGTTTTCTTAGTTACACTGAGAGAGAAGGATATTTATTATTATTTAATGAATACATGCTCAATAGAAGGCCCAAATGTCTTGATATGTTAATAGTCTCTTATACATAAAAATTTAGTACACACTTTTAGATTCACACTTAAGTAATTTTGATTACTTACTAATGATTTTCTTTTTGGTGCACAAGTAATCGTCTCATGATCATTGAAAGTTCAGTAAGATGATCTTTGGCTTTTTTAGTACCACTTGTAAGGTCTCTAGAGGCAGATTAACTTTACAGCAATACCATGTGTTTCAGAGTCATCCTGATATTTCCTAACCTAAGCTCCAATGAGCTGCTGTCCGAGGCTTTATTTCTTTGATCAGAAATTGATTTGAAGATTGAAATCTGTGCACTAGAGCTTCATGACAGTGGATAGCAGACAAATGTGGTGCTACTTGAACACTTTGGTAATTTTAGAGCTAGAGAGTGTTCCTGAATTCCCACTGAAATTTTTCTAGATCATAGCAAAGTATTGTATCTTACTTTTCTTGAGTGAGGCTTTCATCAGTTAACACTTTGAATCCCATTGACAAGGAGGAACTGAAGTTTCAATATTCAAAACATCTGATCATATTCTATGTGAAAACACTTGAATTGTACTCACAGCAATCCTTGCAAATATTTTTTTGCCTTCCTCAACTGCCAACTCCTTATTTCCTAACTATAACTCTCCCTTGGGGATTAATAAAAATTCCGCTCACTCCACAATGCCTCCCATAAAATCACCAGTTAGAATTCTTCTCTAAACTTGCAGAGTATTCACTTTCGTATGGAGGCTATGAGGTATGTGCTGTTGTGTCTCTTTATACATATTTTATCTTGGCTAATTACTCCAACCTGCCTGGAAATAAGAACATGTTTTTATTCACCTTTGCATCCTCCCTATCTTCCTCCATAAATATGTCATATGCATGAGTTACTACAGATTTATCATGCATTTTCTCTCAAATGAGATTTCAGTGAATTAGAATCCTAGAAGGGCCAGGGATTTAGCTCATTGTCATTGCACCTGCCTCACAAGCACAAGGTCCTGAGTTCAATCCTTGGTACCAAAAGAAAAAAAAAAAAAAAAAAAAAAAAAAAAAAAAAAAAAAAAAAAAAAAAAAAAAAAAAAAAAAAAAAAAAAAAAAAAAAAAAAAAAAAAAAAAAAAAAAAAAAAAAAAAGAATCCTAGAAGTATCTCACTAGGACTTAAAACCTCTGTCCACATAGTAGGTAATAGCCTTATAATTGTAAGAAAAGGCTTTTGATATAAAAAAATCAGTTCACACCTATGTTTTGGGATAAACGTCATTATCAGTCTTTTGCTGACTTGATTCTTATGAAGTGCAAGTTGTTCCTTTTCAGAGATGAAAACAGCAAGATGTGTCATGTACGGGTACATATTTCCCAGGATGAATGTTATATGTATATCTAAGATGTGCCAAAAATGTTTTGCTAAAAAAAAAGAGATGAAAACAATTTCCACAGGGTGGAAATACATTGTTGGTGACAGCACCAAAATTGATTGCAGCAGATATAGAAGTTGTGCTGTAAAGCAGCTTGAAGGGAGCATTATCTGCCTCAGGGAGGAGGAGGAGGAGGAGAGAGGTCGGTGGTCATTACTGAGTGTCTTAGACGAGCCGAAGGCTGAGTGGGCTGGGGTGGGAAGAGACTGCTTCCTGTGAGCTTGCTGTCCTCACAGGAGAGCACTAAGGGGAATCTCAGCCACTGAAGACATCCCAGTTAAGGGGGAGGTCACTGCATGGGTGATATATGGGGTGATGTCTGTACAGACCCCTTTCCCTTCCTAGCGCGGTGCTACTTGGCTTGTATTAAAGTTCCTTCAGGTGAGTAGGAGAACTCTTCGTTGCATCTTGTTTTTCTTTCAAGTAGAATGCTCAGATTATAAAGTTGAATTTTCTTTCGCATCCTAAGAAGCTAATGTTTAAGGTACTTTTGCCCTCATTGCCTTCCCAGCTCTTAAAGCACCAATACCTTCTTGTTTCAGTAAGAGGAAATTGTTTCTCTTGCTGTGCAGAAGCTTTGTTTATATGTTTGTTTTTGAGTGCCAGGGATTGAACTCATGACCTTGTGTTTGGGAACTAAATCCCTGGCGGTAAGAGGAAGTTGTTAGGGAAGAAGAAAGATTATAGTCTTGTAAAAATAAAATTTTAAACAGTTAAGTACTAGAAGTTCCTAATGTACATTTTAAACATCTTACATTTCATACTGGAAATCATTCATCCAGTCCACATTCTTGTTATAACTGACTGTAAACTAACACCTGGCAATATAAACACAGCAGGTTCTATAGCCCTGTGCTTTTGTAGCAGGCTCAGAGATTATTTGGATGTCCCCGCACAGCAACACAAGTATTCTATGCTTTTGACTTAAGAGCCATCTTCATTTTTCTCCAAGGGAGGGCCTCCACTTATGCCAAACTTTTTCCAGGCATCTCTATGGTGGTTAAGGGTTTGGGCTTTGATGGTAGAGAACTTTGGTTCAAATCTTATTTCTTCCACCAGTGAGCTGGGTGAGATTGGACAAGTTATTTGGTGTTCTTGAGATTCTCTGTTTAAAGGGTGAGTGAAATGGCCGTGGGGCAGGTTGAATCAGATAACAAAGAAGAGGTGATCAGTGCCTGTGTTGCCTAGAAACTGGGCTCCCGCAAGAGATGTCTGGGAATGGACCCCAGGGCAGGCATCCATACATGGACTTGGTCACGGCTGTGTCAGCCCCAGTGCCTGCAGCCCTCAGACACTGCAGACTACTCAGAATTACACCACTGGTTAGTGTGGTGTCTCCTGCCCCTTAGGTTCTAATCACTTTCTGGCCTATCTTATATGCAGTTATCACATCTACAGTCATTCAGTACTTGCATTTTCTAGTTAAGAAGTATTTAAGTTACTTCCCTGGTCAATTACTGGGCCAAGATCAGAAGTCACCTCTTGAATTTCAGTCCATTTGCCTTTCCATGATGATTTATCTTATGGCTTTATATTAGCAAAATGTATGAGGCAGCGGGGATAAACCTTCTAGAGCTTTCCATTGTTTTCCTCTGTGAGCCCGCTTGCAGAACAAGGTTCAGGGGCCCAGACTGGGAGGGCAAGGTGCAGAATCACCGCGGAGATTCCGGGGAGGTTTCTGGAACGCTTCTGCTTTATTCAGGAAATGCACAGGCTTATATAGGGTACGGGGGAGGGGGTGGAGCCAGGATGGCGCTATTGGATCGCTATTGGATAGGGTAAGGCAGGGGTGGAACCAGGGTAGAGTCGGGATATTTGGCACATCCTTATTGGCCACATGTGAGTTTTTGGATTGTATGCTTTAGGGGCTGAGGCGAATAGAGTCAGGACTTTAGAGGTTTTTGAGAGGAAGAGTTTATCTAAGGTCAGATCTCTACATACCCGAGGGGGTGGATTATTACAGCCCTAATAGGCCTCGGAGTTTTCTCATGAGAGATGGGCGCAGTGCTCCTAACTTAGCCAGACATTAACCTGATCCTTATTCCATGACCCAAACAGCCTGCTGCTGGGCATGGGTGCCATAAGTTCACCACCCCTGATATAAGGTAATAAATAAGAGACATGATCTTAACTAACAAAATTTGTTTAAAGATAGTGTTTAAACATTTGTTGCAGATACTTTTAGAACGTTTAAAGTAAGGTATTGTTTATTACTTCGGTTTTCTGTTTCTGGGGCAAAAGATCACGGAACACATCTGACCTAAGGGGGCAAGGAAGTGGCTGGTGGTCACGGGGGGTGGGTTCTTGCAGGGTCTCCAGTCATATCTCGGAGTTTAGGCTCAGATGAAGTCCGTGAGTCTGAGCTCCTCACACACTTCAGGAGTATGGTTTGAATAGAAGGTCTGTGCTTGACTGGAAGACACCTTTTGTCTGTAGGCTGATTCTGTGTAGGCACCCATCGGGACATGCTCCGGTTCTGGATGGTTCTTCACTTAGACGATAGCATATTCTTTTGACTGTAAATAGTTGTAAGTAACATCCTAATCATCATCACCATGAAAAGGAAGATTTTACTGGGAAGTAAAGACAAGAGTCACTATTGGAATATCTATCTTACCCTAAACTCTTTAGTTAAAGAAACCATTGTGAATTCAAGTTTACTTGAATTAAGCTCAACTCCATTAAGGAATTATAACTTTGAACACAGTTACTCATACTTTCCTGGTGCTTCAGTTTATTGTACTTGCCAGGTGTAGCTTCTCAAAAGTGGGAACAGTACAGTTATTTCCATATTTCAGAATTTGACAGTTGACCAGCGAAATGAAGAATATGTGCCAAAGGAAAACACATTTCTTCAGAAAACAAGATGAGATTAAAGGTGTTTATTTTGTAATTAAGATTTGACTTACTCTTGGATAATACCAAAGGGTATGTGGGATTGTTTCATAACATAACGATTATCACTAGAGAAGTCAAAAACAAACGATGACGAAGGCCCTTGCACACGGATAAAAATGATGTGCTCTGTTAGCCGACGACAGCTGCAGCCGAAAGGCCATCAGCTCGACCTCCTTGGGCTACGCCAGGGAACCGCACTGCTGCTGGACCTTTCGAGATGATGTGTGAGTGAATCACTGCCGAAATCCAGCGACTGGTGGTGTGTTAGGAAACTGAGCTCAGGCTTTACAGGAGACATTATTTCAGACTTGAGAAAGAACAAAAGTGGGATGAGAGAAGACTTCAACCAGCAGATTAAATTTGATACTAAATTTTGTGAAATCTTTGAAAGGTGTATGAGACTACAGAATTGAATGCTACCAATATTTGGTCATATTTATGTGAAGTTCTAAAAATAAGTGTTATAAAAATAAAATCTTAACAAACTTATAATCTTTTTTTTTTTTTTTTTGCTTGTCCTCAATGTTTTTCAGCTCCATTCCCCACCCTGGCCTTTCCCTGAAAAAGCAGCTGTCATGTGTGGTGTTTTGTTTTCTCTTTAATCTTTACACAAATATCTCCTGACAATACATAGTAGATGCTGTGTAATTTTTACATCATACCTCCTGGATCATGCTATGCATATTATTATGAAACTTGATATTTTCATTCATTCTTCTGTTTTAAGATCCACCTGTGTTGAAAATGTTGAATGGTCCATTTCTTTCATTCTTTTAAACGGCTTTGTAATATTCTGTTGTATGAATACATTTTATTCTTCCGCCCCTTAAATATGCATGTTTCCTCTGGACACTGATCTAGAGACACCTGAAGTAAGTATACTTTTCAAGGCCAAAAAGTAAATCTCATGAGCTTCTGGTTTTGTAACGATGCAGAATGTCTATTGATTTTTACCGTGGTCTGTAAGAATTACCACTTCTTAATTTTAGATCCATCTCAGATTGGAAACACAGACCTCGTAGTCACATACGTCTCGTTTTCCCATCACTAGGCGCCTCCGGTTGCAATGCATCATTTCTTTGTGGAGCTCTACGGAGTCACCGCTGGAGCAGCGATAAACAACAGTGCCAGATTTGCGCGGATCGGAATCTCCCGGAGCCGGGATGCTCAGAGCCTCATCTCTTTTTCCGTGGGTTCCCGGCTGGCCGTGGCTCATAGCAAAGCCACGCTCATCAGTTTGCAGGTGGCCAGAGACTCTGTGGCGAGGCCCACGGTGTCTGTTAACTTCAGCACCCAGGTCAGCATCTTGTTTTCCTTTTTCGCTGTGAGAATGTGATGGAACAGAGCAGTGGATGCATCTGCTTCCAAGGATACCACAGCAATTCCCATTTTATCTGTTACACCAAACTATTCTACAGCAGGTCATTGGGTTCTCAGCAGCAACACATCATATTTCAAAATGACAAAGCTTTCTAGTTTTCTCTCCTCTTTTGACAGAGTTGGTTATGCAGTGCAGAGTATCTTACACAAATCTTTTAAATGTCTAGCAGATTAAAAATTTCTTCCGAATGTAGCTACATAAGACCAGAAGCAGAAGGTGAGGGTCTCATTAAGGCTTGTATTTGTGTTAGTTGAAAATGTAACCTCCAACGCTGGCTTATCTTTAGGGTTCTTGAGCTACACGTTTTCACGCCCATCCTGTGAGGTGGTTCAGGTGAAAGACAGGAAGCGGGTGGAAGCTGGAGGTCTAGAGGAGCAACACTGTAGCACTAAGCGACAGATCCTGTTGGCCCAAACAACACCACAGGCCTTTCTGGAATTAATTTATCTCAGCAGTAAAAGTCTAATATCAGGAAAAAGTGTGTATCTGCTATACAGGACACATGATTGCACTGATGATAGGTTTCCTAACTTAGCCAACTGCTCTCCCGCTACTCCCATAGCTCCAGGAAATCCACAATTTGGAAACCTTTCTGAAAAGTGATGTCATTTCACTCTATTTCAAGACTCTAAACTTGGTGATTTTAGACCTTAGGGTTGCAAAGTTTTATTAAAATTACTGTGTAGAGGTTTAGAGATAGTGGAGAGTGCTTACCTGGCATGTGTGAGGTCCTGGGTTCATCTCTCAGTATCAAAAAAAAAAAAAGATAAAGAAGTTGATATAGTATATGCTTAGTTGTGTCACTAAAACTTCTGTACAGTCTGTGCTTAGTTGTGTCACTATTGGGTGACTCAAGCAGACAATTCTGTGCATCACCTGCCACACAAGTGTATGACCAGCGTGTTGTACTCAGGAGTCGGGGATGGGGCTGGCGCTCTCCTGGAATCTTACAGGCAGCAGAACTTCTTTGTGTGACAGCCTACAGCTCAGCTATTGAGAAGAAAACACTCCATTGTGTGACACCCTAAAGTAAGCTCCATTCTCCAGAGCCTTGAAGTAGTATGAACACAGAGAGATGTATTCTGATCCCTGGTGCAGAAATTCTAGTGTTTTTGTCAAGAGTCTTTAACATAGGAAAGGAAATAAGAAAAGGCATGTTCCTTCCTCCTTCTCCTGTGAGGGACGTATCATGGTGTGCTCACCACCTTTTAGAGTAGAGGAAGCGGGCTGGAGATGAAGAACCGGGGCAGAGAATTTGAGGCACATTCACAAGCAGTTCAAACCCTCAGGTGAGAGGGGAGTTGAAGTTGCCCAAAGAAGACTGAATTCTAACATCGGTATCACTTTGAATCTTATTTTTTCTAGATTCATCATTCTTTGCAAAGCACATGTTGTCATGTAACTAATATGTAACTCATAAAGGACTCTTATTTGTAGGATGATGTATTTATGAATTTCTGGGTTTCCCTACTATGATGTCTAGTTTTATGTGTCAATCTGACTGACCACAGGGGACTCATATATTTGGTAAACATTATTCATGTGTTTCTCTGAGGGCATTGTAGATAAATAAGACTCATGTTGAAATCAGCAGACAGGGTGATTGCAGTCAGATTGCCCTTTTAATGTGTGTGAGTGTCATCTCATCCGTCAAAGACCTGAGTGTAATACAGATGGTGACCATCCCTCAAGAAAAAGAGGTTCTTCCTGCCTGGCAGCCTTTGAATTGGAACATTGGCTGTGTCTTTCCTTCACACTCATTTGGAAGGATTTTCCTGGGTCTCAAGTCTGCTGGCCTTAGAGCTATAACTATACCATTGACTTTCTTGGTTCCCAGACCTTCAGACTTGAGTTGTAACTAAGCCATCGACTTTCTGTCTTCAGTTTGCCAGATCACCCTGAAGGTCATGGAACTCCTCAGCCTCATCAACTGCATAAACTTATTGCTTATAATCTCTCTCTCTCCCTCTCTCTCTCTCTCTCCCTCTCTC